GTACGCTGGGCTCGCAAGTGCGCTTGGAGTGATGGGCCCGGGCAGTAGGCGTGGGTGTGCCGAGGAGGTGTATTTGGCGGAAAGGTGCGGTGAGCAAAGTGGGCAAATCCAGACGGGCTCCACGGGAGCAGGCCGGAAAAAGAAAGCACAGGCCGGAAGCCTCTTTGGCGCCCGAGCCTAAGCGCACGGCCATGGAGGGATTCTGCACCTGCCAGCAAAATTTGAGATCCCGCTCACAATGGCCATTTACTCGCCCCGCATGACGGCGATTGCAGGCAGGCCAATGCCCGCCGATCCTGCCCGGCCTGGGGCCTCCCTGGGCCAGCGGCACTGGTCCTGGGGAACGTGTGCAGAAACTGGCGCCCGGGCTGTCTGCACGGGCAGCGAACAAGAAAAACCGTTTTTGCAATGCACTCCTCGTCTAGAGCGAAATGCTCGACGCTGATTCGGCCGCACAGTGACGCAATCGTCGCAGCGCTGCCGAGCCGCCCGCGCGCTAAGGAGCCAGAGACAGAACGACACACCAAGCCCCGCCGCATTGGGCCTTTGGATAAAGGAACGGGTTTCGGGGTTTCTGGCCGTGCGGGGGGCATGTTTGTCTATGGGCACAAAACAGTCCCCTGGTTCTTTTTCGGGCCGGCGCCGCCCGGCGCAGGGAGGCGGCGCGGCCCAGGCCATCGGGCTTCGCCGCCTCCTACTAAGACTTGCGCCTGTCCCGCCTGACGTGGCCCTTCGCCGAGCTTGCGTTCGCTGCAGCACAGCCCATATACCGGCGGGCCCGGCATGTAGCACGCGTCTGTGCCGTCGTGCTTCGATCAACCCTGTGTGTGGCGGCCTGGGCGATCGTTCTGTTTTCACCCGCGCAATGCGGAATCCCAGCACGAAAAGTTCTAGGCAAACCGGCCTGACGTTCCGAAGCACAGGCCACGAAGCCCCACCCAAAGCACTATAGTTGGAAGCCCCAGCCGCCCGAGGCTCGTTTGTTTCGGCTAAAAAGCTAGTGCCGCGTTCTGTGCATGCTCTTCTCGCTCATGGCTTCCCCTTTGTTTTCCCCCATCACTCAGCGAGTACGAGAGGGCAGGACGTATACGGTGCTCCTGCACCCAGGGCCAGCTTTAAAATAACGTCATGGGACTAGGTATGCACGAGCAGCGCCGTCTGCAGGCACCGGCCCTTTTGAGAGCGCATTGCGACTTACGAAGCCAATGACAAGGCGAGGCTGCCCCGCGCACACGGGGAAGTGGCGCGAGATTGCTGCACGCTCAGGCTTTTTTCTGATTTGAGAGCACCGATAGGGGAAAGAGCTGCATGAAAATCTCTTCCACATTCCCCTTTTCCGCCCGTGGCTCCCGGTACGACCCTCATTTAGCCCACTCTGGTCCCGTGTTGCAGTGGGGCGGCCAGAGTATTGGAGACAGAACTTTAGTCCGAACGTCAATCTGCTCAAACACATGAGCAATGCTGCAGGAATTACGACATGGAATGGTATCCTATTGCATGGATGGGGTGAGCTCATCCAGCGTGCTTGTCATGACGAGCGCGGGGGAGGTGGGGAATGCTTAACTCGCCTGTGGATGTCTTGGCACATGTTCTACAATAGATCGTGGCCGGCCAAGGCTTAACCAAGTCATCGTTCTCCTGCAGGGGACGGGGTTGGTGTGATGCATGGGTTATGTTTTAGTTGGACACAGATCTTCGCAAAGAAAAAAAAAACTAGAGTTTGGGTTCTGGGAACCTTAACTTGCCTCCCACTACTGACGCAGCGAAAGGATGACAAACTCTGGCTGTTCGGGGTCCTAGAAAGCTTGGCACACGGGGCCCGGTTTTCGGTGCGCGATTATTGCGATGGAAATCGAAGCATGTTTGCCACCTGGCTGTTTTGGCAGAGCTCCCTCGAAATTCGCCGTGTGCAGGGGGGATGATCGAAATGGCCCTGCGCTCTTCTCTGGACGAGGAGGTCTAAAGTACCGAGCAATCGAGATCGCCGCAGCAGTAGCGGCAGCAGTCTGAAACAAGCAAAGAAACGCGGAGCTGTGTCGAAACTTCGTATTCTTCTTCGGTGCCGGCCTTCGGTTGATTTGCACCCCAAAGACTTCGGCTTCATACGCCCACCCAGCGTTCCAGGTTTGTTATTTTTTGTCTTTTTTGGTTTTTGGTTTTGGTTTTGGTTTTTGGTTTTGGTTTTGGTTTTTTGTCTTTGTTTTTGTCCATTTTTATTTTCTTTGTGTTGTGTTTTTTCGTTGTTTTCACGCAAGATGCTCGAGTCTCATTCGAATTTCCCGAGAATCCCGAAACGAACCGGAGTTACGCTCGGTCGGTGTAGCTTGTTTCTCGCAAATTGGTGAAAGGCTTTTAATTATGACTTGCGAAAGCGGAAGCGCTCGACAGAAAAGTCGGGCGAACCCGCGCCACTCCAACCGATAAGATATGCCCTGCGTGCGACGCCAGCTCGTACTTTTTTCGAATTCCCCGTTCATCAAAATTACGAAGAACGTCTGTGGCAAGATTCGTTATTTCGGCCTCGCACAATCGTTCGCCTCACGGCTTTGCTTTCTGGCAACAGCTTTCATTCGTTTGTGCCGGCCGGGCTGTGCTGGGCGGCGAGGTTCCGATTCCTTTCCTTTTTCTGCAAAATGGTCTGGCCCCCAGTCGCTAAGCCCTTCGGTGCTCAATCCAAGACTTGTCGGAGTCCGGCTGTTGATCCTGTCTGGCCGCGCCAATAACGAGCGCACCGATTTTTTTTTCCTCTTTCGTCTAGTTCTTTTCGTCGTTTCTTTTTCTGTCCTGCTTACACACCTGTTCCCTCCCATCCTCACAGGCCTTTGCGGCTTTTTCGAAACCTGCGCTTAATCGGTCATCCCTCAGACATATCGACTTGCCTGTGTCATCCCTTGTGCCTCTCGATCCCTTTTCTTTTCTTTTCTTTTTTTCTTAGTCTATTTCTCATTCTTTTTTACTTCTATAATACCATCCACATTTCCTTTGCTTTCTCACGCCATACGCCCTTCCATCAACCATTCTACTTGAGCCGAAGTCCTTTTTTCCGCCCGATCCTCAAATACCCGCCTTGCCCCCTACTTTCTTTTTTCGAAACACTCCTCACTTTGACAATACGTTTTACATTCAGTCCAGGGAACGCTTACTTATCGGACGCTTTTCCTCCCCAGAACTTTTGCCCCCGTACTCTGCCCTCACCTACCAGAGAGCAAAATATCCAAGGCGCCCCCAACCGCTTCTATTCTGCCCTTCCAAATCGCTGAGCGAAATAGACGCCACCCCTTCCGACGCAACCCCCTTTTTTTCCCGCCCGCTCGGCAGTCGACAGGAAATCTTTTCGGGCGGCTTCTGGCATACACCAGGCGTGACCCATATTAGCTGTGGCTTGACCGATCACCCAAAAATTGGCAAAATCACACCAGACACAGCATGACGTCCCAGCTCAACAACACAAATGAGAACCAGGATCAGATGCTACAGGAAGAAACCTTGCGCCCCGTCTTCTTCGATCTGCCTTCCAACAGGGGCTCTGTCAGTGTGGGCTCCTCCAGCGAAAAAACAAAAAGAGCAAGGCTAGACGCTTCCGTGATCACGCCGGACGACGCCTCTGCTCGGGACGCCGAAGTGCCTTCCTGCAACGAGACCCCCGTCGGGCTGCATGACCCCATCCCGCCCTCGCTGACTCCGCTAGACATCAACCACCATCGCCACCACGCACAACTCCACCACAGGCATATTCTCCTCCAGCATCATATTCTCAGTGGCAGTGGTGCCGACAGCGTGTGCCCCGTCGATACTACGGTCAACAAATTCCCAGCATCTACCGCCTTGAATCAGACGTCCACGTCCTCGCCATCCACCTTGCATTTCCCGGCGGCTTCGAGAGAAAATAAGCCCGTTTTCGAGCCAACGTTCGGCCCCAAAAACTCGGCTTCCAGAACTTTTCATGCCGGCAAGAAATCTGCGCGGCCGATGGTGGTCTCGTCCGCTGCAGCGTCTTCCTTCAGCAAGTCCCCGAAGTTGTTTCGCCGCTTCCGCTCGCGCTCCTTGCCCATAATCAACTACACATCAAGGACACATGTGTTGCAGCAACAGGCTCTTCCGCCGCGCCCTTCCAAACGTAGTCCCGGGGTCGTTGGAACCACCAATCTAGACTCGGCACACAAGGCGGCAACATTGCATCACAAGAGTCTCCACCCGCCAAAAAGTTTGGCATCGCTCACATCTGCGGCACCTTCACTTCCGCCTATCAATTTGCAGTCACTCAAAGAAATTGATTTGCATGAAATCTTGAAGAACCCTCAGTTGAGACATGACATTCTTTTCGACCCACAACTTCAATTCAGACCAAACTTGGATGGTGACAGGGGAAGAAGAAAGAAGTCTGTCATCGAAAGATACTGGGCAGAAATCGAGAAGGAGTGCAAACAATTCTTCGATGCCAGTGTCGCCTCTGGGTCCCAACCCGCAAAGATTCATCGGTTACCCGCATTGTTCACCACCTTACGCGATATCTTGATGTCACTTTTGCCGGGCAAAGATCGTGCTCCAGTCAACGAAATCATGGACATGGATTTGGCTGTGCAGCAGTTTTCCCATGGCTCATTTGATTTTGTGGCGATGGCCCACTGGCTCGGAGAAGTTTTCAAGTCTCATTGCGCCCCCATGAGAGATCAATGGGTATCCGATATGATTTCAAAATTCCAGGAAGCAAGCAATGAAAATTCGGTAGTTAAGCTTGTTCAAGGTTTGAGGTCCATTTTCTCCATCTTGGAAGCAATGAAGTTGGATGTTGCAAATCACCAAATCCGTATTTTGAGGCCTGTTTTGATAGAGACTGCTGTCGATTTTGAGAGAGACTACTTCAATCAACTCATCAGCCACTGCAAGATTGACATAAAGGACTCCTTGAAATGGTTTGCTCAGAACTGCCTGAAAATTTTGGGCGCAGAGAAAGATATCACTGTTGGAGACCACAAGTCCGTTCTCACCTCTTCCATAATAGATCTCCTTTCGTGTCGCAACATGGCCACTGAGTTCCCTTCCACTTTAGCATTCGACCACACCAGATTAATTTTATTACGCGCAGATGTCAGGCAGTTGGTGTGTGTTCAATTATGTGTTGTTTTGTTCAAGCAACTAATCTCAAGTTACGAGTCTGCCTCTAGCTACAGAGCTTTTAGTTTGCAAGTTGAAAACGTTACCAGAGTCCAAGAAGAGATCTTGGCCATCGTCACCGATGAACATGGAAATGTGAAGTGGACGCGAAACATCAGAGCAATCGCGATTCAGTTAGTAAGAAACGTGGTGAATGATCCATCGAGCGCTTCAGTCCAGTCGACTAAGTTACCACAACCATTGATTGATTTCAGTTACAATTGGCTCATCAAACAGATTCAACCAAGTTCTGATGTGTATGGATTGATGGAGGCAAAAGTTTTCAAGGATCTTATTCACGAAGTGGGGCAATCCATGAAGTTTGAACCCACTGCGACGCAATCAAACCTGGGTATAAAGATCGCAACCGGCAAGCTGAGCTTGAAGCACAAGAAGTCTGACTCTGAAATGACGGGTATTGCAAACAGGATATCCACCTTGATGAAATTTCACTGGGACGTGTTCGGAGACTTTTATCTCGAGTATATCAAAGATCACAAACAATCCTGAGAAAACAATGTACACTACACCACAACTGATTATCACGGCTAGCTTGCGTGACAAATTTGCATTTAACGAAATATAAAGTACACAATTTTGAAAGTTTTAATATACATGATGAAGAACTAAAATTTGTAGGATTATCAAACTGCAAAACAGCCATTTTCTGAATCTGTCTTTGCTTTTTGTGGGGTGTCGACCCAGCGCGCCCCGTTGTTTCGAGCACTCAAAGCTCAACCTCCAAGCCGTTAATGGTGCAGTTGAGACAGTCCAACTGCAAAAGATGTCTAAGCTTCATCTCTATAAGGGGCAGACTATTTGAGTCATTGACTATGCGATCAAAAAGCCAATTTGATATTTGTACATCTGACAAGTCGGTTTTTTGGCTCTCCTTTTTGTCCCCTCGGTACCGGTAGTAAAGATTAAGAACAATCTGGTATTCCTTGTTGGAATGGATCAACACAAGCTCTAGCTTGCATGTAAAATCGGAATACCCACCGCTTTCTCCACCGTCGTCAGGGTCATACCCATCAAAAATTCCAATGTCTCTCAAATGGAATGCTAGGGCTCTTGCTATTCCCACCGCTGGGTCACTTGGAGCCTCCATTTCCACATACTGGGAATCTAGAGCAACAAGTCTAGTTTGCTTGAGCCACGGAAGCGACAGATTGCCATCTATCGGCTCGTATGATAGCTTTTTTCCCGCAGTGTTATCAGACTGATAAAAGTGAAGCTTCATATGCTGCTGAACGATGACGGGACTGAAAAGAAAATGAGCGAAAGACGAAAGTCAGGATTGAACAATGTGTGCCAGCGTCGCGTGGACTTTGAGGTCAACGATAAGATAAACTTCGCGTCTCTAGAAAAAAAAACCGTGAAACGTTAAGAATTCACATAAGCTCATCGTATGTCGGTGAAAGGCCCAACACACACACCAATCCATACGCACCGTTCACACCAACCACCACATACACACCGCACCGATGTACGCCTCTGTTTCTTTCGCAGTCGAGGTGAGATGCAGTCCGAAGGGTCCCACTTGAATTGCTTGAAACCTATGCACCCTGAAGCGCGTTCCGAATAAGGCGAAACTGAACCTTTTAATGGCTAAAGATTTTTGCGTTACTTCGCATCGCTAACACTTCGCTCCTCCTTTGCGCTCACTTTGTCAGCAGTAGGTGCATCTGCATCTGCCGGGCCGTGCACACTGGTTAGGATGTCACGTGTATAGCCGTCCTGCTTCGGTCCGCTGTCATCTTTGTCTTTACAATCTGCACCCGCCACACTCATATCGGACGCGCCTGCTGGTGAATCTAGCAAAGCGATTTCTTTTGTCTCGGAACTCATTTGGCCAAGAGTCTTACTGAACACAGAACTGTCAGTGCTCGATGTTTTGGAGGACCCGATAGTGCCCGTAGCGTAGGCCAAAGACACATGTTTAATGGGTATTCCAGCTGTTGTGGAATGCATGGGTGCAGGTATAGTTTCCGATTCTGACTCCTCCTCTATCGTCATCTGTAGCCGTGGCGGAACAGATCTGTATCTGTTGTCGCGTCTTTTCTTGAAGCCATCCTTTTTCCTATGCTTTCGGCGGTCGTCAGAAACTTTATACGTCATGAAACTGTAGCCGTCATCATCTTCGAAGATCGCGTTACCATTTAGCTCCGCGCTTTCGCGAGTTGGCGAAAACATGAAGTTGGGTTCGGTTTTCACTTTTGGTACTTCTTCAAGGATATTTTTATGCTTTGGTCTCTCTGGAGACTGCTTCTTGGGTGAAATTTCAGAAGTTTCCACCACGGAGTGTGGGTCTCTTTTCACTCTTTTCCACTCAGGTGCATTTACCGGAGCCTCGCCAAAGCGTTTCACTGCGGATTCGTTTTTCGTTTCTCCAATGCACAAGATCCGGGAAACAATACTGATGTTGAACCCAGCTACCATTCCCACAAATGTCCCAACAAACATGCTAACCATGAAATAGTGGATGGAATGATACAAAAATACGTGGAGATGAGGTAGCAAGCCAACCGCAAGTCGATAAAGCGTCAATTCCACCGGCACCAAAGTGTCGAAGTGTATTTCTGTGACTTTCAAAACAGGCAAAAGCGGTATGTAGATGAACCCATATATGAAAGTACGAAAAATAAGAAATATTGGAATGAGCAAAAGGTGGTTGACAAGGCCGTAGAAGAAGCGTATTATGGGGAACACCACGCCAGTGAACGGGAATAGAATGAGCCGATGACAAACCCTGACGGTTATACTCACTGCTGAAATCACGAATTCCATAGTGGTGAGATGTGATGGGTTTCCGTGTGAACTTTGTTGCGTGGAGGGGTAAGTACTATATGCGCGGGGTCTACGCAAAGGCTGGGTGCGTATCAAGTACTATGCGACTATCCCTATGAAGTTGTACATGGATTGAAAGGGTGACGAAAGGAATATTGGGTACAGATTCTTGGATGATAATTGATGCCTGCTTGGTCCTTTAAAAATATACGCGGGATATCTTGGAATTGTTTCAAAGAAAATATCTTTTTTAGCAAGTGATTGTCGGGGAATCAGTTTGGCACTTTTCTCAATAATTCTCAATAATTAAAGTGATATGCTGAACCGGACATATCTTTTTCTTCCACAAAAATTCGACAGGCCCAGGTCAGTCCACGGTAGTAGCAATGATTTATCTTACGACAACCACATACAATAGAAATGCCGCGGACCAAAAAAATAGTCGATTTTGCCAGATGTTTATTCTCAGACTGTTAACGTTCACGAAATTTGGACTGACCACCCGTCTCGTGAGAAGCGACCGCTACTCCCCAAAAGAAACAACAACAGCAATAACAACTTTAATGATGTAGGAATTGTGACCGATAGACAAAAGAATTCAAACAATTCACCTTTTGCCTCCGGGGCCTTTGACATTGGGGCGTAGAGAGCTTACGTTGTATTAAATTGCTCACTTCACTGCATGGTGACACCAGGCTTATTTCACCTATCGCAACCTCCTGTTCTCATAGGTGGAACTAACCTCCTTCTCTAATCAAATAGAAACATGTCGTCCAAAATCCCATCCTCGTTCGACGGAACCAACGAGCTCGATGTAGAGTATGTGAAAACACTCACGTATTATTATATGTAATCTATTCAATTGCTGTTTTACATTCATGTGTACTAACTCGCGACAGTGAAATGGACACAATCCAGAAGCTTGTTTCCAAGAGCAAGCAGCAGCCCTTGGTGCCAATAGGAACGCTTTTGACAACGGCAGCCGTGATACTTGCTGCCAAAGCCTTGAAACAAGGAAGAAAACTGGACACTCAGAAGTACTTCAGGTACAGAGTTGGCTTTCAGGCTTTTACACTTGTGGCGTTGGTTGTTGGCGGCTATTACTACCAAAAAGAAACAGCCGAACAAAAGAAATCGCGCGAGGATCTTGCCCGGGAGAAAGCCAAGGCAAGAGAGCTGCTTTGGATCGAGGAGTTAGAGAGAAGAGATGCCCTTATCCAGTCGAGAAAACAGAGGTTGGAGGAATCCAAAAAAGAGCTCCTCAAAGTTGCGCTGGAGGGATTTGAGCAGGAGAGATCCCAGGCCGAGTCTGAGGACAAATCCGAGGAGTCATAGAGAGTCAGTCTTTTCGCCTGTAGAGTCCGGTTCATGCTAGTTCTTGTTCATGATCGTATGGTCGGCATGAATGCAGACTTTGGAACTGTAAATAGTTAACGATTCACGTATTGCACTTGATTGCCGTAGGCGACTTTGGGGGCAGAGGGGGTTCTTGGAATCTGGAATTTTCTTGCAAGAGGGAACTCTGGTCGCAACTCACTTGCTTTTCTTATTTGGATATGGCTCTGAAGCATCCACAATCTGTCAGCTGGGTTAGACATTTGACGTTGAAAAAGACGAATCGAAGGATAGTTATGGACAATGCTCCTGTGGATAAAAAAGAGAAAATATTTGAATCTTAGGCACTTGTAGAGAAACAAGCACGTCTTTAGCCATGACGTGAAATTTGCTGATCGCACGTGACCCAAAATGGGGCGATGAGACTTGGCACGGTGCTATCCGAGTTGGAGTTGCAACGCGTGATATGGAAGCGGTCGTACATAAGTCGGTTCCTACTTGATAAAAATAAATCGGCGGCGAGCCAAGTCTCGAAGGACCCGTTAATTTGCGTGTCTTGCCTCCTTCGCTTCATTCTAAAATTCCTCAAAATTGCAGCGAGTCGAATAGTAGGCAATTGTTCATGGCTTCCGCATCACTAGTCGTCAGGAAACATTCCTGTCGAAATTGGATGAGCCATGGAATGTATGAGCCAAGCATCAAACGTCCAGGATCAGTTTTTTCATACTGCCAGCTGGTTTTTAAAAAGTCTATCACGTAATTGATTTCTTCTTAGTTCTCCACACCCTGAAGCTTGTATTCTTTGGCGAAGTCATACAAGCTTTCCATCATGTGAATTATTCCCAGACTGGACGAGCCTTCAGGCTGGTTGAGCTCATGGGAGTATACGGCTTGAACCACTGATTGGATTTTAATCAAGCCTTCCTTGGCTACCAAATCGGTGAACGTCTGAATCAAATTAGGCGAGAAATCGTTGTACCACCTGTGGTTCCATACCAAGACTTTAATGCATGCCTCAAGGATTTTTTCGTTTAGCTGGTTGATCATCTTTGTAAGATTGTGGTTGGCGGACTTCCCCAAGTCAGCCACGTTGGTTTTGGAGATGAGCTTGGAGCGTTCCAACTGGTAGTACTTCAACAACTCCCTCTGGGATTTTGCCGAAAAACGGCCTCGCAAGGCATTAGAGAAAGCGATTGAGCCCTCTTTGTAGTGCTTCAACCTAAACGCAATCAGCCCCAATATCTCCCACTCCAACGTTGATTTCTTGTACTCCATCTGCTGTGCTTGCGAATGAACGAACTCAGCTTGCCACGTCGTGTACGCCCTCAAGTCCTCGTAGAGCAACATGAACAAGTTATCCAACCAGCGCTCGCAGAGTCTTTTTTTCTTCAGCTCCATGTCGAAATTGGTTTCTTCCTTCTTGGGCGCGTCTCTTGTAGGCGACTTTACCGCCATAGTCGAAGCGTCGTCGGGAACCGTGATCATGCTGGCGTCAGGGGCCATATCTGGGGCAGCAGCAGGGCACGCGTCTGTGGAAGGCTGGGCCTCGTCTGGGTTGCTCTTCACGGAGTGCGTGCCGTTGGTGCGTTCTTTGCGGTACTCCTCTTCCATGACAAAGACCTTGGCCCTGTGTTTGAGAAGCGCCTCCCATCCGGTCTTGACGGCAATGTCTGTGAGCAACTCGTAGGCTTTGGCGAAGGTCAGTTTCAAGTTGCCTGCGGGCAAGTTGTAGAACTGGGGGTCGAGGTTTTTCTGCTCCATTGCAATGGAGGCGCTTTGTAGCTTGGACACCTCGTCAAGCGTGACGTCGACCGGGAAGGGCAAGTGCAAGTCGTCGCCCTTGAGCCCCACGACCCGCTTCAAGTGGAAGTTCTCTTTGTTGGAGTTCATCGGACACGAGTTCAACGTGAGCAAGGCATTTTCGTAGTCGTTCATTTTCGTGTACACCTTGACGAGCGTGGCCCAGGTTTTGAATTCCGAGGGCGACGCCTGGACCGCCTGGCGGGCCAAGTGCAAGGCCAAGTCGTAGCGTTTCTTGTCCATCAAGAAGTCAGCCTCCAACAACAAGAGCTCTGCGTCGCGGTTGTTCGCGTCGATTCCCCGGTGCATGGTCTGCACGGCCTGGATTTCCTCGTCCTTCATGAGCAAGACGCGTGCAATCAAAGAGACCACGGCCGGCTCCTGGGCCTCCAACCTGCGCAACACCTCCAACGCCGCGTCGTAATGCTGGGTCAATTGCACGCACTTGAGAAACCCGTCCACGAGGTAATTGGCCGTCACGCTCGGCTGGGGGACCTCAATGCCGCAGCCCAACTTGTGCCCGTCCCAGAAAAGCTCCTCGAACCCGCCAAGGAAGTTTGCCAAGAGCTCCTTGGAGGCCTTGCCGTTGGCAAACGGGTTTTCCCTCCTGATTTCGACCAAGCCGCCCACTTTGTTGGCGTCGTCCTCGTCCGAGTCGAGCAAGCAGCGCACCATGGAAGACACGAAGGTCTCGAGCCACATCCTGTCGGTGCTGGCCAGGGGCAAGTTGTCCGGGACGAGCTTCCCGTCGCTGGCCACGATCTGCGTCTCGAATTTGCCGGGGATGTGCACGGTCACACGCACGTCGACCCTGGAAAACGCGTTGAACGAGCAGTAGGTCAATTGCGGCACCTTCCAGTGTTTTTTCTCGCCGAACCAGTACTGAGACTTGCAGGTGATAAGCGTGGCCAACGCCTGCAAATGGGCGGCGATCGACGCCGAGTTCAGCGTGTCGATGCCCGTGAAATAGAGGAACGTGCCCACCTCGGTTTTCAGCTGCGACAGCACTTTCTGGATGCTGCACATGTCGGCGGGGCCCAAGTCGTAGAACGATTGCAAACGACCTGTGCGTTCCACCACGGACGCACCTAGGTACTCCTCCACGGCTCTTTCGAAGTTAGTATGGGGCGGGGAAACGCGGCTGTTGGGTAGAGGAAAACATACTCGGGCACGGACGCAATTGATTTGTGGATCATGGGGACTGGCGGAGAAGCGTGTGTGTTTTTTTTTTTTATTCTGGCTCTGCTGGCTGGTTCTTGTCTGTCTGCTTAGGCGTGCGGAGACTCAGACACCCGGAGGCCCAATGCAGGCTTGGGATACAGCCCCGTTTCGAGGGCCGGCCAGGGCCCGTGCACACGAAAAAAAAGGACGGCCAGTTAACTTGTGATGGCTGCCGCTGGACCCTGAAAAAAAGGGGGCAGAAAAACGTAGACTCAGTTTCTGGCGGGGGGAGGTGTAGTGACCATATTGGTTGCGTCAATTGCGCTCGCAGTCTTTATTAAGGGAATAATGAGGCCCTCTGATGGCCCTGGAACATTTTGTTTCGCCCGCGAAGATCTTCTGTTCAGGGGTGTTGGCAGTACGGGAACGGAATGAAGATTTGTGGCCATGCTTGCACATGCGCTGCCTGTCTAGCGGGGGCATGTGGCCATGGATGCTGTATTCTGGAGTGTTGCATGACAGAGTTCCAGTATAATCTTTACATCTACAAAAGCTACTTGCTGAAGTAGTAAACAGACATTAGTATTACACATGAAGAGATTTTGCCCGACCAGCCTGTTTTTGTAGTTTGACTTATACTCTTCGTGTTGACCAGTATAATGCTTACATCTGCAAAAGCCTTTTGCTATTTCAGTAACAGACAGCAGCGTCATACAAAGAGGTTTCCCCAGAACAGCCTGTTTTCGTAATGTATTAAACACTCTCAGTGTTAGCCAGTATAGTCATTTACATCTGCCAAAGCTTGCTATTCCTGGAAAAAAAAAGCAGCATTATACGAAGAGATTCTACCCGAACAGTCTATTCTCATAATAATTTGCATCTACAAAGCTACTTGCTATCCCAGTAAACAAACATCAGCGTCATACAAAGAGATTTCGCGAGAAAAATCTGTTTCGGAGTTTGACTGAACACTCTCAGTGTTGACCAGTATCATCTTTACATCTAAAAAAGCTTCTTGCCATTACAGTAAACACACATTAGTCTTACATATAAAAAAATTTTCATCAGAACAGTCTGTTACATAGTTTGATTGAACACTCTTCGTGTTAACCAGTATAATCACTTAAATTTACAAAAGCTAATTGCTAATACAGTAAACAAACATTAGTGTTACATATAAAGAGGTTTCACCAGAACAGTCTGTTTCGTAGTTTGACGAAATACTCCGTCATTGTTGACCAGTATCATCATTTACATTTAAAAAAGGCTGCTTGCTGATGTGGTAAACAAACAGGAGTTTCGTACCAAAGATTTCTATCAGAAAAGCCTGTTTTCGTCTCAATACTCGCGTCAGGGTTGCTGAGTGTTAGTTGACCATTGTATCCATTCACCTCACGAAAAAGGCTGCTTGCTAAAAAGGAAACAACTAGTCGCATCGTATAAAGAGATTCTACCAAAATAGCCTGTTTCGTAGTTTGACTCACTATTCCGCCGGTATTGCCAAGTGCTATATGACCAGTAGAATCATTTGCATATACAAAGCTTGCTATTCCAGACAAACAGCAGCATCACACCAAGAGCTCTACCGGCTGTTTTCGTAGTTTAGCGTAATACTCTCCGTGTTGGCCTATAACCATTTGCATCTACAAAGCGACGTTCCAATAACAGAAAGCAGCGCCCAAGACTGTTCACCAACAGCCTGTTTGGGCAAATCAACACAGCTGCCCAAAGGCCAGCACCGGTCTGCAACGTCGGCGGCGCCCCTCCGGCCGCAAAAATGCCGTCCCGGCCATACCCGGGACAGACCGCTGGATAGTCTGCACGAGTAGTTCAAACACTCCAGTCCACGGAAAAACGCACGACCTGGCGCAGCGCGGGCCCACGGGAGCCCAATTACCACTGCACACGGCCTCCGGCGGAAGGGCGCCTTCGGCGCCGTGGTCCCTGCCGAAAAAAAAAAAGAGTCTGCCGCAGGCAGAAAGAGCCCTGTTCGTGGCACGCGTTCGGACGTGGCCGCGGCCCGCCCGACACGGCCGCGGCATGTGCCCACGACCAAGGCACCGGCCCGGCGCCCGCTAGTGCTTCCTCCGCTTGCTCGCGTCGAGGTCGCCCCTCTCCTCGTCCAAGCTGTCCCAGTCCTTCGCCGTGAGACAGTACTTCTCGGGCGGCAAGTTGAGCCCCCACTTGGGGATCACCGGCGGGAGGCTCTTGCCGTTGCGCTCGTGCGCCAACTCCAACATGAGCTCCTTGGCCGGCGCCGGCTTGAACTGGTAGTTGGTCTTGGCCGCGATGGCCAAGCGAATGTCGTCGGTGTTGACCGCGGCGGTCGCCTGCGAGCTGCCGTTCGAGCCGCGCGCGTGGTCGCCATACGTCACCGCGTCCTTCAACACGGCCGAGGTGTAGCGGTGGGCAAAGTCCATGAGCTGCAAGGGCACGTGGTCCTGGTAGTTCTGCACGCCCTGCGTGGCGAAAATCAAGTGGAGGAGCCGCACGTCGCGGGGCACCACGGCCGGCTCGGAGGCCTGCGTGGCGCCGGAGAGCGAGGGCCCGTTCTGCGTCATTTGTGCGGCGTGTGGGGGGCACCTAGGGGTGTATTTGGCTGGTGCTTGGGAGGCCGTGGGGCCGCGGGGCGAGGTTTTGCAAGTATAGGGCCATGCCTGGGTGCGGCGGGCATACAGGCGCGCGCTGTCCCGCCGTGCGCATCCTAATAGATTATTTCGTTTCTATCAGGATCAATACTCGGGGCTGCCAACGGTGGTTCTGGCGCTTGGAGAACAGGATGAGCGCCGCACGAGATGGCTGTGAGGGGGTGGCCCGATTCCTCACCGCGTGACGAACGTAGTGTGCCTTTTGTCAAGTGTGTTCATTGTTATTGTCCGCGTATTCTGGCACATCCGGCCCGGGCCCTGTGCGGAATGTCGTTCTCTGGAGCGGCGCGCCTTGTTGAGCTTAGCGGCATGGGGCAGTGAGGGAGAGACGAGGTGAGGAAAATGAGCTCGGAAGATGAATGGATATGTACTAGAGGACGATGAATGAGTAGTCTCAGAGGAGGATAATTTGAAGGGTATCAGGGGAAATATAGATAGATCTTAGAGGACGATAAATAAATGAAAGGAAGATGAATGAATAGTATCGGAAATCATTCAATGGGTATCAGGGGAAATATAGATAGATCTTAGAGGACGATAAATAAATGAAAGGAAGATGAATGAATAGTATCGGAAATCATTCAATGGGTATCAGGGGAAATATAAATAGATATTAGGGGAAGATAAATAAATGAGAAGAAGATGAATGAATATATATTAGAGGACGATGAATAAATGAGAAGAAAATGAGTAGTATCAGAGGAGGATAATGTGAAGGGTATCAGAGAAAAAATAAATAGATCTTAGGGGAAGATAAATAAATGAGAAGAAGATGAATGAATATATATTGGAGAAAAATAAAATGAAAGGAAGATGAATGAATAGTATTAGAGGAGAATAATTCAATGGGTATCAGAGAAAAAATAAATAGATATTAGGGGACGATAAATGATTGGTATCAGAGGAAGATAATTTCAAGGATATCAGAGGCAGATGACTGATCGCGTATTGGTATCAAATGATGGAAGTTGTTGTTAGTGCGAATGGAAAAGATAAGGCGATCGGTTGTGGGTGATGGAGAAGAGAACTCACAGATATCAGAGGAGGCAGATTGATAATTCAGAGGAGATGATTGATTATTGGCATCAAATGATGGAAGTTGATAATAATAATGGAAATAATGGAAGGTATATATAGAGAATAGCGGGAATAAAAAAGTTTAGAAGATGAATGTTGGTGCTAGGGGGAGATGATTTGATGGGTTTCAGGCAGATGACCGCGTATTGGTATCAATTGATGGAAGTTGATGTAGATAGTGCGAACGAAGAAGGATTAGATGGTTTCATGGTAGCGGTTGAAGATAATTGATATCAGAGGAAAGTAATTAGTTCAGAGGAAGATGAATTATTAAATTTCCGAGGAAGGTAGATAAAAGATTTCAGAATAAAGAAAATAATCATCAGAAAACGGTGAATGAACAAATATCATATGAAGATGAATGAACAGACATCAGAAGAAGACGAACATTCGATATCACAACAAGGTGAAAGAGAAGAAAGTAGACCAATCTATTCAGAGGATAATAAATTTCAGAAGAAAAACCAAAAGACATCAGAGGCAGATAGATCAACTGATGGGCATCACAAGAACATAATCCACAACAATACCAATGAAACGATAGCAGCGCCAAATAAGTCATAGATATAAGAGGAGGATAAGCTCATGGAGACAAGAAGATATCAATGGATATCAGAGGAAGATAAATTAATATCTACCAGAGGGAGATGAATGAAATTCACCAGAAGAAGGCAAATTAAGTCATTCGGAGGAAATTAATTTAATGGATATACAAGAGGGTAAATGAATAGATTTCAGAAGAAGGTATTTTCAATAATTCAGGAAAAGATGAATAAATCGATACCAGGGGAATGTAAACTATTAGATATCAGAGGAAGATGATTGATATCAGAGAAGAATAAAAGATGTCAGAGAAGCATAAATGATATCCGAGGAAAATGAGTTCTATGATACCAGAAGAAGATAAATTAAATAAGACCGTAAGAATAAACTATATATTCGGGGAAGATGATTGATCCAGAGGAAGATAAGTTGATTGATACCAGAGGAAGATATTAGCTATCAGAGTACAATAAATTAAAAGATATCAGAGAAAAACAATAGATATCGGAGGAGAATAATATATATTAGAGGAAGATGAATCAACAGTCATTAGAGAAAGAGATTATAACAGAGGAATATGAAAGGATAATCAGATGGTAAATAAATAGATGTCAAAAGAAGGTAAATCAATTCGTTCAGAGGAAGATAAACTCATGACATCAGAGGAAAACGATTGAAAACTAACCAGAACGAGAGAAACCATTTATTTCAGGGAAAGACATATCAATGGATTCAACAAGAATGTGAATAGTTAGACATCAGAACAAGAAGAATCAATTAACTCAGAGGAAGATAAGTTTAGATACAAGAAGATAGTTATCAGAGGAGATAGATTAAATAATTCTGAGAAAGATAAAGTGATAAATATCAGAGAAAGATAATTGAGATCCGAAGAAGATAATTGATACCGAGAAAATGATTTAATAGACGTCATAGGGAAATAATAGATATCAGCGGAAGATGAACTAATCGTATTAAATGAAGATACTCAATATCAAAAGATAATAAGTATCAGAGAAAGACAATATATGTTAGAGGCAGATAATTGATACCAGAAGATCATGAATTTGATATCAGAGGAAAATGGATTAAAAGATTTCAGAGAAAGATGAATAATTGGTGTAGGGTGTTTAATAGACATCAGAGGAGGACAAACCAATAAATTTTGGAGAAGGATAGTTGGTACCATGGGAAGATGAATTAATGCCAGAGAGAGAAAATTGATATTTATCCGAAGAAGCCAAGAAATACTAGAGGAAGACAATACATATCAGAAGAAGAGACTATGTATCAGGGAAAGATACATCAGGGGAACATAATTGATATCGAGAAGAATGAAGTAATTGATACCAGAAGAAAACTTATTATCTGATACTAGAGGAAGATAATGATATCGAGGGAAAATGATTTGATAGATTTCAGAAGAAAATGAGTTATTAGAGGAAAGTAACAATAAAAATTAGAGGAACAATTAATAGATATAAGGGAAAGATATTGATATGAGAGGAAGATAATTCATACCAGAGGAAGATGAATTATTAGAGGAAAATAAGAACAAAAGTGAAAGGAATAGTTAATAGATTTAAGCGAAAGAAATATATGAGAGGAAGATAATTTATAGACGTCGTGGAAAATAATAAATTTTTGTATCTGAGGATAATAAAGACAATTAACAGACGTGAGCGGAAAATAGTAGATACAGAGGAAGAGGAACGAATGAGGATACTAAATTTCAAAAATAAATACCAGAGAAAGACAATAGATCTTAGCGGAAGAAAATTGATACCAGAGGCTGATGAATCAATAGATATAGAAGAAGACTGGAGTAAAGAGGAGTTGTTGGAGGAGGGTAAAAAATAGACATCAGGGGAGGAAAAATTAATCGATTTCGGGGAAGAATAATTGACATCAGGAGAAGACAATAAATATCAGAGGAAGATGAATTACTAGATGTCAGAGGAATATATCAGAGGAAGGCAAGAGATGTCAGAGGAAAATGAATTGATTGATATCAAAGGAAAATGAATTGATTGATATCAGAGGAAAATGAATTGATTGATATCAGAGGAAAAAAATTTTAGAGCAATATATCATTAGAGGAAAATGAATGGATAGATATGAGAGGAATAATTATTAGGAGAAAATGAATTAATAGATGTTCGAGGAGAATGAATTATTAGATACAAGGGAAATATCATTTGCATCAGAGAAAGATACATCGATTGATACCAGAGAAAGAAACTTTGATAGATTCCAGAAGAAGATAATAGATACCAGAGGAAAATTAATTAAGTGATATCCGAGGAAGATACTAGATATCAGAGGAAGATGAATATACCAGAGGAAGATGAAGTATTAGAGGAAAATGATGATAAACATTCGAGGGATAATTGATAATAAGATTGATATCCGAGGAAGGTTAACAGACGTCAGCGAAAACAATAGATACCGAGGAAGAGGAACGAAATAAATGAAGATAGTAAATTTCAAAAGAAAGTAAAAATACTAGAGAAAGACAATGGATGTCAGAGGACGATAAGGATATCAGAGGATGACAACTTAATTGATATCAGAGGAATGGAATAAGAGATTTCCGAGAAAGATGATTATTTGACGAGGGTGAATAATAGGCATCAAAGGAAATGAACTAATCGATATTTGGGAAAGATAATCGACATCAAGGGAAGACAATTAATATCAGAGGAGGATGAATTACTAGATGTCAGAGGAATAAAACCAGAGGAAGACACTAGATATCAGAGGAAAATGAAATAACAGGTTTCAGAGGAAGATGAATTATTAGAGGATAATAATAGAAATCAGAGGAACAGTTAATAGATATAAGCGAAAGAAATATATGAGAGGAAGAGAATTTATAGACGTCGCGGAAAATAATAGATATCGACATCCGAGGAAGTCAATTAGTGAACGTCAGCGAGAAATAATGGGCACCGGGGAAGAGGGACGAAATTAAATGAAGACAATAAATGCAAGAGAAAGACAATAAATATTAGAGAAAGACAATAAATACCAGAGAAAGACAATAAATATTAGAGAAAGACAATAAATATTAGAGAAAGACAATAAATATTAGAGAAAGACAATAAATACCGGGGAAAGACAATACATACCAGGGAAAGACAATAAATACCAGAGAAAGACAATAAATATTAGAGAAAGACAATAAATACCGGGGAAAGACAATACATACCAGGGAAAGACAATAAATACCGGGGAAAGACAATACATACCAGGGAAAGACAATACATACCAGAGAAAGACAATACATACCAGGGAAAGACAATACATACCAGAGAAAGACAATAAATACCAGAGAAAGACAATAAAAATTAGAGAAAGGCAATAAATACCAGAGAAAGACAATAAATATTAGAGAAAGGCAATAAATATTAGAGAAAGGCAATAAATATTAGAGAAAGACAATACATACCAGAGAAAGACAATACATACCAGAGAAAGGCAATACATACCAGAGAAAGACAATACATACCAGAGAAAGGCAATAAATACCAGAGAAAGACAATACATACCAGAGAAAGACAATACAGGTCCCAGGAGATATAGCGACCAGAAGATACTAAGATACGGAATAGGCATTACCGGGAGCTAGACGTCGACACGACATAACGCCAATCATGAAAGCCCAACGAACCTACAATCCCCACGCCGCCCAAATGCCACTGCCAAATGCCACCGCCAAACGACGCCGCCCGCGAAAAATATACATAAGCACGGGCCGCCCGACCCGCCCGGGCGCGGCCGTTCGTGCACCCAGCCAACATCCGCGAAACCAGCACCAACCACCTCCACCAACCACCTCCACCTCCACCACACACCATCCGCCCGCACCATCCACCCCCACCATGTCCGTCACGGAAAGACCGGCCGATTTCCACGTGCACAGGCCGGCCGGCCCGCACACACACCTCGAGCCGTTCGCCGCGTTCGAGCGGCAGAAAGGCCCGGGCACCTCCGCGCTCGTCGTGTTGAACACGCCGCTCCACCGCGTCGATGTCCGCGCCCTCTGGGCCCACTCGCCCGTGCACGTGTGCGCGGACGGCGGCGCCAACAGGCTCTACGAGTACTTTGCCGACGCCGCGGAGCGCGCCCGCTTCGTGCCCACGTACATCACGGGCGACTGCGACTCGCTCCGCCCCGACGTCCGGGCGTACTACGAAAGCAGGGGCTGCACGGTGATCCCCCAGTACGGGCAGTACGCGTCGGACTTCATGAAGGCCATCAAGGTGGTGCTTTTGCACGGCTGCGCGGCCGGGCGGGCGGCGCTCCAGCTCCCGGTCGAGCCGGACGCGGGTCTCGACGGGCTTGTGGAGCGCCTCGTGGAGCGCCCCGTGGGCGCCGACGGCGCGCCGCGCACCACCGCCGTCCACGTGGCGGGCGGCGTCGGCGGCCGCCTCGACCAGACGTTCCAGCTGATCAACCAGATGTACGCCGTGCAAGCGGCGCACGCGTGGGTGCACGTGGTGTTCTTCACGCCGCAGGACGTGGTGTTCTTGGCGCCGCGCGGCGTGACCTACGTGACGTACTCGGCGCGGGCCGTGTTCAACGCCAGGGACAGGGTGCCCCGGTGCGGGCTATTGCCCTTTGGGCGGAGGACCGTGCTCAGCAGCCGGGGGCTTCTCTACGACGTGGCGGGCTGGCCGTCGGAGATTGGCGGCGCGGTGTCGTCCAGCAACGGCGTGTGCGGCACCGACGGCTTTGTGGTGGAGAGCTCGGAGGACGTGGTGGTCAGCGTGGAGGTGAGCCGGGCCTTGCCGCGGCCGCCGAGCCCCGTGGGCCTGGGCTCTCGATGACCTGGGCTCTCGATGACATGGGCGCTAATTGGCATAGTCCTTATTGGCATAGGGCTCATTGGCATGGGTCCTAATTGACAAAGGTCCTTATTGGCATAGACGCTAGTTGGCATATAACTTATTGGCATAGGCCTAATTGAAATAGCCCTAATTGGCATAGGCCTTATTGACATAGGCCCTAATTGAAAGAGGCTTTATTGACATTGGCCTTATTGGCATAGGCGCCAATTGACATAGACCTAATTGACATATCCCTAATTGGCATAGACGCTAATTGAAATAGTCCTTATTGGCATAGGGCTCATTGGCATGGGTCCTAATTGACAAAGGTCCTAATTGACAAAGGTCCTTATTGTCATAGGCCTAATTGAAATAGCCCTAATTGGCATAGGCCTTATTGACATAGGCCCTATTTGAAAGAGGCCTTATTGACATAGACCCTAATTTAAGAAGGCCCTTATTGACATAGCCCTAATTGGCATAGGCGCCAATTAACATAGGCTCTCATTGTCATAGCCCTTATTGGCATAGACCTTATTGACATAGACCCTATTGACATAGGCCCTAATTTTAATAGGGTTTATTGACTTTGGCCTTATTGACATAGGCGCCAATTGACATATGCCTTATTGTCATAGGCCTAATTGTCATAGGCCTAATTGTCATAGGCCTAATTGTCATAGGCCTAATTGTCATAGGCCTAATTGTCATAGGCCTAATTGAAATAGGCCTAATTGGCATATACCTAATTGAAATAGCCCTAATTGGCATAGGCATTATTAAAACAGCCCTAATTGTCATATCCCTAATTGGCATAGGCCTTATTGACATAGGTGCAAATTGACAGGCCTAATTGACATAGACGCGAATTGGCATAAACCCTAATTGTCATAGCCCTAATTGGGATAGGCCCTATTGGCATAGACCGAGCCAGGGCTTACCCGCAGAACATCTCCGCTGGCGCCGGGCCCGATGTTTATTTATTTCACGGAGCCAGCGCGCCTGGGGCCGAGGGACGCCCGGACATAGACGTAAACCAGCAGCCCCAAAGCAAACCCTGGCCCGTGGAAGTAGGAGCCGCCTGCCCGCACTCTAGCCAGCGTGCCGGGCCTGGTCACATGATCTCCGCCATGTAGTCACCTCTCACGTGGCGAGGGAAAACCCTGCCTGTGAAGAGAGGTTTGTTCCTGTTCGTTTGGAGAATTCCGGGGCCCCAAGTCCCGCACATACTGGAATTGACAACTCGTGAATTGACAACTCGTGAACTGACAACGCTGGTAATGAAAGGCCTCCATACCCAGCGTGCCCAGACTGTATGAGAGGCCGCGCACCCGTAGACTGAAGTGAGAAAAAAAAAACGCTGTGCTCGGACCAGACCTGGCTGGACAAACTCCACATGTTTAGAACCGGTCTTTTCCAGAGGCTCTCCGTGACGGTGGCGCGGCTGCTTGCCACGGTGCCGCAGAAAACCAGCCTCTTGGCGCCGGCGCCCCGCATGGCCCCGGCCGTGTTCTCTTCTTTCTCCAAGCTCAAGGCTTTGCACGAGCCGTGGATCAGATATCCCGGCTGGGCCCCGTTGGCGGACCCCGTGCCGACACAGGGACCGGCCCGCCCGCTTGCCGAGGACGGGCCCGACCACACAATCCACATGGACTCGGTCTTGCGCAAGAGAAGACTCAAGATGAAGAAGCACAAGTTGAGAAAGAGGAGACGCTTGCAGAGGTCCTTGAAAAGGAGGTTGGGCAAGATCTAGGCCGCGTGCTGTGGCCCCGGTGGGGCGCCGGCGGGCGTCGCCCGGGCCTGGAGTCGGACAGGCCCCGGGGGGCTCATTCGGTATATACGAAGCAATAAACACGAGGTAATAGATACCAGAGAAAAGACACGAGGTAATACCAGAGAAGAGACACGACGCCATACCAGAGAAAAGTCACGAGATAACCAGAGAAAGACCCGAGGAAACAGATACCAGAGAAAAGACACGGGATATAGATACCAGAGGAAAGACCCATGACCACCGTTGCCTCCTCGTCTTAGTCACGTAGAATCAAGAAAGACGACAGCTCCCGGCCGTATGGAAACCGCCATCTTCCATGCACAACGAACAGGCCAGCAGCGATTAGAGCGGGGGCCCGGTGTGGAGCATGCATCCGAAAAAACCCGTTACTTGTCGGATGTCGCCCGGTGTACTAACTAAAAAATCTACTACTTGTCCAATGTCACCCGGTGTACTCACTAAAAAACTAATACTCGTCCAATGTCACCCGGTGTACTCACTAAAAATCTACTACTTGTCCAATGTCACCCGGTGTACTCACTAAAAAACTAATACTCGTCCAATGTCGCCCGGTGTACTCACTAAAAATCTACTACTTGTCCAATGTCACCCGGTGTACTCAATAAAAAACTAATACTCGTCCAATGTCGCCCACTGTACTTCCTACTTAGAAGCGGCCCGAAAGATGACGTGCGCTCACTGCTCGCTCACCGAAAGCCCGGTCCGAGTCTCACCTTTTCTTTCGTAGCACCACAAATCCTCCGAAATCCCCACGAATATGCCCACGCTCACATTTGTCACGGGCAACCAGAACAAGAAGGCCGAGGTGGTGGCCATTCTCGGCGGCGTGGACTCGGACAAAGGCTCCAAGGTCGGCGAATACTACATCGTCAACCAGAGCTTGGATATCGAGGAAGTGCAGGGCACCATCGACGAGGTGACGGTCCACAAAGCCAAGGCCGCCGCCAAGCTCGCCGGGGGCCCTGTTTTGGTCGAGGACACGTGCTTGGCGTTTGCCGCATTCAATGACTTGCCGGGCCCATACATCAAGTGGTTTGTGCAAGGCGTGGGCCTCCAGGGCTTGGTCGACATGCTCTACAAGTTCGAGGACAAAAGTGCCAAGGCCATCTGCACGTTTGGATATTGCGAGGGCCCCGACAAGGAGGTCACGTTGTTCCAAGGAATCACCCACGGCAAGATCGTCGACAGCAGGGGCCCGCAGAACTTCGGGTGGGACGCGATATTCCAGCCCGACGGCTATCACGAGACCTACGCGGAGATGGACAAGAAGATCAAGAACGGCATTTCCCATAGGTACAAGGCGTTGAAGCAGGTCCAGGACTTCTTGTTGCGCACGGGCCCATGCTGAACAGGCCCGTGCTGAACAGGCCCATGCTAAACTCTCTTCCTCGGGCGCCGCACGTAGACATTAGCGTTTACTAGATCAAATAGTACATAAAAAAACCATCGTTGACTCGTGACATCGAAGCTTCCAAACAGCCCCCGCACCCACTCTATCAACTGAAAAGGTTCTTGACCTTCAGCATGAAGTTGCCCTTCTTCTGGCTCGTCTTTTCGCCCTGGCTCACCACGGTGTACAAGTTGTTGGGGTTCGAGCCGGCACTGCTGCCGTTGGAGCGGGTCTTGGAGACCACATTTCCAAAGCCGCCCCTGCCGATCGCAAACGACTTGTTGGAGGCCACGGCAAGCAACTCGTTTTCGGCCTTGTTGCCGTCCACGTCCTGGAGCTTGCGGGTGAGGTTGGGGTCATCGTTGTCGACCATGTTCCCGTAGCCCCCCCTGCCCGTGGTGACCTTGCTGGTGGTCAATTTCGGGGTGTTGGTTCCCTGCGGCACAAGCTTGGGCGACGGCATTTCGCTGCTGGACTTGATGTTTCCCGACCCGCCCCTTCCAGTGGAGTAATAGATTCTCTTATCGCTCTTGTGCTCATGGGGAACTTCTGGTCTTTCCTCGCGGACCTCTTCGGGACTGACAATGTTCCCGGATCCTCCTCTGCCTGTGGAAACCATGGCTATACGTATTGCAGTGTTGGGCGAGTCAAATAAATATTCGAAGGGTTGAATGGGCGAGTTGCTATGTGGAAATAACAAAAAAAAAGGGTTCGCTTTCGGCGAAGCTCGTTTTGCCAAGGGGGATCTTGGCATTCGTTAGGCATCCACACCCGCGCACGTGACCTGCCCTGCCTGGAGTTGTTTCCCCAGCCAATTTTTTCCAAGTGGGGGGTGCGATGTGCGGAAACGCCGCGTCACGAGAGGCTGGGGGTGATTATCCCCGGCCCTCTCCACTGCCCTGCACCAACAGGCGATGTTTCCTTTAAAAAAAGTCAACAACTTCAAGTTTCTTCAGAAATGACTGCGGGTTGTGCGTGTTCCGAACTTTCCGGCTTCATCATTATTCTCGTGGTAGTTTCTGACCTGTAGATACCATGAGCTTACAATAATAAACTGGCCCTGCCCTGAATTCGGGCGAAAGGGGGCCCTTTGCTATTTTGGCGCCAAATCTAATTGCCGCGAGCAAAAAAAAAAAATGGCGCCATCAGGTTATTGGTTCCAGCGCGGAATCCTCTTCCAAGATCATGATGAGCGAGCCCACGGTTGGCTCGTCAAGCCCGAAAGTCACCGCGGCTTTCAAGACTCGCGAATACAAGCTCTCGACAGGCACCGTTACCTTTTCGGGCAAGCTCTTCAAAATCGCGTCGGTGTTCTCCTGAGGCTGTTGCGGCTCCTCCACCGACACCTTGCTCTTTTTTCTCCGGTGTCTCAAGCCTGGGAATGTGAATGCCCTGCGTAATCTGATGGAGAACCCTCGGAAGCCCCGGGGCTCGTTGGCAGGAGCAAGCGAACACCCTTTGATTCTTTTCGGGTACACAATCGAGCTGCGTCGTTGCGATGCATGTTTGAGAAATAGGTGTTGGATTCCCGGCACCCCGGTTGCATTGCTAGCGCGATAGCTGGCCTTGAGACTGGCCGGATACGGGTGTTTCCGCGGCGGCAATAAACTGCACGAGTCTCGCTGGTCCACTCTCGCTGGGCCCTCGGAACTGGTGTCACAGTCGCCCTCGAAGTAGCTGGCGGCGAGTGACACCACCTCGGAATTGCCCCAGCACCGTGCGGGGGCAATGATGTCCACAGTGGAAGTGGACGAAAAGAGCGGAGTCAGCTCGCGGTCGCTGTTGCTTTCAGTGTCTACAAACGAGCTGCGGTTGGCGGCAGAATACCGGGAGTTTCTGTTTGCATTGGCGTTTATCCCCGTGGCATTGATAAGATCGCTTGACGACGAGAGCTGCGAGAACGGATTCTTAAGAACCCCCCACTGTTCGGAGTCGCTAAGTTTTCCCATCTTGAATCTGTTCTCACGTCAGTTGAAAGAAAGACCAAAGATCGAGTTTACGAGTTTTCGAAGGCTCCAAAAAAGACAGCGCCTGGAACAGACCGGCAAACGCTATCTAGTTAAGAAAGACCGGGTCCTGGGTGGGAGGGCTGGAAGCTGTCGGCTAGACAACCAGGGCACGTGAAACCAGGGAAAGTGAGAGTGAAGTGAAATGGGCTTGAAACGGAACTCGTTGCAGCCATCAGGCAACAGTGTGGGACTCGAGGGTTTCCTGACACACGGCTGCAAAGAGGAGACCGCCCAGATGGGCCCATTGATTTTGACAGCTCGGACCGTCCCAATCGGGAAACTGAGGTACGCAGTGGTGGGACATGCTTTCTGAAAGCGGACACAATTGGTCAGGAGTGAAGCGGCAACGCCTCTTTCTGTACAGGTGTTTTGGGCTATAAATGATAAGCAGGGCCACAACTTCGAAACGCTTCTTGTCGCGCCTCAGTTGTGTTTCAGCCTTGTCTCCGCACCCTCGTGGGACACAGGCTAGATGGCCGCCGGCCACCTCTTTAAGCTGGGGCCCTCATGATCTGTGTTGGTGCAAATAATGCTCTTTTTTGGAGACGGTCTGTTTGGATCCGCTGCTCAAGATGCGTGGGCAGAGTGCCGTGTTTCATATCCCGACACCACTTTGCCTTTGCCAATTTCCCGCGCAAATACTTCCAAAGCTACATGCGAAGCTCAAGAATCTGGGCGTTTATTTTGCTCGGGCTTTCGGAAAATATCATGTGTGCCACACTGTTTTAGATCTCGGCGACCAACACTCACAGGCTGGCCGGCTGATGTGAAATATAGACCGTGCGCCACTTTTCGCACCCTCAGATGTGCTGCGTTCTTGCATGAATGCGCCCTGGGTGCGCGCATGTCCTGCTTAACGGTTCTTTCCCAGGCTTTAACTGATGAGCATACAAATACACAGCCTTTGATAGAAACGCCGTTAGCCACACAGCCCCTGGCCCGAGATCTGAAATTTTGTGTCTGTCTTTTAACTGCTATGCTTTTTATTTTAAAGCTGACGAATCTAGTGAGGGCTCATTAGTCGACTTACAAGGAGGACGATTGAGCAAAAGTAGCACCCGGGATGAGCAAGCATAATTTGGGGACTACGAGGAAAAGATATGAGCAGGGCTGGGGAAGATCTGGGCTCTCCCAAAAGAGGCTTTCTATCTCTAACAGCTCGCATATCAACGCGTTTATGGTGAGGCGAGATCAGATACATTCTGCGCGATTTCGTATTTGAAGATTTCACGGCAAAAGGGCTAAGGCAGTAGTAGTAGCACCAGAATACAAATAATTGCCTCAAAACAGTTCCGACCCCTCAGAGTATTAAAGCGTTTGTGGAATGAAACTGGAGACTCTTGATTACCGGGAATCTGGAGATACATATATGACTTGATGGAAAATGCGTCTCTACGGGTACGAGGAATACCGTGTGGTATATGTCGACATGAGCTTTTAGAGACATCCGATCAAATCAAAAGCAACACAAAAACTCAACGCCTCATCTTATAGTCCGATGCATTTGTCCTTGCTATAATCGCCTGGGCAGTGCTTTCATGGCGTTTTGCTAAACGCGAAGGGGCACAGCTTCTTTGCATGACAAGGCGCACATCACCTGATTCATACACAACTCAAATGACCGCGATGCTTCTAGAAGACTCAGATGACTCTATATATATCTATATTTCTGTTCCGGCTTGCCTGAACCGATACTATTTCCCCCCTGCCTTTACAAAAATGAAGCTTGCTCAGGTTTTTGCTGCTGCCACTGTTTTCGTTGCCGCACACGCTGCGAACAATTCTTCGTCCACCACTGCCTCAGATGCGGGCGCTCAGCTTACGGGTGTTTCCGTTGGTGCTGGTTTAGCCCTTGCTGGTGCTGCTGCCCTCTTATTATAAGAGTTCAGAGTATTTAGAAATAGGACAAAATTCATATGTTTTAGAACTGACTTTACGCTAGAGAATGCAGACACCTTTTTACCAGATCTATACTTGTAGTGCGATCCATTTCCCCACTCTGACGGACCCGAGCAAGAACGCCTACCTCTGTTCTATAAACCGCACCAAGGATTTTCAAGACAATACTCACGTATGAATTTTCCCGTTGTATGAATGAGACATCTTCCCAATTATGGCATACCAAAACTATAATATATAGCGAAAGTCACAATCTCTCGTCACCATTCAGAAAACTCGGAAGAACAATACTCAGTGAACAGCATGATTAAGAAGTCTAGCGACGTGAACCTCCCTTATACTCTTTCAAATTTACCTGTTAAATAAGGATGAAGAAGTTGACTCATCTCAATTATCCCTCACCCGACTGGAGCTATCCTTATTAGGTATACGTATCCATGAGCCGTAAAAAATTTCATATTCGTGTCTGGTCGCTCTGTAATACCAATCCGAATAATCATCCATTTATATGTACATTTCTTAGCACACGCCCAAATCTGAAATGGCTTTCAAAAACCTGCAGGTGTATAAAACACGGCTATCGAAGCCCGAAATACAATATGGAGCCATCTCCATTAAAACACATCGGGTAGTCTCTCCACCACGTACAGGTGGCCACCTACACTCATTAGAGGAATTCCTGGCACTTTTCTTATACGTCTCTTCAAATCCGCATCGTTCGTGGCGACAATATAACATTTATGTTGAATGACACGGTTCACCAAACAGTCATCTGCATACGTTCCTCCATGAGAGCAGCTGAGACGTTTGATCCTGGGGTCCTTGGCTAGCTTGAGTGCAATTCTATACTTAGGACCGAGTTTCTCCAACTCTGCCATCACACAGTCTGTCACGATCGGGATACATTTAGCGTATAGGCAGTCCATGAGACCTTTAACAATATCGATTTTCTTCTGGATGGAAAAGTTGAAGAAATTCGTGTCGATCAATACCTGGTATGGAGGTTTGATGGCCTCGTTATACTGAAAGAATAAGGCACTGGACACTTGAGGCACGGATTTAGTGAGCTCTGCATCCTTTTCTTTGGGTTTCGCGTCGGGCTTTTTCAACTTGGGGTCATTGCTCTTGATGGCCCTTTTCATCAGGGCGAACTTCCGCGTCTTTTTTGCTTTACCCATGGCTAATGTGTTGCTGAAGCCGATGAGTATAGCGAAAATTGAACTGAGCCTTTCAATGAGATGTGCACCCGTACACCAAAATTCATTAGTCGATGGCTGTGCCAAAGCATCGAATTTGGTCAAGCGAGAACAGACATTCGGGTTTCTCATCATCTTTTTCCTGATACATTCATGCTTTCGTCAGTTTGTTGTTTCTTTATTAGAGATTTTATGGGCCAATGGTGTGATGAATTATTTTTACCCTGGACGTTACCAATGATACAGAGGCTTAACCTGCAGCCTCCCCTGACCAGATCTCTTGCGGATCAATTGACTTCTCTTGATCACGCTTCCAGCCATATATTTTGTTTTTCTCGAAATCAAATTCGAACACCCGTAGACGACGCTTGTAGCCCGGGTCAAGCCGCGTCAATCCAGATTCTCCTGTTACACCGGAGTAACATAGAAGCACTTTTGCCCCGCCAGTCTCCTCCCAGATACACGCATCGTTTTCGTGTTCATGGCCCACAGCAACAGCTTTGTAGCCACTAGCCTTGATGTCTTCTAGAAATTTTTTGTCGGTTTCGGTTACCAATTCATGTTTCTCATTGTATGAACCGATCAACTTCACGGTTCCTTTAGGACGAAAGTTCGGGAGTGGGTAGTGAAGAAAGAGAAGCTTATGCTCAGTATCAGAACTTTGTTTATGGTTGACACGGTACACGTAATTGGCCTGCGAGTCTTTTACCATTTTACCTTCCGAGTCTAGGTAGGTAACAAGAGCGTTGGCGGGTTTCAACGGAAGATTTTGCAAATCGATTTGTCCATCCTCTGACGTCGATTGTGCATTGTAGATCTTCAAATTCCCGTTGGACAATCCGTGTAGCCTGTGGTCTAGGTCATCGTATTTTTTGTTATAGCACCCAGGAAGACTGGCAATGAAATTCAAGATTTCGATCTTGTTGACATGACCCGTGCGCCTATAATCCGAATCTCCGAATGTGAAAATGAAAGGAATCCCTGACTCCAACACGGGAGACAAGGCTTTCAAAACCACAGATCCATAATGCGTGGTTCGTGAGACATCGATCATGTCGCCTGTAATGACGATGAGTTGGACGTCGCCTTCTTGTTGTATCGCAGATTTGACGAATTCGAGAGTATCAATATCAAATTTGCAATCATCGTAGCATGCGCCAGTATCTTGCCCAATGTGCATATCACTCAATTGTATTATTTTGAACTTGGGTGTCGTTGTGACGAGCATCTCATTCTTCTTCAAGATGGAATCAAAATCTTGCTCACTTTTCAAAATGACAATCTCATCAACCACTGAAACCTTCAACATCGATATTTTTGCGTGGATCAGAAACTTCCCAGGAATAGGAATCCTGCTTGGTTCGAACTCCCAGTGTTTCCGGGAATCCTTCATATCCTCTTTCCCGTAAAAGACGTTGACTTCGCGAACAACAGGGATCTTGAAGTCGAGTACTTCTATGTATTGAATCCAAATATAACCAGAGGGAGATATTTTGTACTTTAGAAATTTGGAGTTTTTGATATTCGACTCAGGTTGCTGCTCTGTCAGTGTGAACGTGATGTCAATGACGAACCGGTCCGACTCCACCGTTGGGCTTTTTTCCACGTACATGTAGTAGTCGAACAATTGGAAATCATCGGGAAACAAGTTCAATTTAGTGAGTGACTTCTCCCAGAAGGTCAGTTCACTGCGTGCTGGAGGGCCATCACACGAAAATCCCCGGAGACACCGCTGTATGTGAATGTCCGTGACGATCATGTTTTTGGAGATGATTTCCAGCGCTGAGAAGTAACTTAAGTCAGACTTGACGGGTCCTTCACGTGAATAATCAATGGCGATTCCTCGGCTGTTGAAGGTATGAATCATGGTTAGAAGAATCCCTAGCGATACCAATATTAAGTGAACCCTTCGATTTCGTGCAATCGCATATAGCCTGGAAGTCATTTTTGGATATAGCCCTAGGGTTGAAGAGGGCATGACAAAGTTCGACTGTGACTTGTCGAAAAGAATGGAGTTTGTGCTGACTAAAGGACTGCTTGTTGACAGGCCCGCCCATAATGCCAACTTTGGCTCACCTCCCAATTAGGCTATAAATAAAGAACCACAAAAAAAAAAGAAAAAATGAGGCGGTTCAGGTAAAATAGCCGCGCAACGCAGAACCGGCACAATGGAATCAGTATCTTCTAGCAGGTGCCGGCATTTTATTGGCAAATCAAGAACACAGATGCAGTCAATCTGTGAATACACAAAGCACGACTCCAGGCCGGTCAACACCAGAAGACTGAGGTCTCATAATGATATCGTATTCAAGCTTCATGTAGAGACAGCGTGCGCGCATCATGATGTCGCATTCGGGAAGATTTTCTCGTTTTCCAAAAACTCCTGCACGATATGATGACTTAAATGCACGATCGAAGAGCTTGCCATGGAATCGACAGCGTCAGGCCCCTCCAAACTCCTGTCTTTGGCAGTGTCCTCCCAACGAGGCCTTTTCACGGAGTCATCTTTATTTACCACAGTTTCTGCAGAGTTTTCTTCGGAATCGTGGCTTGCGTCGTTTATTCCCGCAGTCGGAATTAGCCCCGAATCCGTATACTCAAGACCGGGCTTGGCGTCTTCGTTCTTGGCGTCGTTATCGAGCGCGCACTGCGACATGTTACGAGTTGCAGACACCTCGCCCTGCGTATCAATTCCATCACTGTACTCAAGTCTAGAATGCGGTGTTTGTTCGTTATATGGCTTGTCGCTCTGCAGTAATTCATCTTTAACGGGATACTTTGGCTTAGACACATTTCCGGCTTGAAGTGCGATTTCTTCATCAGATACAGGGCTCGAAAGGTCGTCTGCGGTGACAATTGAAATCGGCCCACTCCTCTCGGTGTCTGCGTACACGAGTGTTATATTCTGTGAGCCAATGCGGCGTTCCACGGCATTTGCGACACTGGCATAATCTATCGTTACACCACCATCCATGTCGACCCAATTTTCACCGGCTCGCACGAAATATTTAGTTTCCGAAAAAATCACTCCAACGAGATTGTAGGCGCGTAAGTCCGGCAAATCACAAATTATACTTTCCAACAGCGCAAGTCGTTGCGGAGACGCGTTTGATTTCGCTTGGGCTTGGTTTTCCAATTCGGCAAAGCGGAGTTCTTGAAGCAAGTTTGCGAGCTCGCGTAAATCTTCGCTTGCATTGGGGTTATTTTCCTGTAGAGCCGATGCAGTTTGCAGTAGAAGACCGTCGATTTTCTTTCCCTCGAAGAAATTGAGGTCCATAAGCTTTCGATTCAGTTTCTGGTATTCCATCTGTGCCCTTTTAATCAAGTGAATTTCTTCACGCACACGGCCCAATGCCTTGTCACTGTAGATCTCGGGGTACATAATCTCCAGCAATTGGAACGGCACATGCGACGTGTTGGAGTCTGCAGCAAGAAGCTGGTATGTGACGATGGGTGCCACAGAACTATATTTGATTCTGCCAAGAAACTCGAAATCCTTTTGCCAAAATAGTTCGTTGAGCGTTTCGTAGAGAGTAGAGCCCCGAGAATCCGAGTCTATTTCTAAGACAGTCAAGTTGTTGCTGATATCTTCATCTAAGCTTTGTACCATGGACTCGAAGATGGGTTTCAAAGCCGGCTCCTTTCTCATCAAGAAATCTATGATGTTGAGGATCAATTCCTCGTCTTGCAAAGAGCCGCAAGGCCCATCATTTTCTAGGATCTTGGCTAGCTTGTCAGTGTCATGATACCACCGCTTACTGTTATCAAAGTTCTGCACGAAATAAACAATTTGCTGCAATTCTCGAATGAAACTCAGTTTGCTTCTCAGCTGTAAGACTGGCCCGGCGAATATACTTGAGTGGGTTAAGATCAAAATCAACGGTACCCAGGATCTTGCTTTGTTTCTTTTACTGAGCAAAAAAGGAACATTGGTGAACTCAGTTTTCACATTCTCGGGGTATTCTTCCTCTGGCTCTTCGAGAAGAGAGTCATCCTCAACCTCCTCGAGAGAGCTGGAACTGGAACTGGACGCGGAATTGGAGCTGTAGAACGGCCCTTGGTTTTCCTTCATTGCTTCCGCCATATTTCCTTCTTCATTCACGAAACTCTCAGCTCTTTCGACGGTGCTATCCTCATTGACAGGTCGCTCACAATGGCGTACTTCCGCCACAGGGGTATTGGTTGGATACAGGGTCAAGAATTCCGGAATGTCATGTGGGTTGGAAATTCCGACAGAATCGGCAATGCCAATTTGCTCACTTTCCACATCGTAGGGCGCCAGCTGAGTACCTGCTCCGGAAGAGGCATCGACCTCTCCGAATAGATAGGCAATGGCTTTATTGAGATCATTTCCAGACGCCGAGAGAGCTTCCATGGCTTGATTATTCAGAAAGCCCATTTCCTGGAGCATTTTGATTTGGGAATCCTTGTCCATTTTAGAAGAAAGACCAGATCTTGATGTTTTTGGCCCGGGTTCGCCTAGAGTATGGGGTTCGTGTATCAGGGCAACCGTGTGATTGATTTCGGTGCACGGGTGTGGGGAGGAGTTGAACGACGCAAAGCTAGGACTGTTATATGAACATCACATACTTCAAAATTCAAGGCTATAAATTTGATTGGCAATAAAATTTAAGCTCACGGTATGAAGACACGTTTATTTCTACTGGTTGTACAAGTCTTGTCAAATTCAGTTCGGGCCTGGCTCAAGCGTTAATATAATATCGAGAGTGTACGAGGCACCTCAGTACCGAAAGAAGCTAATTTTGGCTTTATGGAGTGCATGCCGAGAAACGTAACGGCTTTCCCGGTTTCCGAACCAAGATAGAGATTTAATTGGAAGCCATTTACCAAGAACACAAATTTTCTACCCAATCAACGCCGGACCTGAGTATGCAGAAGGTCCAAAATAAGAGTTGCGAAACTGAGCCCGCAGTTGAGAAAACATTTCAGTTGTCCCAGATTGTTGTGGATGCAAATATACCTGGCTGTATATGGTCTGAATTATTGCGAGCGGGGGATAGCTGTGGTGCCCATAATCACACGCGTTTGTGTAATAGTATTATTGTAGAATAGAATTAAATGACCGCTACGGTGCAATTTATGGCTCGAGCCTTCATCAAGCCGTGGCCTTATAAACCGCGCGCTGTTTTCTGGGTAATTTCCAATAAGAAGCCACGAGTGCCGCTATTGAAATTGCATAAATGGTGTGTCAGCAGATAATCCATTCAATAAAATGGCCAAATAATGAGCTTCGTGTTCAGACGTCGGTCTATGCTTTCCACAGGGCAATACCTGACCAACCAGGCTAGGCTTGTGCCCGGCCTGTGTCGTGTGGGTGCAAATGACTGATTCGCATCTCACCAAAAGATAGACAGGGAAAAAAAAAAAAAAGAAAAAATGTGAAGACTTGCATGAGACTTTATCGGTCTGCTATCCTCTTCAGAAACATAATTTGTAGACGCAAGTACGCCATGTCCACTGAAACAATCACTCAATCGTTGGCCGGATTGGGCCTCCAGAACTCGCCCTCGGTAGAGGGCTCTCACCCCGAATACAACGTCGTGGATGTGATGAGAAACTATATTACACTGGAATTGAGCTCCATCACCGGAATTTCAAACGAGATCATTTTCCTGGCTTTGGACTCGCCCAACACTTTGGACAAGGGAGATCTTCTCGTGCCGCTCCCCAGATTGAGGCTCCCAAAGGGCACTGATTTCAAGGCCAAGGCCACGGAAATCGCCCAGGCCTTCAACAAGGGTGGGTACTTGGCTGAAGTCAGGGCCGAGGGCCAGTTCTTGCAGTTTTTCTTCGAGAAAAAGACGCTTTTCAACCTTGTCATCAAGGATGCCTTGACCAGAAGCACGGACTACGGGTTTTTGCCCTTGGGTTTGGGTAAGAAAGCCATTATCGAGTTTTCGTCTCCCAACATTGCCAAGCCTTTCCACGCCGGCCACTTGAGATCCACCATCATCGGTGGGTTTTTGGCTAACTTGTACGAGAAAGTCGGCTGGGACGTCACCAGAATCAACTACTTGGGAGACTGGGGCAAGCAGTTTGGCTTGTTGGCAATCGGTTTCGAGAAGTACGGTGACGAGGCCAAGTTGGCCACGGACCCCATCAACCACTTGTTCGAGGTGTACGTGAAGGTGAACAGAGACATCACCGACGAAGGCGAGGTTGCGGGCGGCACCAACGACCAGGCCAGAGCCTATTTCAAGAGAATGGAGGATGGCGACGAGAAGGCATTGGCCATCTGGAAGAAGTTCAGAGACTTGTCCATCGAGAAGTACATCGACACATACGCCCGGCTCAACATCCAGTACGACTTGTACTCCGGCGAGTCGCAGGTCTCGCTGGAGAAGATGAAAGAAGTCATCGAGTTGTTCAACGAAAGAGGGTTGGTGCATGAGGACAGAGGCGCCAAGCTCATCGACTTGTCGAAGTTCAACAAGAAGTTGGGCAAGTGTCTTGTGCAGAAATCCGACGGCACGTCGTTGTACTTGACCAGAGACGTGGGGGAGGCCATTAAGCGTTACGACAACTACAAGTTCGACAAGATGATCTACGTCATTGCCTCGCAGCAGGACTTACACACGGCGCAATTTTTCGAGATTTTGAAGCAGTTGGGCTTCGACTGGGCCAAGAAGTTGGAGCACGTGAACTTTGGCATGGTGCAAGGCATGTCCACAAGAAAGGGTACCGTGGTGTTCTTGGACAACATTTTGGAAGAGACCAAGGACAAAATGCATGAAGTGATGAAGAAGAACGAAGGCAAGTACGCACAGATCGAGAACCCCGAGAAGATCGCGGACTTGGTCGGGATTTCCGCCGTGATGATCCAGGACTTCCAGTCCAAGCGTATCAACAACTACGAGTTTAAATGGGAGAGAATGCTTTCTTTCGAGGGTGACACCGGTCCATACTTGCAGTACGCACACTCGCGCTTGAGCTCGGTGCAAAGAAAGTCGGGCATCTCGGAGGACAAGTTGAAGAGTGCCAACTTCGACTTGTTGACCGAGTCCGCGGCCTCAGACTTGATCAGAACGTTGGCGCAATACCCTGACGTGATCAAGAAGGCCTTGAAGACGAACGAGCCTTCCACGATCGTCACCTACTTGTTCAACTTGACACACATTGTGTCCTCGTGCTACGACACCTTGTGGGTTGCAGGCCAAGAGGAGGACTTGGCCACGGCTAGATTGGCGCTCTATGCGTCTGCTAAGCAAGTCTTGTACAACGGTATGGTGTTGTTGGGCTTGACTCCCGTGGACAGAATGTAAGCCTCACGGGCCCGTTTGTAGCGGTAATATGGAGTATGAAACAGTTGCAAAAGGAAATGTTGTTGGTGTATTTTTTCTCGGTGGAGTTTTTACTAAGGCGTTTAGATGATTCTGAAGGGTGGCAAATTAGAAAGACACATGCGGCTGTGGGATTCATATATCGAAGCTGCAACTTGTGATATGAAACTGCTCAACGTTACCACAAATGTATTTAGAAATTATCCATAGTATAATCTAGTATGGGAAGCAAATGTAACAAAGGGCTAGGGTCCTTCATCATCATCAAAAGACTCAAAACGCAAATTTTGGATGCAGAATCGACGGGATTGAGTGAGTAAAGTTGGAACTCAATTTCTCTCTCAAGGATGGGCATGTTGAAATAATTCAACCAAAAGCGATAACAGCATATTTGACAAGATCATGTTAAAATATGAAATGCCAACTTAGAAAACACATGGATATCACACAAACCCAAGCAGCTTTTGAATATGGAAGTATAAGTATACCCAGATATACATATAGAGATAAAATAAATACGGTTTAGTCGAGTTCACAATAGTCACTACTATATTCAACAGTAGACCGACAATACAAAGCGTCGGCAAAGTCACCCCTACTGATCACTAAAACATTTTGTCAGCGACTCAAACTAAAACTTTCCTATACCCCACTCGCTGAACGATTACCTAATCTCGATATTAGTTGTTACACTCTGCACCACTAGTCCCACCAGTATACCGTCCTATAGTCGGCATCTTTTGCTATGAGAGAGCCTGGCAAGAAAAGCACAACTCTTTTTGCAAATACTTCACGACTGGGAGGTAACTTTTCCAGCACTAGTCCTCTAGTTCCGTTGTTGAGTAATATGGCGTTTTTTCGCAAAATAAAAAATCAATGAACAAAAAGTATGACTACTACACAATACTCACTGCTGTATCGAGACTCAATTCAATACTATAGTCAGTATACAGCTCAAGTTTCTCTGATACTCGATTCATAGCTTTGATCTATAGATGTACAAGAACCATGGCTCATTGACCGATCAAGTTATTTTTTTGTAAATACATTTATAGTTTTGAGTTTTTTCACATGTCAAGATGCAAATTTTACTCAGAGAAACCAAACTGGTATATAAATCTGCTACGGTTCAGTCATTTTATCAAAAAAATAGAAAACGTTGTCATGATCAAATGATTTGTGAATACAAGGCCTGCTAAACTGTTCACTTCCAGGTATTTGTCATTATTGTTACATCTACCAATATAGTCGACACTATGCCCCATGAGAACTTCAGCGACATCATGTGATTTTCTTTCAGAGAGAAAGATGACTAAGAGAGTCGAGATCATGAAAGATTGACTAAAATATCACCCCAAAAGAACTACAACACACATTAACATTCTCACCAGACTCAGTATAATACCAATTAATATTCTCACTACTCAGGACTATACCCATAATGTTCTCGCTACTGCACTGACCCATTACCGTACCCACCATAGTCACTGCACTCACCATTCTTATCTAACTATACTACTTTGCCCATTTGTATTTTGACTACTGCCTCACAGATATACCCACCACGATACTCACGATACTCACATACTCACCACTCACTATACCCACTACTCACTACACTTAGTATACTGACTGTACTCACTATACTCATTATACTAATTATACTAACTATACTCAGTACTCACTATACTCAGTACTCACTATACTCACTAAACTCAGTGAACTCACTACACTCAATATACTCACTACACTCAATATACTCACTACACTCAGTGAACTCACTATACTCATTGTACTCACTGCACTCACCATACCCAATAATATTCTCACTACTGGACTCAGTAATATGCCCACCACCTTACTAACATACGAACTATACTGACTATACTCACTACTCACTATAATCACTAGTCACTACTCACTATAGTCATTAATCACTATACTCACTGCACTCAGTAAACTCACTGCACTCAGTAAACTCACTGCACTCAGTAAACTCACTACACTCAGTAAACTCACTACACTCAGTGAACTCACTACACCCAGTGAACTCACTACACTCACTATACTAATTCTACATACTCACTGTACTACAATACCCATTAATGTTCTCACTACCGCAGTCATTAATATACCCACCATTGTACTCACCATACTTACTGTACTTACTAAACTCACCATACTTACTGTAATCACTATACTACCATACCAATAAAATTCTCACTACAGCACTCCTTAATATGCCCACCACCATACTAACAAACTAACTATACTAATTATACTCACTACTCACAACTCACTACACTAATTATACTCACTACTCACTACACTAATTATACTCACTACTCACTACACTAATTATACCCACTGCTCACTACTCACTACTCACTACACTAATTATACTCACCATACTCATCGTACTAATTATACTCACCACTCACTACTCACTACTCACTACACTAAGTATACTCACTACACGAAGTATACTCACTACTCACTACACTAATTATACCCACTGCTCACTACTCACTACTCACTACACTAATTATACTCACTGCTCACCACTCACTACTCACTACACTAATTATACTCACCATACTCATCATACGAATTATACTCACCACTCACTACTCACTACACTAAGTATACCCACTACACTAAGTATACTCACTACTCACTACACTAATTATACTCACTGCTCACCACTCACCACTCACCACTCACAATCCCAATACCAATACCATTCATATTCCAACTGCTGCACTCACCACCTCCCTTCTGCTGGGCTCTGACAGAAACCGCCGCATCGCTTCAGAACCCAGCCTCTCGGGCAGCGCCCCGGGCGGCGGCCTGCACACAGCCGCTCGGCCCGCCAACAGTCAAGTCAGCGGCAGCCCCAACATCCCGCCCTTCTTCCCCCAAAGCCCCCTCTCTTCCCCCACCATCCCGCCGCCCCAGCTCCGAGGCCCCCTCCGCACCGCCCCCGCCATGAGCACCGCCCCGCTGCCCGCCGCCCCGGCGGCCGAGGAACTCCGGCTTCTCCAGCAGAAAATCGGCCAGTTCCGCGTCGTCCAGTTGAAGGAGCTCTGCAAACACTCGGGCCTCGCGGTCTCGGGCCGCAAGCAGGACCTCGTGGACCGCGTGCTCCAGCTCGTCCGCCAGCTCGCGGCCCCGGGCCGCCACGTCGAGATGTTGGCCATGCAGACCTTGGTCTGGAAGCTCGCGGTCAACGGCGACGCGCCGCCCTTGCACCAGCTCGTGCACACCATCCAGCTGGGCCACTTCTCGTACCAGCAGGTGCACGAGCTGCTCGCGCAGTTCCGCCGCAGCGCCGGCGCCGCCCACCCGCGGGACCCCGCCCGCGCCGTGCCGCCAAACCCATTGGCCCCGGGAACGGCGCCGCCTGATCACTCGGCCTGGGGAACGGCGCCGCCAAACCACACGGCCCACGCGCCCCCGGGGCCCGCCGCGCCGGCGGCCCGCTACCGCAGCACGGTGTTCTACACGCTCCGGCAGCGGGTGGGCGGCCACGTGCTCCAGGCGTCCAAGGCCCGTGCCAGCTCGCAGTTCGTGCTAGCGTTGAGCGCCAGCCAGGCCGCGCTCTTGCGCATGGACGCGCGGGCGCGGCTCCTCCTCTTGTGCTGCGCGGAGCCCGCGGCCCGCGCGGGCAGCGCCGCGCCCATCCTGTTCCCGCCCATCGAGATCCACGTGGACAACGTGCTCACCAAGCAGAGCGTGCGCGGGCTCAAGGGCCGGCCGGGCTCCGCGCGGCCCGCGGACCTCACGCCGTACGTGGCGCACCCGGAGCGGCCCGTCGCCGTGCGCATCGTGTACTCGGACGCGCCGGAGCGGCACCTCCTCGACGCGTACATCGCCGAGACGGCCCTGCCCGAGGCCATCTTGGACGCGGTGCGCCGCCGGCCGCACGTCCTGCTCGAGAGCACGCGCCGCGCCGTGTGCGCCGAGAACGAGCGCGCCGCGCGCGACGGCGTCGTCGTGGCCAGCGTGCCGCTCTCGCTCCGCTGCCCCATCACCTACGCGCGCATCGCCACGCCCGTCAAGAGCGTCCACTGCGACCACGTGCAGTGCTTCGACGGGCTCTCCTTCTTGATGATGCAGGAGCGCATCCCGGCGTGGCAGTGCCCGGTGTGCTCCCTGCGCATCGACGAGCACCTGCTCGCCGTGTCTGACTTCTTGCAGGCCGTGCTCGACGGCGCGCCGCCGGATGCGGACGCCGTGCGCTTGCAGCCGGACGGCTCGTGGCGCCCGGACGACGCGGGCCCACGCCCGCAGGCCCCGGCGCCGGCCGACGCCAGCGTTGAGGTCATTTCGCTCGACAGCGACTCCGACCCCGAGCCCGACGTGTGCACGGTCGCCGACGCCACCTTGGAACCCGCCGACGCCACCTTGGAGCCCGCCGACACCACCTTGGAGCCCGCCGACACCCACGCGGGCCAGGACATCCACGCCACGCCGGCCTCGTCCGACGACGAGCTGGTCGTCGCCCGCAACAGCAGAAAGAGGGCCCGCGTGCCCGACGCCGACAGCCCGCTGCTGGAGCCCGCCGGTCCGCCCCGTCCGCCCGCCAGTCCGCCCGGCCGCGGCCCGACCGCCTCGCCTGGGACCCCGCCCACGCCCGCCGTGCTCCCGAGCCACGCCCGCGCTGGGCTCGTCGCTGGCCCGAGCGCGACGGCCCGCTCTCTTGACGACCTCCCGATAAGCCAGTATCTATCCCGCAGAAGAAGCCAAATGAACGAGGCTAAGCCAACCTCTGCGCAAGGCGCGTCCGGCGGGAATGGCACGCGACTCCCACGGGCTCCCTCGCTGACGGGACACGTGCCCAGTGCCAGCGGCCATGCCCCGTCCTCCCTGACGCACAGCCCCTCCCTAGGGGCGCCCCTGCCTAGGACGGCCTCACTGCCGGCTCAGAGACCCGCCGCAGCACACCATGATACGGCTGCGCCGGCGGCGGCTGAACCATCTCCCCACACAGCCGAAGCACGGGCACGCCAAGTGCCTGGAACCATCCTGCCCGAACAACGGGCCCAAAACTCCGCGGCACACACTCCTGTCACGAGGACAGCTGATGCCTCTGGTGTCGCCGAAGTCGCCAGCCAGAAAGCCGCCGCGGTGGTCCGCCCTGCCGCTGCTTCCATGCCTGCCGCTGCTCCCATGCCTGCTGGCCTGAGGCCTGCTGCCTCCCTCCCGAGCTCCCGTCCAGAGCTTGCCAACACAGACCTACGCTCAAAAGACGGTGGCCGCTCTCATACGACAGGTCCTACATCAGCTCTGATAGGTCCTACATCAGCACTGATAGGCCCTACACCAGCACTGGCTCAGGCCATTGGTCAAAGTCAAGCTGTCGCTCATGATTACACAGAGCTCCACAACCCGGGCCCCCCAATCAGACCTCAAGCGACGATATCTCATTCGTCCCCACCCGGCATACCCAAGGAGGACCAGTTGCGCAGTCTCTACCCGACACAGCCTGCCTCCACTCTGCAGGGTCTCTACCAAGGGTTGCTGATACCACTCGTGTGGCAAAATAAAGAAAATCACTCAAAAGGGCTTGGGAGGCTGGCGAGCCCAACAAAGTACCCCCTGTCACTTACACAACCACCCATGTCCTCGGCAGGAGCTATGGGCTCCATGCAAGGCAGTGTCCCCAAGGAATCGACGAAAGCCAGGGCTCTGAAATCGGGTACCGCCCGTGCGCTACTACGCCCGGAGATTCCCGACGATGTGTCCATCATTGATGTGATTCAAGATATAGTGTCGAGGTCCTGCTCTCCGCGTCTCTCGAAGGCTTCAGACACAGATGCCTTGCAACAGACCTCTACCCAAACAGCACAGCCATCGGCTTCATCCCAGCATTCTACTCCACATGCGACTGACCCACTAATGTCTGGTGGAGGCAGTCAAAACCAACACCGTACTTCTTTGCAAACGGAGACAGGTACTCAGACCCAGGAATCACAGGCCCCCGCCGGTTCGGCCCTCGTTACTACAGACAGAAGCATTATGCCAACATCTTCAACATCGGGCCCCAAAAGTCTAGCTCCACAAATAATGGCGGCCAATGTCATCACTCAAAGAGACTCCCCACCGCATGATGCCACTGATAGTCTTCGTGAAAAGAACTCGTCAGTTTCATATGCGAATTCGAGCGCGTCTGTGGGACATCTGGGGCCTACGCCTGGTACATTTACCGCCGATGTTCACCCTTTTTCGCAGTCAAGACCAAGTTACGACAAAACTGTTGGCGGTTACCCAATAAGTCATTACTTCCTGGGTCAAATCGCGAGACCAAACCTATCGGATCATCAAGCTCGTCATTTGAAAGCAGCATCCAGCCCTGCACTCCCGTATTCACGAGGTGCCAACTCTTGGAGTGAGCCTTCCCCGACTACTACGATGAGCTCCCAAGTGAATGAAACTCCCAATAATTCTCATCCGCTCAACAAATCAGCATACCACCAAGCACAGCCCCATTTGAAGTCCGACATCAATCCGACGAGAGCGCTGAATCCTACTTATCAGCAAAATGTTCGAATGTCCTCCAATATGATACATGCGTATCAGCGGAGCTTGTCGGAGAGTGTTCTTCCTGTGGGTGTACCCGGAAGACTGACTCAACCTCTGCTTGTGCTGACGGAGGATGTACAGTCTAAACCCACACAAAGAACTGAAGGAGGTATCTCAGTACTACCAGCCACAAGATCTTATTCTCATGGAAATCAATCCCCAATTGGCCTTTTACTCAGCTCGAAACCTGTGCATCGGGAAACCCAAAATGTGGGCATAGCCACCCAGCTTCTGCAACAAGCCGCAAGCGCCGGTACGCCAATAAGTTCCACTGTGAACAGTCGACCACCATTAGTTCAGTCAAAGAGCACCTTAACAGAACAACCCAAACCATCAAGGATAGAATATTCGCGCGAGAAACTTGGTACCACGGAACCTTACACTCACAATGTCGAGAAAGTTAGGACTGAAAACTCCCACCAACCGGAAAACTTAAGCAAAAATTCTGGTGAAACACGGTATTCTAAGACGGTGTTTGACCACCTCAGCACAAATAACACTGCCGTGCCAATTGTACGAGGAATTCTAGGCATTGAACTCTCGAAGGGCGCATTCCAACCGTCGCGAGAACGCACACCAACGTTTCTTGGTACTCCGAGTAAGCCAGGCTCCACACTGGGCGTCGGAAACCCACCTGTCCAAAGTATGAGCGCGCAGCAAGACCCAAACTCCCATGCCGATGAACAAGAAGAGAGTCACAATACAACTTTCTCACCGCTCAACAACTCAATAAAGGATATGGTCATCCAAACACCAACGAACAAAAAGAGATCCATCTCCGAGGATTTCGTGACAGAAAAAACTTGGAACAAGAGATTGAGTAAGAAAGGGACGACAAAAAAAAAATTTGTCCCCAGTGACATCGATCTGGCGGAAATCATCGAGCTTAACGATTAATTCTCATCACACAATTGCATGAAGCATGGTAAAAATGGTACAGACATTGTCTTTCCATTGACCTCTGACTACGAATAAACGATTTAAACAACCGCAAGGGAAGAGACATGGCTCTCTCATTAATCCTCTTTATCTTATGTGCAATGTTGGCTATGGTACAAGAAAACTTCAGCGTAATTCGGTGAAAGCTTCCAACAACAGGGCTCTTACATGGGACTAGGCCCCAAGTAGTCCTCTTTTATACTTCCAATGGCGTAGATCTCGTTGACATCGGTTCTCGTACCGACTATCTTCAACCGCACCCGCGAGCCTTTTTCTATGGTCTCGTCGGGACTGACGTATGCTGGGGGGTTTGCAGATGGGTTGAATTTCATATCAGAGGGAATCAAATGCGTGCTCACAAAAACAGACAACGGACCCACGTCAGCAAAAAACCCCATTTTGTTGACCGTGGTGACCACGCCATCAACAACCTCGCCCTTAAAAGGCTTCCACACTACAGCACGGTACTTGACCTCGAATTCGGCCAGCCCGCTTCCAGGAATTACTCGGCCCCGGCCCACGTCGATATTCATACAGTCCAAAACACAGACAATGTACCCAAATTGACCCGTGCACGTGCCCTCCACATCGCTGAGCAACTTATCCCGCAAATACTGGTCCATCTGTGGGCCGAAATACGACGGGTGGAGGGTCAAGTTTAACGACAAATCTTTAAGAAAAAACATTGTTGGCCAAAACTATTTTTTTTTTCAGCTGATAGCCCAGTGACAACTTCTGGCAGATACAGGCAGCAAAATGAGCGGGTAAAAAGAGCCAGCTCGGGATTTGCAAGTAGCCGGCTGAGGAGGAGAATAGCGTGGTAAGCGACGAGTAGCTATGGCTCAACGGAACGACTGGAAGATGCAATTAGTCGACGTTTGGGTCCACTCTCATGCTCGCCGTATAGTTCGAGATTGAGAGAACAGCCCGGGATGTACGGGTGCCGCACCTGCACGCACCACCCAGGCCTGGAAAGTACATCAAAATTTCTCACCTCCAGCACTGGAGTCGATAAAGCAGCCTGGCATATTTTCAGCAGAGTTGTTCGAGGCCCACCAAGCATAAATTCAGACATGTCTCAAAGAATCGGAAATGCCGCTGCTGCCTTTACGCGAGCTTGGCACCATGTGGACGTCGCTGCAGACAGCCGTACTATGGGACGCTTGGCAGAGGGTATAGCCAGAACTTTACAGGGCAAGCACAAGCCCACTTACTCGCCCAATAGGGACGACGGTGACTATGTTGTCGTTACTAATTGTTCTCACTTGAAGACAACCGGTAGGAAATTGGAACAGAAAATGTACTGGTCGCACACGACCCGTCCGGGTTCCTTGAAATTGGTGCCTATGGAAAGAATGATCGCCAACAAGGGTTACGGCGAGGTTTTGATGCGTGCCGTGAAAGGAATGATTCCAAAGAATAAACTCAGACTCGATAGGTTGGACCGCTTGAAGATCTTCGATGGCGACGAGCATCCATACAAGGAGAACTTGATCGCTTTTGCTGACGAGGGCCCAGATGTGAGGGCCAAGAAAGAGGCCTTGGAACAGAGAACAGCACGCATTGCTGAACTTAGAACAAAATTCTCCAATTAAATATTTTGCATGTACATAGACTTAAATGGTATCATTTTCAGGACTGAGTCGGGCTCCTTGTGTGGCGCAACCGGCAAATTCGTAATTTTACTCCTCGCTAAACATTGATTTGTACTTAGGGCAAAAGTGACATGCGGTTGTATAGATGTTGAGTTGGTGCATGTTGTGGAGTAGGCTACGCAGAGAGCCAATATGAACGCGGTGCGTGTTACCATATTGACTTTCAGCCAATAACTTATCGCAAAGTGAGTTTTTGGGCTGCATTTGAGTAAGTGATGAGTGAGGTTCATATGGCATGGTTCTTTGACGGCATCAAAATTCATTCCATCTGCTCCTCGTAAACGCCGGGAACGTTCCACGATTTTATGTAGTTGACCATGGAAGAATGATTTTGCCTAACGACAGAACACAACGTTCGAACTTGAGGAATTAAAAGCAATGAAGAAAACGCTAGGCAGTTGTTATCAGAAACAGGAGTACTAACTATCTCAAACCGGTGATTTTATTATTTGGCTATAATTTTTTTCTCTCTCGTGATACATAGCCCCTCTTGAATCTGCGTATAGTACATGTAATAGTGTCCTCAGTTAAACACGGACGCTAATCCCAGATCTCTCCGTGTACAACCTAGGAGAAATGTTCATTGCCATCAACTCCTGGAACAACAACTTGGCCGCATACGGAATGTGGATTTGGTAAATGTTGGTCTTGTTCTTGCATGACCGACACTCAAATTGGTTTTTCTTCAAGTTGGCAATCACGGACATCAAACCACAGATTCCACAAACGTGCACTCTGAAAGCGTCGGACGCCTCCATCAATCTCTCCTTCAAGAAACCGGCCGCTCCATGAGCAATCATACAATCTCTTTCCATTTCTCCGAAACGCAAACCACCGTCTCTGGACCTACCTTCAACGGGCTGTCTAGTCAATACTTGCACTGGTCCTCTGGCTCTTGCATGAATCTTATCATCCACCATATGTCTCAATCTTTGATAGTATGTTGGACCAAAGAAAACCTGAGCCATCATCTTTTTACCAGTGTGGCCGTTGTACATGACTTCGAACCCTCTGGATTGATAGCCGTGTTCTCTCAACAACTTGGAGACCGCTTCTGCGGTCACATCCGTAAATGGAGATGCGTCACCTTCCAAACCAGATAAGGAGGAAACCTTGGATAATAAACACTCAATCAAATGCGCAACCGTCATACGAGATGGAATAGCATGTGGGTTGATAATCAAGTCAGGGACAATACCTTGTGCACTGAATGGCATATCTTCGTGTCTGTAAGTGACACCGATGGTACCCTTCTGACCATGCCTAGAAGCAAACTTGTCTCCAATTTGAGGAACCTTGGTAGTCCTCATTCTCACCTTCACGAATTTGGCTCCATCACCGTTGGTTGTCAACAAGACCTGATCAACAATACCCGACTCTGTGCTTCTCAAAGGAGTAGAAGCATCTCTCTTGGTGTGGTATTGCGTTCTTTGACCCAACTCTTCAGTGTCAGGAGGGATAGGCGTCGTCTTTCCGATAATGATATCCTCACCACTGACTCTAACACCAGGTGCGATCAAACCATCATCATCCAACTTTTCGTATGTTCCATGTTTCAATCTCAAGGTGTCAGATCTCGAAGGCTTTTCGAAGGTCTCCAAGGCTTTCATACCCTGTCTCTTCTCCAAATCCATGTATGATCTAAAGAACAACGATCTGAATAGACCTCTATCAATAGAGGACTGGTTCATGATCATGGAATCTTCTTGGTTGTAACCAGAGTAACAAGCAATGGCGACCACAGCATTTTGACCTGCAGGCAACTCACGGAACTTCAAGTGTTCCATGGCTCTTGTGGTAGCCAAAGGCTTTTGAGGGTAGTATAAAATATTGGCCATCGTATCCATTCTGACGGCATAATTTGTCAAGAACACACCCATGGCTTGCTTACCCATAGCCGATTGGTATGTGTTACGTGGGGACTGGTTATGATCGGGGAACGGAATGATGGAAGCAGCCACACCGAGAATCATGGAAGGATGAATCTCACAATGAGTGAAGGTGTGAGTGGAAGAGGTGTAAGTGGGCTTGATTCTCTTTGCAGGGTCAAGCTCCTGCTCTTCCAACTGAAGGTCATGCTGTTGTGTTTCCGACAAAGAGCTCTTAGAGGCCTCCAAGTCCTCCGGCGTCATTGCAATCATGATGGTTTCTTCCTCCTCTGCATCCACATATTCGACGACACCATCATTCACCAACGACGACCACGTGTATGCACTCGAGTCATCCTCGTCGTATTCGTCGTAAGCCGAGTTCAACAATTTGTGGACGTGCTCTTTCTGCAACATCAATTCACCCTTAGTCTCGGACTCGGGGTCGTCGTCCACGATGAACAACGGACGGTAAACACGGCCTGCATCAGTGAAGATCTTGAACTCCATTTCTCTGATGTCTCTGATGATAGAGACTTCAGGCGAGATGTCACCCTTTCTTCTTAATCTTCTCATTGTATCGACAAGCTGTGCGGGTTCTCTGTGGGTTCCGACCCAAACACCATTGACAAACACCCTCGTGCAGTCGGGTGCGTTGGAAGGCACGTAGTCCTCCAAGGGCTCCATGCCCCACTCCTCCAAGAAGTACAAGATGGGCTCGGACGAGGTGCCGACGGATATACACGTCATCAAGGACAAGTTCTTGACCAAGCCACAGGCCTGGCCCTCGGGGGTTTCTGCGGGGCACACGAGGCCCCAGTGGGTGTTGTGCAACTGTCTGGGCTTGGCGATTTTGCCGTCCCGGCCGATGGGGGTGTTTGTTCTTCTCAAGTGAGATAAGGTCGAAGAGTAGGTGTACCTGTTCAACACCTGGGAGACACCGGCACGCGCGCTCATGGCCTTCCGCTGCTCGCCCCAGTTACCAGTGGCCAAGGAGTAGCGCAAACCGTCGGTGATGGTTTGGGACTTGACGGCCAAGGTGAGGTTGAATTCCTTGTCGTTCTCCACACAGCGCTGCATATAGTTGTAGATGTCTCTGGTGAGCTTCTTGAACAAGATGCGGAACAAGGAGGCCAACAAGGGTCCGGCCAAGTCCAATCTCTTCTTTCCGAAGTGGTCTCTGTCGTCGGGCTCCTTTCTCTCCAAGGCGCAGAGCAACAACCTGTTGACCATGTAGCCCAAGAAGAAGGCCTTTCTGGACTCGAAGCCGGCCTCCTGGGTGATGTTGGGCAACATCTCCTTCTGCAAGATGTCCTTGGCGTACTGGATGCGCTTTTCCCTGCGGATGCCCAAGACGCCTCTTCTGCCGATGAAGTCGAGGGCCACCTCGCGCTCCTGGATGACGAAGCCCTCCTCCACGCAGGGCTTCAACATCTCCAACATCTGCCAGTCGTTGGCGTCGTAGCAGATGTGCTCCAAGATGTCGCCGTCCGGCACCACGCCGAGCGCGCGGAAAACAATGACGATGGGGATGTCCTCCTTGATGTACGGCAAGGTGGCCTTGATGGTCCTGCCGGTGGTGCCCTTGTCGTCGCGGCCGTAGAGCTTGATCTGCATGGACGAGATCAAGCGCGAGCCCTTCTCGAGCGCGGAGCGGATCTCGGCCACGTGCGAGATGGGCGACGGCGCGGCCTTCTTGAACACCTGCACGATGTTGGCGGCGGAGCGCTCCTGCGCAATGAGCACCTTCTCGGAGCCGTTGATGACGAAGTAGCCGCCCATGTCGTAGGGGCACTCCTTCAACTCGTAGAACTCGTGCTCGCCCAAGTCGCGCAACATGCAGAACTTGGAGCGGAGCATGATGGGCACCTTGCCCAAGAACACCTTCAGCTGCGCGTCCTCGCCGTCCACGTGCTCCTCCACCCACTCGAGCTCGTTGCCCTTGCGCACGCGGTCGTCCGACAAGAACTTCTTCTTGGACATGTCCACGTAGAGCGGCGAGCTGTAGGTCAAGTTGCGCAAGCGCGCCTCCTGCGGGAACATCGGGTGCGTGGTGCCGTCGCCCTCGGTCTGCGTGGGCTTGGAGATGTAGATCTTGCCGAACGTGATCTCGAACCGCTTGTTCTCGTACTGGTCCTCGGACGTGTGCTGCGCGGGCTGGTCGAGAATCAAGTGCGAGTCCTCCCACACCAACTCCTGGATGTTGGACTCGATGAACTCGTCGAACGAGTCCAACTGCTGCGACACCAAGCCCTTTTCCTGGAAGAAGGACGAGATCACCGTCCAGCAGTCTTCGGGCGTGATGCTGTTGGACTCTTCGTCCTCGTACAAGTACGCGTCGTCTGTAGGCTGGTCCTGCGACATGTGCGAGATGGGCTGCGGTACGATGTGTGCGGAGCGTGTCGGGCAGGAATACTGGGCCAGGCTACCTGGAAAAGACGGGTGCCCGCCGGGGCGCCGTGAGTTGCCTGGAGGCGAGCAGTGTTGTTTTTATGGGCGCGGCACGACCGCGCGACAAATTTTTCTCGCCCCGCGGCCTACTCCAGCTGGCGCGGGCCCGTCTTCTTCTGGCCTCCCTACCCCCACCAGCTTCTGACACCCGGCTTCCCCAGCACGCCCCCGAGCCCTCCACGCGCCGCGGCCCCCCCAGCACCGTTCCCGCCGCCGCCTTCCACCCGGACCCCTTTTTTTCCGCGTGTTTCCAGCCCCCTGGCCGATTTTAGCCCCCTGGCTGATCTTAGCCCCCGGCCGATTTTAGCTCCCGGCCGTTTTCTGCCCCGCCGCCACAAAAGCGCCGCCCGCCCGACCCGCCATGGACGCCTTCCGCTCCAGCGTGCTGCGGCTCGTCATTGCGCTGAGATCCATTCGCCACAAGCCCAAGGCCAGCGCGTACCCGAAGGTCAACGTCCAGGACGTGGTGCTTGACCGGCCGCGCTACGGCTTCCGCAAGGTCTTGCCGCCGCTCCTCTCGCAGTCCGTGCAGAACGAGGTGTTCCCCGCCGAGGCCATCCGCGCCAAGTACCTAGCCGCCGGCAAGCCGGTGCCGCTCAAGTTCCACAACAAGAGCGACGCCATCGCGCGGCGAAACTACGACCTCTACAAGGAGCTGGTGGCCCTGGGCCTCCCCCACTTCCGCGTGGGCGAGAAGAAGGTGTACTTGCCCAAGGCCCGCGTGTGCTTGTTGCGCCCCAACGCCAAGCACACGCCGTACCAGGCCAAGTTCCTCGTGCCGCGCAACTTCAACAAGATGGACTTGCGGGACTACTTGTGGCACGTGTACGGCTTGCGTGCGCTCAACGTGACCGTGCAGTTGTTGCACGCGCGCTTCATGCGCAACCCCAGCGACCTGGCCCGCTACCGCGGGCCGCAGTACAAGAAGATGACCATAGACATGGAGGAGCCGTTCGTGTGGCCCGCGTTGCCGGACGGCTTGGAGACCGGCGCGCGCCAGACCATGGCCGACCAGATGTCCGTGACCAAGATGTTGATGCCCGTCGGGTCCGAGAAGAACTTGGTCAACGACAGCTTCGACGGCTTGTACGCCAAGCCGCAGTTGCCGGACATCTTCGTCAGCAAGAAGATGCAGAAGGCCTTGCGCCCCGCCGTGGCCCTGGCGCTCGACACCGCGCAGGCCCAGAGCGACCGCGCCAAGGTCGCCCACCTCCTCAACATCTAGGCCCCGCGCGCGCTGCTCGCGGCCCATGTACATATGTCCTCCGGCCCGACCTCTAGACCCGCGGGCTCCGCCGGCACCGCCTAGGATGGGACTGGGTTTGAATTCAGCTTATATAGGTTCCATAAAGACTCCGCACCCCACTGCCGGGAAACGTCGATGCCACGCGCTACCAGAACCACGGCTGCCGGTGCTGCGGCGCCTGGCCCGCCGACGCCGCCGGGGGCTCCGCCTGGCCCGCGGCACGCTGTCTCGCCGCAGGCTCCTCGGTGCCGCCAGGCCGATCTACCACGTCATAGTCGGAGATATCCTCCAAGGCCGCGGTCTTGGCTTCGGGCCCGGCCCTGCCCCGGCCCGGCCAGGAGAACCCCGTATACCCAGCTATCGTCTCCGCGTACCCGGCCGACGGTTGCAGCGCGCCGCGCGCAAGAGCCCAGAACCCGGCCCGCTGCGCCAACGGAAGCACCACCAGCCCACTGATATACGCCAAGAGCGGCTCTGCGCTGAGCTGGCTCAACAAGCCCGCGTGCTTGTCGAAAAAGGGCCTTAAGTATCTGAAATACACCAACCCGCAGCCCTGGCTGGAAAAGTCGGCCCACTCTTGCTGGACATCGTTGAACGACATCACCTGCGAGCTCTTGAGCCTGGCACTGCTCACCATGATGGGCGCTACGAGCCAGAGGGAGAACATACAGCGGACGATCGAGTAAAGAGGGAGCCATGCGAGATGTAGCACGGTTTCGGCCGCACGCACGGTGGCGTTCACTATCCAGTATATCAACCACATTTGCACGCTGAGCAAGCGGTAGTTCAAGGTGTCCTCCTCGATCTGCGCCTCGGCAGCCGTGGCTTTTCTCAATATGGTGCCCAACGGGATCGACACGCCTTTGACCGTGAACGTTGTGGCACCGGTCTTTGTGGCGAGGCGTGAGTAGCTGTCGTATGCCTTGAATGAGGCAATGACTGGATAGACGGACCCAATAAGTAAGCTAGAATCTGTTAGTAGACGCCGCGCAGGAAAACAATGCGTTCTGAAGCTGGGGACCACTGTCATGGCCCAGAACCGCAGCATGTTGGACCTCTCCTTCGGGTCTCCCTTTAGCATAGCACATACTTGAAGATGCCAAACATCTCTGCAAATTTAGTAGCACGTCCTAGAGTTCACTTTCCAATGGAGCAGCTCAGAGCTTTTTCGGCACGGGAGACAAGTGTTTGTTGATGTGTCTGGCTTTTTGATGTAGGCTTTTGAGTACACCGATAAGTAGGTAATAAAGAGCTTGCATGTGAGTGACCACGATAAGGACGTCTGCTCGATAGACAGGACCAGCGGCGCACGTGACGACGCGCGCATGATCACTGTGGACAAGGGCTCGACCTCCTCTGGTGGCTCTAGATAAGCCATTCCCAGGCAAAATGCACCTGGAGCACTGGCGAAAAATACAGTATTATTGCCTGGAAAACTCACCTTGCAACTGCACTTTCAAGTCCACCAAATCGGCCCCGACTCCTCTTCCTTGTCTCCCAGCGAGCTCCTATTGTGGGTCGTTTGTCATGCTTAATTTACACTCAGCCCTTCTCCCTTGGCTGCTTTCGCCGTGTACTCTTTACCTCTTGTTCGTTGTGTCTTCAATTTTTCTTCCATTCTTTGATCTTTTTTTTCTGGCATTTTTGGTCTTTTTCTCCCAATGCAACTTTCAATCTCATCAAAGCATGGCGCGAGCCTTCCGCCTTACCACCTGTAAAATCACAATTAAATTGCTCATGTGCCGCGCCCGCGTTTCGGGCCGAGGCATCTTCTCGAACTGCCGGATTTTGCCTGATGCGGCAGATCTTTGACCCTCTAACCATAACAGAATGCCTCATCATTACCAATTTGATGTCACAATGACTTGCGCCGGGTGCTCCAATGCTGTGCTGAAGGCATTGGGCAGATTGCAGGGCGTCACTGAGTCGAAAGTCGATTTGGCTTCGCAGACCGTGGATGTGACCACCGAAGATTCGCTCGACTACGAGACCGTTTTGGGGGCCATCTCCAAAACCGGCAAGAAAGTCAACGGCGGCAAAACCATTAGTTAGATCTTGTGCTCATAGACTCCCTCAGCTGTTCCTCACGTCAATGATTTCGTCGAGACAGTTCTGCCGCAAGTCGCTTGGAATAAACACGCTTTTGATCACGCCCACTAATTCCTCGGTGGAAAAATCGTACAACTCGCCCTGGTAGAAATACTCCATGATGCTTTTCAAGTGATTGTTGATGAGAAACTTTGTTTGCATGATCTTGTTTGTAGTTGCAAGCACGGCAATGTCCTCGCCGAACTTGGCTAACACGCCGGCCTCCATTAGCTGTAGGTTCTCCAAATACCGGGTAAACTCTTCAGACCGGTATTCAGTGATTTCATCACATCGCAAAATCTTCTGCAATACAATGTTGTTGACGAGGTTGAGCACTTGCAAGACGAACAGTTTGAGCTCGTGGGAGTTGGTGTACTGCAACTGGCTATTAGTCAATCCCTCAAGCATAGTTCCAAGTTGAGAAATGCTATCAAAACTGCTTTCGCTTCCCAAATTGTCATCCTCACGTTCACAGTCCATCAGGCCTGGCTTCATCAAAACCTTAGAGACATCGTTTGAGAAGCTCTGGCGAAAAAGGCGCCACTCCGTCTCAATGCATTCTCTTAAATACAGCGTTTGGCCTTCTACGCTTCTCAAATCATTCAACACCAAGAACAGTTGTGATACAGGAGGATACGAGATGAGGGCTAGAGAAATAATTGTGTCAGCAAGAATTCTTGGGTCAGCACCTCCGGTTTCCTCTTCAAAGCTCGCAAGCAATCGGGAGAGCTTCTCGGGTATAGCACTCACAACAAACGTGTGCGTTTCAATGTGACTCTGGGGATTCGGTGTAATATTTGTCTCTTGTGAAGAAGTCTTTGGCTGTGTTCTAGGTTCAGGGGCTGATTGAGGCAAGCTTGAAGCTGTCTCAGATTGTTCGGCACCATCATCGCTCCAGCCGTCATCCCAGTTTTCATCCCACGCATCACTTTTCACCGAGGCACCCGTCGCCTTCTCAAGCTCTTCCTCGTCGTCTGAGCCCCAATTGTCATCCCACTCTAATTCCTCGGATACGTTGTCCGTAGACAAAGCATTCAAAGGTTCAGAGTTTTTTCGTGGAATTGGTTCATGTGGGACTGATATTGGGGTCTGGATCTCAATCTGTTGTGTGACGATTCTCTGATTTTGTAAGTCTTCGTCAAAGTGCAGGTCCGTGAAGACGGATCTCAATTCGTCAATGTATTTGTCAGTAATCCAGTTGAGGTGGAGATCTTTTAATGTCTCATGAATGTCACTATGAGCCATGAATATGTTTCTGAGAGGAACATTCCATCCAGAGGTTGATAAGAGCTCGAGTGTCAGCATGAGTTCCGGTGTGAGTCTTTCACCATGTTCGGTGAAGGAGCGGATGTTTCTTGAGATAACGTCTGCCAAGCTGTTGGATATCTTTGTGGAAAAAGAGTTCTTGAACGACTGGAGGTTGGTCGTGTTGATGAAACGGACAAAGCACTGGAGAGAATGAAGAAACGAGTCCATGGAAAACTGAGATAAGGAATCAATCAAGGACATTTCCAAAGTCTGCGTTTCGCTTTCCGAATGCGAAAGTTGAAGAGTGCAATGTTCTGAAATCAATGGCTCCAAAATGAGTCTGGCCCAATCTGATTTGAGCGAGTTCAATATCTCCGGTACCTCTCCGGGAGGATTCAAGGTGTCAAACTTACTGGCTGCATCGACAAATTCCTCGAATCCCAAAGATGTATTTGAGTCGCCTATTTTGCGATGCACAGTAAAAATGGGACCTGGGCTTTCGGGTATGAACCTGTGAAAGATATGAACCAAGGTTGCGCTAAAATCATGTAAATATCTCTCGTATTCTACCTTCATTGAGGCAGCGATGGTCAAATTCGATTGCGACAATTTCGACACCTTTCCATGGAGTTTTTCCAAATTTGCAATGATGCTGAGGAGATCTTCTCGATCGCAAGAGGTGTCGTCGCCGGAAACAGAATCTAGGGCCACTTCGATCTCCCTTAATAAGTTCTTGACAACCCATAATTCGTTGAGCTGACCACTGGCTAGCTCAATGTCCTTGAGTTTTGCATTCAAATCGTAAATGGTTGAAGGATGCATATCTTTTTCGTTTTTTGAAGGTGTCTTGGCATCAGGAAGTACCAAGGCTGGATCGTTGGCCAAGTCCAGCACACATATTCCACTTACCAAGTCAGCAATCGCTTCTTCCACATGCGCGAGCTCGCTCTCCTTGTTAGCCAACTCGACGGTAAAAGACATTTCGGAAATTTGCAAAGAAACAGGTCAATTTGGGGTTTACTGCTACTATAATCTGTGAGACAACAGATGTATATATGGGACCGTTCAGACTACGCGCACATCTCCACGCGCATTCTTGTGAGCACATGGGTGTTAATATTACGAAATAAAATGCTATGCTATTCTAGACCCGAGACGTGAATTGCAATGACTATTAGTTTATGCAGCTATCCAGAAAACGGACTAAATCAAATCCTCACTGACGTCGTCGTCAATGTATTCATCGTCCTTGTTCATTCTGTAGACAGTCATGGCTATGCTGGCCATATTCAAGATGCTCATGAACCACGCTGGCACAGGCAAGGCATACAACTCAATCACATTGAAGGCCAAGTCAAGGATGTTTCCCAAAAGCTCGATCTTCAACATTGTCTTGTCAAACTTCAAGTCCTTGAGCACCTTTTCGTACCTGCGAAAAATGTTACTCTCCTCATTTCTTGAGCCTTGCTCCAACAATTTCGAGTTGGCATTGCTTTTCAAGATTGCCAACTCACTGGCAACTTTGCGTTCTTTCCTACGCACATTGAGAAGTTGCGAGATGGTTTTTCGGATCAAAAACACTAGGATGAGCACCCAGATCCGGTTTGTGTGGTTCAATACATGAACGAGGCTCTTGGGGAACATCGGCATTTTCGAGAGGAGATGGAGGTTGTCAAGGATACTTGCAATTGCTTCTAGCACGGCAATAAGTGTGGTTTCGATGTACTTGAAACTCCAGGACTGGTTCTTTTGGCGGAGAGGGACTCTGTTTTCCTTTTTCTGGAGACTTTTCTGCGGAGGCTGAAATTTCTGGAATATGGTGGGATAAAGTGGGGTTGGCAAAGTGGGCGGACCGGGCTTTTCTTGTCTCTGCTGTGGTTTCTGGAGGTCCCGAAGCTTCAAGAAAGCAGCGTATTTTTCCTCGGTGACCGTACGATTACCTTTGTTGAACTCCAGCTCGATGATCTTGATGAGGTCATTGACCACTTCTGTTTGGCCTCGTGCACTATGCAGAGGGACGCTGGATAATTGTGACGTTGCTGTCTTTTGCGGTTCTGTGACGGTTGTAGTTGATGCTGCCATTATAGTGTGAGGAGAGGTGACCTGCTGAATGGCTCAGAACGCTTCCCCACCATGGGCCTGTCTGCGTACAGGTTCACGCCCCAGGGCCGCGGCCCCGGCGAATCTATGATATGATGCTGGAAGGTTGATGTGCAATAAACCTCAACGGGCGAGCTGGAAAGATTTGAGAAGAAACGAGTGCATGCGAGCGGCTGCTTTCGACTTCTTTTTCCTTGACTGGTTGGTCTCTCGAAGATCACTCTGAATGAGCCAGTCGTGTCACGTGACACTCGCCCGACGCACGGTGCATAATAAAGTGTGTCATTCCGGTATTCTCCATGGTTAGTGGGACATTCCTCGTGATGGCATGAGATCTCAGTGGAAGCTTGGGGTCTCTATCGTAATTTGGGATTTCCGTCGAAGCTTGGGGTCTCTGTCGTAATTTGAATTTTTGCCGAAGCTTGGAGTCCCCATAGTAGCTTGGAGATTCTATGATATCTTCATGTTCTTTGCAGTGACATCAAATGTTCCATGAAGCGTATGCGGCATCAATCACTTGCAAACAGGAGGCACGGCATGCTCCGTACTCGCGCTCGATAACCTCAGCCAGCAAATGCCTTCATGATCACCCTCAGAAGATATTCCACTTTTCGTTCGCCAGAAACATGGTTCACCTGGTTGACATCAAGACTCCGTAGCACGTGGTTCAGCACCAGCACGATGTTCAAGTCGCTGCTGAACACAATCTCGTCTCGCCCACATAAAAGGACATAGTTTGCCCCAATCTGCCGTATTTCGACTGGTGCCACTGTGAATTTATGAAGCACCGAGTTGAGCTCGCGCAGCCACTGGGCGCGGACCTGCTCGGGTTCAGGGTGCCCATTCGGGGTTCTGGAGGAGTGCTCCAATTCGGTCTTCATCCGCAGAAGTGTATTCTGGAGTTCTTCCGTGTGCCTGTTCATCTGCGCGGCCTTTTCCAAAAGTGCCTGTTCCTGTTGTTGGAGGTCATGGAACATTACTTGATCTTGCTTCAAATCGGTCTCGGCGATGCGGATCGCCTCATCTGGACGCACATCTTGAGAATCGATCATCTTATTTAAATCAAACAACATCTTGTAGCTCTCGTTTTCCGGGAGGCTGACTAGAGCATGGAACTCCTTTTCCAACGCAGCCAACTCTGCGCTTGCCGATTCCGCCTCTTTTCTGCGTGTCTGCAATCTCTGGTTGATGGATATCACGTCTTCTGCGACAGACTCGCTCAACGCAACTCGTTCCGCAAGCTCTTTTTTGAGCTGCTTCAATTCCGCCTTGGCACTTGTATTTTCCCCGGCGACCGCATCCACGTTTTTCTGGCTCACGCTCTCGGCATGTTCTGAAAACAAAACCGCTACAAACTTGTCACGTGTGTCCTGTTCCAAATACTGGAACTTGAGCTTGGAGCAGAACCTCTTCAACGAGGCAATATCGCCTTTGATCAAGCTCGGGTCTGAGGGCTTGAGGGCAGATGTGGCCACCTTCGCCCTGTACGTGTCTTCTGCTAGTTCGACTGAAAACATTCCTTTCTCCTCGTTCATTGTTGTTTGGGGTTGTCTGCGAACTGTAGGTGAACCGCGACTCATAGACCACCATTAGGACTTTCGCGTTGTTTACGTTTCTGGGGATCAGATCCATGGAATATTTCCTGACTCATAGAACTTCCTCTTCTTTCCCGTTCTCTGACATCTCACTACGTATTTGCTATCCCTCGATCATTCTCGCAGTCTAATAGCGGTATCTACTTCATGTCCCTGCAGCTCAGATAGCATCAGAATGGTTGCATACAGCAATTTGAAAATATGATGTCTATACTTTATATTCAGGTTTATGAAATGTGCGCTGCAATCATCTAGGCACCAGCATCCTTGAACTTGTTGAGCTGGGCGCTAAGCAAATCGGGCACCTCCACAGACTCGTGCTCATCAACATTCTTGATGTTCTTGATCTTGTCCTTCTCTTCCTGGTCTTTCTTCTCGCTGGGGGTCATAACAAAGTCATTGAAATTGATCTTCGAAGACACTCTGCTTGCAGAGCCCTCCTCCTCCGTGGCTGTCTCGTTCCACTCGGCCAACTCCATGGCGTGCTCTCTCTCAATGGCAAACTTGACTGCCTCCAACACGTTGTCACAAAGATGCTTTGGCTTGTACTTTGGCACTGTGCCCTCTTGATACACACCCGTCTTGACAAGGATTGAGAACCAAGAGTCGTCGTGCGAGTTGGCAAATCTAATGTCCGACTCAGGCGTGTCACCCACAAAGTAAACGGTAGACGCGGGTGGCATCTGCAATGTGATCTTGTCTTGCACGGACAACTCACCCAACTTCTCGATGATCTTACCGTCGTTTTCTTCGTACTCGTCCTCATAATTTCCAGCCTCCAATTTCGCCTGGTTGATGAACTCTTCGCCATCCTCACCAATCAAAATATCGGCGTCGCCGGCGTTGGGGTCATTCACGCTCAATTTCTTCAAGTGCTCGTCCAACATTCCTTTTCTCCACTTGCTCAAGATCTTGTTGGCAAACTTAAAAGTACCAGCTTGTGGTTTACCAAATCTGTGAACCTTCAATTCGTGACCTGTGTGCTCCTTGTACAACGCTGCAATAGACACCTGCAAGGCACCCATGCCGTATCTGTTCAACTTGTAATTAGTGGCCCAAATAAAGTCCGAGTGGGCGAAATAAATCTCTGGGCCCTCGTCGTATGTTTTGGATTCTGTGCCCATGACACCATTCTTCGATAAAAGCAACTCCAAGATGATCTGCTGGTCAGCAGCCCAATTTCTCGAGTCGGCAAACACCAAAATGGCGTCGATGGTGGTCTTGGAAAAATCCACATCGTGTCTGCAGCACTGCGTCTCTTCTTCGGTCAAATCGTGATACGGAGACACGGCAGGGTTCCACTTCAAGATATCCAATGGGGTAAACACGTTTTTGAATCCGTAGGACTCGGCCACGTGTCTGCAGACATTCCCCACTCCACCAACAACCAATACGTTTTCGTACACAGGGACCAAGTCTCTCATTGGCGTGTGCCCCTGGATGATCTGCTCAATCTTGATTTCTGTCTGCAATCTCTTAGACAAGTCCTCGGCCCTGACTTTTTCGGGCTTTCCACCACCATTGGTAACGTAAATTGATGGCACCTTGATGTTGTATTTGTTCTCTCCATTCAACATCTTGATGGCATCGACGGCCTGGGGAATGGTGTTGGGGCCTCTCAAAATCACACCGTCAATGTCAAAACAGAACGCATATGATGCGACACGGGGATGGTCAATGACAGACTTCTTTTTCCTCTTGATGATGGACGAGTTTCTCGACAATTTGGCCAACGAGTCAACCTTTTTTAAGTTCGCATGAGAACCTTGTTTGCTCAATGACGTGGAAGACGACAATTTGGTCAAACCGTTCTGCCATTGATTCAAGTCGGACAACGATAACGAAGACACTCTGTGTTTTCTTGTTGCGGGCGTCAAGTCGTCAATACCATCGTTATTGAGGTATGATTGGAATTGAGGCGATTCTTTTTTCTCAGTGGACATTGCGAGGTAAGAGCAGCAAAGGGACCTTTTAGTTTAATAGGGGTTATCAAAAACGAAGCAAGCTTCTTTTGATAAGATGTGAGGGGTAAGGAGTGGTGTGTTTCTCTCTGTGTAAAGTTCAATTCCTTTTGAGAAAAGAATTGATAAAAAATGTGATATTTATGGGGTGGGGAATAATAGGTCACCCGAGCTTCTTGGGGATCTGGCTTGGTATATATATGGGGAACCCCAGGCTTGTGGTGGTGCTAGAACATACCATGCACGCTGCGTACCGTTGTGTGCAGGCCTGCATGTGCAATGGATCAACCGCACGGTATGTTCGAGGCATTTGGGGGGTGTGGCAAGAGAACAGCAATCGAGCTTGCGAATTCTCGCGTGTTCCCGCGCAAGCCTGCACCATGGATAGACGCTAAACATCCAATTTCTGGCGCCAATAAAACTTTGCTGGTTTGTCGTATGGCTCCCGCTATGTCTTGATTGTTTATTAGTAAAATGCTCTGAGTACACCGCCCGTATCGTGAGTGCAATGTAGTCTTCACCGGACAGTCAGGCAATGCATTGGTCATTCCTTCGCTCCTGGCAGCACGCAAGTGGTCGCCCTATTTTGCAATATATATGCTCTGGCGCCGCAGCGCCCAAACGGCACTACCCACGCAGCGCGGGGGCTGGTATACGACGAGTCACATACAAATGGTGACGTAGCTTTTGCGCTGGGCGAGCATTTGTTTGCTCCATTTCAAAATACGCCTGGTCCTGCGCACACCAAAACCGGAGTCCCGTACTCTATTCTTCCTGGGGCCTGGGGGTGCAACGGCCCGTGGGTGAAAAAATCTGGAGCATAACGAGAAGCATCACTGGCAAGCTTGGAGGCATTCTCAAATGTGCAAATATTCGTAATTGGCTTTGAGCGCGGGGCACGGGAAGCTTATTCACGATGATGTCCAGCGTGGGTTCGAAGTTGCGCGACAGATCACGTCATACAGCATCTGAGAGCCCCCAGGCCTTCCCTGTACCACAGCCCATACAGTTGGTTAAGCAATCTTTGCATTGCTGTGAACTGGCATACGACGATGGCTTGAAAATCCATGCGGCAGTGGTGCTTTTCCGGAAGCGGAAATATTATTTGCTGCCACTGTTGCTCACCATCTTCTTTACTGTATATATTAAGCACTAAGATACTTGAATGGCAGTGCCTTATGGAGCAGTAGCTTTCTAAAACATTAGGGATCATCGTAGTAGTAACCATTCCAGCCGCATCTCATTGCAACCGGATCAAGAACCCGCAATCCCCAAGAACATGACTTCTCTGTTGCAACATCGGCGTTGTGAACCCAGGAGTGGTGGCCCTAGGTGCGGGTCCGTGTGCTCGGTTCGCAGCGCCCCTGCCTTCCTGTCTAGTTGGCTTGCATGGGGCCGTGATCCCAATACATGGTCTAGTCGCGTTAGTACATACACTTGTCCCTCGAAAAGCCTCAAATCCATGGAAATAGCACCATGGAAAATGAGACACCGGCAATGGACTGTATGGAGGACCAGAACGTTCTGATCGACCGTTTGGAGGATGAATTCATTGACCACCCATCCATCAATGCAGGCACAAACCAGTTCTCAGACGAGTCCTTTCAACAGAAGTTGAATGAGAGAGCCAACCAGATTTACCAAGGTGGCGACTGGGCATCATCTGATCCAAGCAACCCGCACCCAAGCAAACGCTCAAACACGACATCTTACCAATTCTTGTACACCAAACCCAACTTGCTTTATGAATACTCCGACCTGGGCGAACTCGCGCAGGAATTGGATCAGTGGTTTGTGACTTCTGACTTCGGCGTTATTGGCTTGACCGCGTTGAAAAAGGCTCAGCCTTTGGTTCCTGATCTAGACATACCGCTAAGCGTTGCATCTATAGACCTATGGCAACAGTCTCCGTGGCTTGATCTGTTAACCTATTCTGCACTTGGAGAATACGGCGATGTTACAAAGGAGCGGACCCAGCTCGAGATGATAGCCTCTAATTGCCTTTTGATCTTGCGTCTGAAAACTTTTCCCATCATCGCAGAACTACTAGGTCGGACCTTAAGTGAGATTCTAGCCATAGGCCGAGAAATACCGGCCAAATCTTTCTCCAGGAGGTTCTCTTCGAACTACTTGAAGTTGATGACTATCTTTTACTTTCTCGTCAACGTTGCTCTCAAGTCAGGGGAGACCTTTGACCGGGAACTAGGCATTTTGAATGAAGTTGACTTGCTTACAAAGATTGTTCAACTTTGTGAAACGTGGAAGATCTATCCAAATCCCCAGATCCGCATACGTAACTGTCTTTTGCTACAATGGAAACTCTTGCTTATGGAATTGGGAGGCTCACAACTCATATCACTGACCGATGAGTACCTTGTAAAGAAGTTCGATGTGAAAAACAGAGATCGAAAGAACAAAGAGAACAAAAACTTGACATGCACCCCAGTCGAATATTTCACTTTTGAGGAAGATTTTCAGGATAAATATCCCATGAAAAAAGACTCTCATGACAACTTGTCGCCCGGTGTGGACTCCAACGATCATAACTTGAGTGAACTTACAACTTTGCTTCTGGATCTGCTCTCTCTCGCACAAGAAAAGGAGATTTTCATGGCATACAAGCAGTATTCTAACTCACTGTTAAATCTGATAGATATTCCAAGAACCAATAAGCTGCATTCAATATACGGCGCACTTCCAGGAAACACGATTCACATAGCTACTCCTGTTCCCTCGCCCCCTACAACCCCTTCGGAGTTCATGTCGGGGGGTGAGAAAGTAAGGAAATTATATCATGTGAATCAAGGACTACCTTTTGTTTATCCTTACGAGGATAGTCTTAAAGTTCCAACGGCAATAAGCGAAGCTTCTAGATTGTTTGAAGAAGGCGTTTATGAAAGCTACCTGACGAAACGTTTATCCCGTGAACGCGATATTTACTTACTCGAAGAGAGAGGTGGTAATATCGGTAATTCCAAGGTAATTGACAACGATTTCCCGCCTGCAAATTCCGGGAAATCGGTGGATGCATATGAATCTGTTTTGCGTTCTTTGAACCGAACAGAAATTTACTATAAGCGAATATTGAGGCATTTGCGTGGGTTCGTTGATGTCTTGGTCAATGTGGTAAAGACAAGCAAGGTTGAGGTCAGTTTAAGAGACCTCGAAAAAGAGTTAGATCCTGAAACATCTTTCACAGAGCGATTTGGTGGTGAGGATAGTACCAACAAAAAAATATTTGGTATGATATATCATCAATTAGATGTACTTCGAGCGAAAGAGACTACATTGAAGGCTGTGTCGTCGATTTTAATTTTGACCCTACGCTGGTTCAAATTAAGCCATCCACTAAAGGCCTACTATTTCAGCTCTTTGCTTTTCGATGCCCGATTTTTAGATGTTTTTGTTGATTTCTTGGCTGACAGCTTTAACAATTCTGCATTACAGAACTTTGCGACAGAAAACAAGGGTATGCCAGTTTATGACATTTTATCCTCCCAAAACAGACTCCTTAATCCGGCAATCAATTTGCCACAACTTAGTTTTTTCAAGGAATGCCTGGGAGAGCGTGCCCTCGACGATCGAAAATATATTTTGGTCAACAAAACACCAATTGGGAAGCTACCTCACAAGCTTGACAGCACAAACAAGAGCATCGTGGACATCACAGACTTCAATCGTGATTTTTGTTTCATCTTGGCAAACTTGTTAAATGTTACACAGAAGGTTCTCATCAAGAATATTCTGCAAAGAGTTCTCGCCTTTAACGAGGCCAAACCTACTGAATGGCTCAAAATAATCCTTCTCAACTATGTCAATGAAGATCTTCGCAAACCAATACTCAAGATTTTCAAAAAAATTACACCATACCAAGGGCGTAAGTGGAGGACGCTCAATATGGATGTGATTTCCCTTATTTACTTGCACATGAAGCTCTCGTTGAAGGATAACTGGCTTAGTGGTAAAGATTTGGAAAACGAATTGAAAGACTCGCTCGATCAAGAAATTTCCTTGAGGTCATTTTTGCAGTTCTACAATGTAAAATACTATCCTCACGAAATGCGCTCTTTGGGATACGACTCAAAGCATGACGATGTCGGGGAATATAATTTGTGATGCCCTAGTCACAGTCTGCAAAAGCACGAAAATACCGAGAGGGAACGCTATCTGGCTGCAATACATTGAAGCGAAAGCAGAATCCATATGGGCTGGCAACGACGTCGCGGATGGATGTGCGACAAATTGAGAACACGGCTCGACCGAAAACATACCATTGATTCTACAATTCCACTATCAGAAAAGTCAGAATTAATTTATATAAGTGTAATGCGAAATCTCTTTTCACCGGAATCATCGATATTCGAATCGCCTGTGCTTGCAGCCTGGGCCGGTATTGGCGCACTCTGGACAAACTCGTGGTCGTGCAAAGCACCAATAAAATTTTCGAGTCTTTGCTACAGGTGTAGAGCGACACAGGCTGCGTCGGTTCTCACTCCATATAGCAACTAACAAAAATGGTTAAATTGACTCAAGTCGACGACGAGACCGCCACAAACTTCGAGAAAACGGCTCCAGCTCCTGGCGCCAACAACTACAGCGACTCAGATTCCGAATCTGACTCTGACTACGAGGACGACTTTGACCTCGAGAATGAGACCCTCTATGATAGGATCGTCGCTTTGAAAGATGTCGTACCACCCACCCAGAGAACACAGATCGCCAGCGCCGTTGAGAGCGTCAAAAGCGTTGCCACATGTGCATTCAGCAAAGGTGGCTCTTTGTTGTGGGGTGTAACTTCGTCGATTTTGTTGTTAGGTGTGCCGTTGTCTTTGGCCATCTTAGCTGAGACTCAATTACAAGAAATGGAGAAGGAGATGTCGTTGCAGCAATCCGCCCAGGAAGTGTTGGCCCCAGGGTCTGAGAGTGCATTCAACGGTGAGAAGGCCTCTGCCTAAAGGATATAGAGACATTGCGCTCAAGGATGATTTGTATCATGTAATGATTATCAGTTGCTGGGCATTTCCAGGCAACGAGATCTCACGTATTTCATGACTTGTACATATATGAATAGAGGGAAGTCCCACTTGTTGAAAGATGATGATTCTATTTGGATATCGAGGCTATGAACCAAACCTTGTAGAGGTCGTCCACCATTGATTGTGTACGCATGTGAAGAGAGCCTTGTTTGGCTTCGTGGGGTGCTGCTCAAACCTTTTTGTGCTTGATGGTCAAGGCGTATATATCCAAGTACGACGTGATTTCCATGATGACTTCAGCAACGAACATGCCATGGATACCTAAGGTAACACCTGCACCGGTCCAAATGACTGCAGAAAGGGTGTGGTATCTGTCGTAGCCATTGACAGAAATTAAATACTTGGCGATCACCAACTGGATAAGTGGTATCGCCATGGGCACTTGTCTATGGGGGAAATTCTGAATTGTCAAGTGTGCCACGATAATGCGCCCAACACAGAATGCTATACTGGACCCGATGGAGATCACAAGAGGAAATCCAAAAGTAGTGACGATTTCGGGGAATGCACATAAAAGAACAAAAATCGATGCGTAATAAACAAAGAAGGGGATCAAGCCTTTGTAAGCGTTGGAAATGCTCCTCTTCACTTCTGTACGAGCAACATTGGTGTTGGACTTGTAGTAATTTGCCACATTTTTCATGGTGGACGAGATATTAAAGTACACTTGAACCAAACCAAACACAGACGAGATCATGGTTGTGTTTATGTTGTATATGCCCAAGTCAAGCCCCAAGGAGGTCAAGTTCAATGTAAAGAGATCGTACTTCCAGATTCCAGGGCCAAGAATTCCCGTCAAGATAAATAAAGTGCAGAGAATCAAAATCCCTTCCACTGGGCCACTGAACAGCGACAAGTAGAGCGTGTGCGTGTGGTATTCTTCCCACGTAGAGGTGTAGAAGTTGCATACAGCCGCCAACTGTGCAATGAATAATAAGTACCCATAGCCCAATTGGAACACGGACGCAAAAATGAAGCAGCTAAGCGAGGTGTTTATAGCATCTATGGAATGATCAAAGAGCTCACCCAATGGTCCGCTTTGGCCCGTTCTTCTAGCATGGCATCCGTCACAGCCGTCGAATGTCTGATACATGAAGAGACCAAACGCATAAAAAAAGTAACACCAGCGTGGAGAGTCCGTGTTCAAGTATGGGTCGTAGTAGAAGACACACAATAGATTTGCAAGCACAAAAAAAAACCCGAGAAGTGTTATGACATTGGGAGCCATGCTCATTGGGAAGACTTTAACAAACGAATTCCACCATCTTTTCAAGACATAGCGTGACACAAGAGAATGATCCTCGGATGAGTATTTGTAAAGCTTCAAGTTTTGAAGTTTATCCTTCGGAATGAAAATGCCCATTTTGGCCGCAAAGAGATACTTGTGAGTTCTCGAGTACAGTAGACGCTCAGTTTGCCTGGTAGTATTGTGAATTGAACAAAAAATGATTGCGCACGTGATCGCAACTGCCGCGTGCATTCAAAATGTTAATTGAGCTGGCCTCTATATCATAAACGCAACTGTTCAACACTGCAGTTTACCATGTCATTGAAAGAGTGGAAAGATGGTCAGTAAGTATGTGACTTCAAACTCTACAGAATGTTCCACAGGCTGTCACGTTTGAGTTTAATCATTGAATTTTTTTAAGGGTTTATTGTCCAATGAATTGTAAAATTGTGAGCATCGAAGGTTTTAGGCTGAAAATAAGAGGACAAGCATTTAACTACCGCCCTTCAAAATATGATACGCATTTTACAATGTTGTGAGATGAAGCAAAAGAAAGGCAAAACCATTTTCCATTTGAGCAACCATCAATTATCAGCCTTTCATCTGAGGCTTCCCACTTCATATTGAAATAGATATTTCGAGCTGAACAGATTGTGTCATCTCTGAAGTTTATCAAACGAGCCGCGCTGCGCGGTTTCTGCATATGGTATAAGAAGCGCGCCAACTTCAATGGAGGTATATATAACCTTCGCTTACGTTTGATCTATTGACATCCCCTCCACAAACTCTAGCAGATTTCTTTGATACCTCTGACCATAGCATCAATTATTTGAACTGTTATTATTCATTGCATACCCTTTCTTCCATCAAGTTCGCGTTTTACATTGCAATGAATTCGTTGGATCAAGTGGTCAATTTGAAGGTAAGGATTACAAACCTTCTAGATGAGTCGATCTCGGGCACTATTCATGCATTTTCACTAAAACAAAGAGTCTTAGCACTCAAACTTACACCTACACAGGCGGGTAAGTCCACACCATCTTTGCAGCCCGTGAATGACCTGTACAAGATCATGAACACTTCCTTCATAAAATCTATCACAGTGCTTCCACCGTTCCCAAAAAAACACCAACGTTCACTTGACCAACCAGCGCATGTTCCTAAACTTAATGTGGCCAAGCTCGAAGAAGCTTTAAACCAGATGCTATCCAAAGCGAACCAGACTATGCCCAAACATTCACCCCAGCCAAGTCCTGTGCCGACGGGCATCAAGAAGAGCGAGTCTCCAGCTTCAAAAGTTTACGCGAAACTTTTGGTGAAATTAGGCAAAGAGAACGTCCAGTGGCAAGGAAATGATTCGATTTTATTGTTCAAGGAGGTGGCGGTTTCCAAGCCCTACGCGCTCAGTAGAATCAGCAATTCCAAACGGACACAGTCTTCCAAATATCTCGAAAAAGCAAAGACAGCTTTAAGAGAGATATGGTTGGCCGACGACAACTCTACCAAAGGCGGCTAAGCCACTAGCTAAATATTGCATCAATAAATATAAGTCATCAAAAAGAAGAAGATCCTTAACTCAAGGCCTTTTTTTTTGCGAACAGGGCGAACCGTAGAGTAATCTCATGATTTGGGGAAGTGATAGACCCACAGGATCTCGATCCTGTCGAAAAGCTTGAAGTTTGAATTAACTTTAAAGCCGCGAGTACCATCAAACAGTTCCCACGGCAAGACTAGACGCTTTGCAGTGATGTATGAAGCACCTTGATGAGGAAGAGGTCTCTTCGAATCACCCAACGTCTCGAAAAATAAGTTAAACCACGCGTATGCAATACAAAACTGTCTTTCAAAAGAGATCTTGATGTCCTTCATATGGGCAGTGATTGGAATATTCATTGGTACGTCCAAGAAAGATGTGTTTGCGCTAATATGAGGTAGCCCCAAACTTTGCGTACGCAAGAGCTCCTCTTCCAATCCGTTTCCCTTTTCGGTATATGTGAGGATCTTAAACTTGCTAAGAACAAGAAGCAGCGTAGGTCTGATAACAGTGATTTTGGTGATTACAGACCGACTAATATCGAATGGAACGCTACCATGGGAGTCGAATTCTTGATAGTTCTTGATCATATTGTCGGAGAGCAGGAGATAAGTCTTCCAGTAAGAGAGATATCGGACCTGACTGTATATCAGTACACCAGGGCCAAAATACTTTCTCATGCGTCTTCTGGTGAACATAGCAATCGCCTCGTCTACGGACATGTATATTCCTTTCAACTTGGCCTCGTACATCAAAAGCGCACAGCAAACTGTCCCTGACCTCCCCTTTCCCTCACGGCAATGTATCAAGGCAACATTTCTAGGCGATAATTGGAAGAAGTCGCTAATCTCACGGGTAATTGAAATTAAAAATGTTACACTCGGAGGCTGTTGATCTGGAAAGGGATAATAGGACCAATATTCTGCAGGTATGTCGTTGACAGAGTACCCGGAACCTTCTCCCCGTAAGTTCCAAATATGCCAATGGGCCTGGTCGCCTGACCGGTATCGATTGAGGTGGGACACCACTCTGTCTACAGGTGAGCGAAATATATTCGACACGAAGTTGTCTGACGGCCCAGCCGCCACAATAATCCTTGGGGTGACATATGAAAGATCAAGAAAATCCTCAGCATCATAATAGCCTTTTTTGGGCACAGACACCAAAGCTCGGATTATGTTCTCTGGATTCATGATTTGGGTGCAAACAGTTTTAGGCGAGGCAAAAATTGGCAAGAACACAGTGAGAAAATGTTACGTGCACACCAAAATGAGGAATCTGAAATCCAGTTCATAGACGTGTTATTTTTGTTCAACGGATAAGTTAAAAGTATGTACAAAAAGACCTTATGATCTTTTGCGGGGAAGGCATAGATATTGTGTGAATTTTGGCATGATCGCCGTTTTGTTCCTGGTCCGCAGGTCTGCTATATTCAAGATGGATCAGAGTCTGTGAATTCACACTTTGATACGAGTTCCTTTCACCTTGAAATGTTGCCTGACTTTGATAGCTCACCTTCCACGATGCGAAGCGTGCCATCTCCGATTTTGGCAGAGTATTTTACATGCTAGCAGCCAAATACTCACGGACCTTGGCGCTCAACACTGGGTCAGCCTTAATCTTCAACTGCATCTTGGTGGCTTCAGCGAAAGAAGTAGCTTGCACCTTCTCCTCAAAAGTTCTAGCCAAGTCAGAACCTTCCTCGAACAAAGCAACAGCCTCTTCGGGCTTGTCGGTTTGCAACTTCACCTGGGCGAGGGAAATCCTGGCGATTTCAGACTTAGGGTCCAATTCACACGCCTTTGTGAGCAACTCTTCAGCGATAGGCAATTGTTCAGGGCCCTCTCTGGAGATTAAGGAAGCCTTGTTAATCAAAGGCACAGCGCCAACACTGTAGTTTGGCAAAGCCTCCTGCAATCTGGCAGCAATTTCGTATTGCTTGATAGCTCCCTGAATGTCGCCGTGGTCAGCCAAGATTTCACCGTAGTAGTTCAAGATCTCAGGCGAGGTTGGGAATTTCAATCTGGCCTCGTTGAAAGACTTCTCAGACTCTTCGAACTTACCTTGCTTGTAAATGATGCATGCCAATTGGATATAAGCATAAAGGTTCTCAGGGTTGTATTGTTTGGCCTTCTTGAAGTTCTCCTCAGCCTTGTCCAAATCAGAGGTAAGGTAGTACAACTGGCCCAAATGGTAATATACGTCGCCGTTCTCAGGGTCAGGCTTTTGTGCGAGTTCGAAGTCAGCAAGAGCTTCAGTGAACGAGGATTTGTCGGCGTTGATCAAAGCTCTCATGATGTATGTTCTTGGTCTTGGCTTGAGGGCAACGGCCTGGTCAATGAGGGCCGAGGCCTCGGTGGGCTCGTTCTTCATGAACTTGAAGGCAGCGAGGTACTCCAAGGCGATGGATGCAGTGGCCGCTTCGGAGGAAGTCTTGTCCAAGGAGTCGATGTTGTATGCCTTGACAGCCTGGTTCAACAAGGAGTCGGCGTTTTCATATCCCTCGACAGTGTTGGCGTCGATGTTGGCCAACGCCTCGAACAAGAACTTGTCACCGCCAGTGGACTCCTCCGAGATCCCTTCAGGGGCAGTTTCAGGAACGTAAGTACCGAAGAAAGACCCAATGGTCGAGGCGGAGGGCAACTCAGGCACTCTGTTCTTCAAGTTGGCCTCGACGATCTTCAAGGAATGTTTCTGCAAAACTTTCTCCAAGGACTGCTCGACGGACTTGGAGTTGAAGCCACCGAAAATGGTCAAGGCAGTCAAGTCAAGCATGGACTCGGGGTATTTCTCCAAGGCTTCGTATGAGTTGGCACGGCGCAAGATGCACTTGACGTAGTCACGCTTGATGTTGATGGCCGCGGTGGCATCTTCGATGACCTGTTCGTGCTTGTCCAAGGCGGCGTAGCAGGCGGATCTGTTTGAGTAGAACACTGGGTCCTGTTTCACCTGCAACGCGGCGGAGTAGAAGGTGATGGCGTCTTCAAAGTTCTCCGCCTTGTACCTGTCGTTTCCGGCTTTCTTCAAAGAGAGGGCCCATTCCTCCTTTTCCAGGTCGGAGAGCTTGGCAATGAGCTCTTCGGTGATTTCGGGGAAGCCCTGGCTGTTGACAGGGTATGGCGCCTTGGCTTCAGCGGCAGAGGTGGTGTCTTTTTTCGAAGTCTCTCCGTTGGCCTTCGTGCCATTGGAGTCACCGGCGCCCTTGGTCGACTTCTTCTTCTTGGACTTCTTCTTTTTGGACGCAGGCTCAGAAGCAGCGGTCGTGGCCTGCGACTGGGCGTAGTAGTAGTACGCTCCCACGGCAGAGGCACTGGCCAAGGCCGCAGCGACAATGGCGGTCTTGTTTCTGGCTAAGAAACTGGACTCAGGCATGTTGGTATGGTGTGATGTGTTTATTCACCAGGGTGGATCTCGAGTCTTCTCGCGTGGAAAACGTTGGTGAGATTTTTCTGTCAACGAAAAGATACCGGGACTGGATGCAGAACCGGGAGATTAGTCTCTGACCTGGCTAGCAATGACCGAAAAAAAACGGAATGTTTTCACGGAGTGGGTGCTTCGAAAGTAGTGCTAGTTTCGAAGTCGGACGCAGAAAACAAATGTGTCTGTCAGGCTGTGGACACTGGAACTATAAGGACTGAGGGTGCGCCCGCTGCTTTTCATATTTTTTTCACCGAGCCTCACGGCACCGCAACGCTCTCCTGGGGCACCTAAAACCAGGATTCCACGCAGGACGTCCTCGGCATTGCCGTTTGGTTGTTCAGATATTGGGAGTGCATAACTTTTATTTTTGGACTGAGGCAGTATTTTCCCATTAGGAACACTACGGTCTACCTTGGATTGTCGCCACTTTGATTATTTGTGGCAATGGTCAACATTGTTCGAGCCTCGCGTACGCGAGACTGGGTCCCGAAGCGTTTGAAATCTGATTGGGCATGGCCATGCTCACCTTTGATTGCGCGCCTCCGTCGATTGTTCCATGTTATTCCTGCCGAGCCTAATTAGCCCAAAACTTTTGTGTGATATAACTAGTATGCAAACGAGAGCGCATATGTGATCCCAGAGGCCCGCCAGATCGTACATCAAAGAGCTTACCTTTAGAAGTCTATAAATGCTCTAACTGTGTATTTGCCCTAAGCTCCGTACCTGTAGCGAGCCCTCTGATGCTCAGAATCGTCTTGGTACGAGCTTTCTCGAACCACATCATCGTAGGTAGGTAGTGGCGCAGATTCATCATCATGTCCATTTTGTGAAAAATCCGTGGGAGAAGAGAGACCTGACTTTTTCTCGTTGGGATAAGGCAGGGACTGCTGAGACCGTCTTTCAGGCAAAGGGGGCTTGAGGTCGGACGGCTGGCCACTGCTGAAACTGCCGTTTCTTGAGTCGGAGACCTTGCCTAGGCTAGTCCCTGAAGCGTTTGAATGCAAGTTGCTGGTGAGCTTGAGCCCACTCAACACCTGGATATCCGGACAGAAAATGTCCACGTACCTCACCTTTTCGCTCACTTCTCGTGATGAACCAGCCTCCAAGACCTTTTCACTTGAAAACCCTGCAACCACAGACAATCCATAGCCCCTTGCAATATTACAAGTGTGGAAGGTGGGAGCAAGGTTTCGCGGTAGACGGAAATTCTCATAGTACTTGCTGGGGATTTCCAACTCGTAGGCATTGGGCCCAAGAAACCCTGAGCTTGTAGCGGAAGATGACCTTTGTCTTTTGCATTTTCGCAAGTCAAACTGCAAGTTCTGATACGTGTTGTAACACAATGGAAGCGTTTCTTGAGCTCTGGACTGATGAATCTCGCTGGAATTGCCGTCATTGTCTAATACTGACAATATTGTGACGGAAGTAAGCTCAAACTTGAGGCTTTGTAGGTAGACAATTCCTAACCCATTCGACTGGTCAGCCTTCCCATAGTCTGCCAAAGAGTATTTTGCAGGGTCGACTTCAGAAACAAGATATAGCTTGAACGTGGGGGCAGTTGTGGGCGATAGACTGGGTGGGTGTGGCATTCTCATTTCAAATGCAAAAGGGACATCGATCCTTTGAACAGCCAATTCAGGTTTTGCCTGGGGTCTGGAGGGCAAGGAGGGCTGGGATTTGGGAGAGCCTGAAGCGAAGAAGGAGCCAAAGAATCTGCTACCACCCTTTTGTTCTGGGGTCGCGGGCAAAAGCTTCTTAGAAGCCGGCACTTTCACGCCGACTACCTCCGGAAGTCTGTTTTTGAAAACGACCTCTTTTCGGAAAAATCTTTCCCTATATTCTTCAAATTGTTGCCCTTCTCTGTAGGGACTGTACTGATTGTTCAAGTCGAGAGGAAGAAAAACAAACGGGTCAAAGGCTCTCATGTTAGCCTTTAAGATTGACGATCTTTTGCACGTGACTTTGACGAAGTACTTGATACTGGCCATTCCATTCATGTCTGGCAAAGACGGGGGGAGTTGAGAATCAATATGGTATTCTTGGGCTTGAGGCTGCTGGCTCTTGCCTTGAGCGGGGCGGCCAGGATTGCTTATCCCCAGGATGTAGTTATTTGCCGACTTCATAATCGTTCTGCTATTGAAGTTTCCATTGTTGATCACCAAATCAAAGTTGTTCTTGCTGAACAGAATCTTATTGGATATTCCTGTTAGCTTCTTGCATGAATTGGAAAGAGGGATCTTGAATTGAAATCCATGGGTATAGGTGCCTGGGGCAAGAGTGAAGTCCTTCGATTGAGACACATTTCTCACGTTCTCGGGAGGAAAGACGATCACGGAGTCGTAGAGAATCTTGTGAGTGTCTTGACGAAATTTGTCCTTCGCATCTCTTTTGCTCTTTTTTGCGTCTCTTTTCTGATCTCGTCTGCTTCTATTTTCTCTTCGTTGCGTGTCTGCTCTGCCTGGAATCACAAGTTGGGTCTCAGCAACACCTTCAAGTTTGACCTGAATGTAGGATAAAGTCAACGCTGTTGTGGTGGTGAGTTTCACGACCCCACTGATGATGTCATAATTCGTGAAAGTCCCACCTGTCTTGCTTTTGTCAATCTCAATTTGCACGTCGTATCCCATGGCGCTAGGGCTTACGGAACGAATTACGGCTTGTCCAAACCCTAATGATCAGGCTGTCGATAAATGCAGTATTGCTAGTGTCTCAATGCTATCTTTAGAGCCGCACATGACCGACGACGCACACAGCCTTGGTGGCCATGGACCGATCACGACGCTAATGAAAGGCAATATTTGATGTTTGCGTAACTTCGAGAAAAGCATTGAAATAGATTAGTTAGTGATTGTCAATATTTGTCGGCCAGGGCTAAGTTCATTATTTTCGGAGATCTTGCTATGATTGCCACATAGTTCAATACACAGGCAAAACTCCACGAGAGGGCAGTTCTGCACACTGTAGCAAACTTCGTCTACCCATGCGCTTTTTCCACACTCATCCCACAACACTCCGAATGTTTTCACGTATTAGCCGAACCCGTTTACCACATCAAACGTTCAGCCCATACAACTTGACTAGATCTTTCAACTCATCCTTCAGAATGTCCGCTCCTCAAACTACCCAAGTCGAGGTCATCCAGCAAGGTGACGGTAAGACCTTCCCTAAGGTTGGTGACACTGTCACCATCCACTACACCGGTACCTTGGAAAACGGAAAGAAGTTTGACTCTTCTCGTGACAGAGGTAAGGCTTTCCAGTGCACAATTGGCGTCGGTCAAGTCATCAAGGGCTGGGACACTGGTATCCCAAAGTTGTCTGTTGGTACCCAGGCCAAGTTGACTATCCCAGGTCACGAGGCTTACGGTCCAAGAGGCTTCCCAGGCTTGATTCCTCCAAACGCCACTTTGGTTTTCGATGTTGAATTGTTGGGTGTCAACTAATTATGCTTCAAATCTTTTATAGCTAATGCTTGATATAGATCCTCGAACCAATCACTTTCACGTTTGCCTGTAGTGCAACTGTAGGCAAGTTCAACTTGTAATGCATGTCGTAGACTTGCAATTGGGGCAACTCAACATTCGAGTTATTGGCTTCAGTGACGTAAGTGCCAAAGTATTCGAGTTTGTGCTGACAAAAGGGCAAGATAGGAGTGATTGTTTGCTTTAAAGGTAATTCATTTCTCACATCTTCAAACTCCCATGAAATTCCCTTGTTTAATGCTATGTCTGTGATCAATGCCGTGGAAAGTGTGACGATCCGCGATGTCGGGTTCTCTATAGTGAAACACAAATGGACCAGAGCATCAATATGATCAACGTGTACCAAGACTCGAGGGTCTTGTAGAGGCATATCGAAAACTTCGTCTTTTGTTTCGAAATTGTTTTCCATGTTGGAGCCATTTCGCTTGTATGAGAAGCTTATACTTGCAACCATGTTCACATTCGTTGTTGTGGGGCGATATCTACCACTTGTTACGAATTGACGGACATGAGTCAGGTCTTCAGACGACAGTTCACTCAACCAAGAGAAGGATACCTCAGGATTAGTGGAACGCAAATGAAATTTAGTTTCTGTTATAGAGACATCGCCCGACAGCAAAAGACCATGGATGTCTTGTAGTAGTGAATTCAACAGCCACGCCCTCGAGAGGAGAGGCATAGAAAGCCCTTCTGAGCTGTGTTTTACCACGAAAGGGTTTGGAATGGAAGATGTCTTATCGTCGTAAGAGCATGGCGTGATGGTAAGCTTTGGCGAAAAAGGACATGCTAGAACGCTTATCTCTAGTTGCTTGATATGATATTCTGAAACTTCCGCCAACGCACTCGTTACAATGAGTTTGAAGTATAGCACGGCTTTAAGTTTCATATCCTTTGGTACCATGGAGCTTGGAGACTTTGAGATACATACGCGCAAATTGTGCTTGCGCTGCTTTGTCTTCAGCTGAAGCGCTTCAAGTAAATCCATTGGCTCATCGTCTTTCATTTGATCCCAATTGGCTTGCGCGTGCAATTCTTTTGTTTCGATCATGTCTTCGTAAACTATTGTCTCAACCAAAAGCTTTACGCTTTTGCATCCAACATTTGCCAATGAACTTTCAGGAAACACAAGTTTGACGGCTGTCTCAAGTTTCTCGCCAATTATAATTGAGTCGAATTCGGATTCAGTCTCGATCATCAAGTTGGGTTTATATGGTTTCACAAATACTTTGCAGGCGACCCGGCCTTTCAACTCCTTTTGCGTTCTGATAGATAGTCCATGCTGATTTGGGGCATACACATCAAAAGTTTGTCCAATCTTTTGCTGATCGACAATCACCAGCTCATTCTTGCCGAATTGATATTCACCTGATTCAAGCTTAATTCCAATTGTGAGTGCGAAACACATCTCAGTAACCAGTAGCCATCCAGTATTTGAGGCTTCATGCTTCATTTGCAACACAAGCGTATGTTCTCCAAAATTTGAGAGATTAAACGCAGCTTTATTGCATTCCAAAGTTGCGGATTGAATTTGCTCATTCTGGTTACCAGTGTCAGTGATACTGAATACTGTCTTGTTGTCGTACTTGACAACGACATTGTTTAGCATTATGTCAACCTTGCTACCGGGAATTGCTCTCTCGATAATTTCGGCATTAAAAGCAGATTCAAGCTTGATTTGAGTGACCACCGTGTCATAAACCCGCACTTCATGGTTTAAAGACTGATTGAACAATGAAACTTCTGCATTCACAAACAGCGACAGGCTATTTAAATCAACGACAGAACAACTTGACAAGTCGAAATCTGGTAGAGGCTCAATGGGTGTTGCAAAAATAGAAAGATTTGCAAGCTGTTTAAGAGCAGTTGACAAATCTCCAGAATTTATCGCAGCTGATAATAGTTTGTTCGACAACGATTGGTAGACTGCCGCCCAAGCCGGTAATGTGCACTTTGACTGCGCCTCTTCATAAAAATGACTGGACTTCTTGTAATCACCTAGGGCCACATAGGTGTCTGCAATGTCGACAAGCAAAAGCATATCGAGTGACGCAAGAAATGCAGAGTTTGATGTCATTGTAGACTCTTGTGCCAGTCCATAAAGCTTTATTTTATATGCTAGGATATCACTGATACTAGTGAAGCGGTCGCTGAGAGGTTCTGAATTGAGAAAGGAGTCTCCAAGGGTAGAGAGCTCACTGGCAGCTCTCTTATATAGTAGATTGGGACTCGTGACCAACACAGATCCGTCCGATAAAATAAGACCACCAAGAAATTCAATTTGATCTTTTGGTTTCTTTGCTTCATGAAATTCTTGTGAAATGGTGTATGGTACGAGTTCCACTAGCTCAGCAAACCAATGATACTGAGTGGCGGCCCATATACTGATATCGTGCTGTGAGTGCGCAGATAATAAATCTGTGACTGCTCGAACATGCGATCTGTGTCTATTCATAGCCAAGACAGATCTCTCAATAGAAAAGTATCCGCGTACAAGATGTATGGCTACAATGTCAAGTAGCGTGCGCCACTGTATGTAAACTTTCCGGTCATGGGGAGTTCTAGACTTACTAAAGAAGTGGGCAACATTCTTCGCAAGTAACTCGAACAAGCCAGCATAAGACTGCTCCAATAAAGGAATACTAGACTCAATATTGTGCGGATGCATGAATTGGAGAAGGACAGCTTGTTTGACTATATTTCTCGTTTCAAGGATCTTTGGCAGTAGCTCAATACTGGACTTGACCTCGGATCTGGGCATGGTGTAGTATTTCTTGAATCTCTGCTTTACGCGAAGCTCAATTCCGGAGTAGAAATCAGTTGCTGATGTTTTCAATGCATTGAGCAAAGACGAGGCCAACATTTCACATTCTGTCTCCATGGATTCCACCAGAAGCAGCAAGTGGAAAAGTCCCAGGAGATTGGCTAGACCTGAAGCTTGTCTTAAGTGAGCAATGCGGTCTTGTATCCCGACACTATCTGTAGCAGAGGAGACCACAATGGCCACAAATCGGACATTGTGATTCAAGTACTTTGCTCGGGTGGCTGTGAGTGTTTCTGCGAGCTGAGCATCATTTTCTGCATTTGCGAGGCTGAAGCTACACACAACAGCAAAAGGGACGTCATCAACATATTTGCTAAACCACTTACTTGAAATCACTCCGCTAGGGAAGAGATCAGACAGAGTGTTGAATGGTGATAGTGGGGAGTGTGCACCCGTCACTCGAGACTTATGCGACAAGATGCTCGTTTCAATCTCACTTTCCGAAGCTGCGTAACGGATATGGAATTTTGTTGCCAGTAGCCTGTTCTTGATGATCACGTTATCCCAAACTGGATGCGATAGTTGAGCACGGTCTAGATGAGACCTGAGATATTTGGCTTCAGGGCCCTGACCAAGAGCAATTTTCACGAGCGGCGCAAGTTGCGTCGTAAATGATGGCTCATAAAATTCCATGCTGTGTGACTCAATTTGATGACTGGCAAAACTTGTCTGAATCGTATGAGATATAGGTTGCGTAAGAGTGATGTTCCGGCTCATGCCTTCGGTGCGAGGTGTTGCTGCAGGAGCCTGGGGCACGCAGTAAGAATAATACTTGAGTGGCAAAAAAGGCCGATTTTCAAAACGAGACTACTTCAGGTCTAATTCTGGAGAAAAGGAAAGTCAGTCACGTTGTTTGCATGGAAAATTGACACCGAAACTTTGTATAGGATGCGCATGCCTCTATTTTATACCCCATTCTCTATTCGAAGGGCACTGCGTAGTAATCTGTTCGCAGTCGATAGTGCGAAGAAGCAACTGGGCCGCGAGCATCGATTCCACGATTCTACACTTTTAGATAGCTCAAGTGTACAGTCTTCCTTCTTCTTGCACAACATACGAGTACATATTACGCGAGTAATGTCTGACCCTATCAACGCCAATCCAACTATCATCGACGTGTCCAGCTTGCCCACCAGGCTAGATACGCTTAGTAAAGAAAAGGACGCGAAGCGAGAGTTGGTTGATAGAATTCTTTCGCTTTCGCTATATCCACAAATCAATAGCGTGGCACCCCCAGACGAGGTACCTGAACTTATTTCTGAAGGCGAGCTCAGCGCTACTAGCGACGAGGAGCTTGACTTTGATGAGGATGACGAGGACGAGGAAATCATCGATGCGCAAGAAATTTTTGACTTGATTGCCACCATTTCCGACCCTGAGCACCCGCTCACGTTGGCTCAGCTTGCAGTGGTAAACCTTTCAGACATCACGGTGACACACGGGACCGACAAGAAGCGCGACATTTCTGAGGTCTTGATCAAAATCACGCCCACCATCACCCATTGCTCGTTGGCCACTTTGATTGGGTTGGGAATTCGCGTGCGTCTTGAGAGGCTGCTCCCCCCAAGATTCCGGATCCGGATATTGATCAAGGAGGGCACGCACCAGTCGGAAAACCAGGTCAACAAGCAGCTCAATGACAAGGAACGAGTGGCCGCTGCATGTGAAAATGACCAGTTGCTCTCGGTGATTCTGCAAATGCTCAGCACATGCAAGTAAAGTCTCTTGATCGGGACGTTTGAAATTCCGTTAAAGATGCTCCATGTAAAGGATTGAAGTAAGTATTCGAATATGATATCGCAAGTAAGGCTGTGCAAGTGAGGTTGTGCAAGGACAGTGTTTAGTGCAATACAATGAATCCACCTCAAAACAGAATGTCGCGCACGAGTCCTGCTTGCGCCTTGGCGATGATCATATGGCAGATATCTGCAACCACAAACTTGAAGACATGGTTCTTAATAAACTCCATAAGCGTGACCAAGTTGGCCTGGGACCCCCGCCGGCCGAAACCCGCGACAAGAGCCTCGATGTTTTCACCAAGCGTTTTTGTTTGTGAATAGAAATGATACTTGTCTTTTTGATTTTCTATTCTCTGTGTGGTACTGACCAGAAAGCGACGTGAAGAATAGCCGTCGGTGTCCCCCTGCCCGGGAGCTCCGACTAAGCTGAGATATGACGGGGTCGAGGAAGCGCTCAAAGAGGCCGGGTCCGCAACCTCCAGATCTCTTCTTTTCACAAGCTTATTGTAGAACTTCGACTTCAGCAAAAGCCCGTTCATCTGGGATGACTTTTGAGTCACGAATTGATGAGTATTAGAGGGTTCCGAGGGAGGGGTCTCCGGTGATATTTGCAGAGTTCTTCCTGGATTCCCCGAGACCCTGTCCTCATTCGGCGGCAACAGCACAGGCTTCAAATGTTGGTTAAGTCCAAAGATTGATAGCTTCCGTTTGCCCAGTAAGAGATCTCGGGAGAAAGTCGACATGCGGTTGCTGTTTTTGGACATGCTCCCGGTTCGCGTCGACGCAGACGATACGCTCATCGTATCAGTGTCAGCTGGGTAGTCTTTAATGGACAAGCTCAATTCGCTCACATGATCTAGTTCGGACGTGTCTTCTATCTGTGGCTCTTCGGACTGAACCGCTGTAAAGTCAGGAGATAGCTCAGTCATTCTATACTCGGCCACGCGGGTCTCGAAGGACCTCAATAAATGATCGTCAAGCATGAAGTATTCTCCGTTGTTCAAGCTATCTAAGACGCGGGCAAGCATTGCATTGATGTCCTTTAACAACGCGACTTTCACCTTCAGGTGAGGGATGCCTATTTCGCTGAGTAGCCAAAGGTCGCTTGGAATTGCTATGTGCGGCAAAATCTCCACCAACGACACGTGCGTTTTGGCTTTGTACGAGGCTGGGTCTAGTATCGAGCTTTCGTCCTTGAGGTTCAACGCTCGTGATAGAAACATGCTCATGAACAAATACTTGGTACGTTCTAGAGGCACTGAGATCTGGTGTGTCTGGAACAGCTCGAAATCTGGGATCCGTTCGCTGGCATTGTACGACCGCATCGGTGGTCGTGTTGGTTTGATCGAGCCTATAATTTATGGTGTGCTGAGTGCCTTGGTTGGCCAATGATGATATTAACGTGAGTGGGTAGGGCCCCGTTGCAACAGACAGACCTGTTTTGCGGTATGGAGTGCATATATACGCTGGCGCCAAAACATCTCGCTGTTGATGCAGAGTGGAACAATGCGCTTTGGCCAGTGTCTGGCGGTCAGAAAAGCAGATTTGCAGGGTACTCTGGACCTAGCAGAATGTCGTATCGGACCGACGTGGCTGCCTTTCCAGCCCGCCTGTTCATACGGTTGTGGATATAGTCCGCGCTTGGAATCCCAATTGGCAGATGGACACGTATTCCATGATTAGTCCTGCCTGCGTCGATGCAGTGTGAGAACAGACGCGAACAAGCACGGCTGACACAGGAGCCAATAAACGTCACTCTATCTGGCGCAGGATCCCGGGCCCCCGGCACTGGCGGGAGTAAAATTCAAATAGTCTGGATATTTCATATCGTTTGATAAACTGGCCGCAGCTCTGGAAACTCACGTTGCATATTTATTCATTCGCCCTGCTGCTTGCACCGTTCTATATTGAATCAGCATGAGGTCTCTGACACTTTGAAGGAGTATCCTTCCGTTGCATTTCCGGCAACTGAAACTGGCATGTCTTACTAGTTGATTAGTTCAGCCATATCAGAGAAGTCGTGCTCAAATTCGCTGACGTTCCCCACTCATGCTCCTGCATCAGTTGTCTAGCAGTGGCCAGCATTTCGAAAACAGTATGAAAGGATGCATTCGCCAAAAATATGCATTGGCACTCCGTTTCTTTATACTTGATGAAGCCTCTTGCATCCTAAAGGAGTCAAAAACTTAGCACTGTTTGGGGCAAGAATGGTATCGGCACCAGGCCCAAGTCACAGGTCTGCACTCACAAGTCTCACGTGACGCAGTTCGTGGGGAAATGCGCAACTACAAACCGTAATCTCGTTTCTGTCTACCAGACCGTTGGACATTGGTGGACTTAAAACCAAGTCTGTGTCGCACTCCCCGAATTAGATCAAATGCTTGGAGACAAAAAGCCCAAGTTTCGCTTCTCGTTCAGTATCAACGACTTGTCGAAGATACCGCACACTTCTGGGTATTGCTATGCCGAGCTCTCGGTTGCGGACGGGAATCCTAGCAGATTTCGTGCAGCCTTGGCTCTGATCAAGCCCTTTTCTTCGCTGTCAAAAGACTCCACAGACAGTGATCTCTCCTCAGTGTCATCAAGTGGAGCCAGTCTGAATCTGGAGAACAAAGCTTCTTCGCATTCGTCGACGCGACGGATTCAAGTACGCACGCCTCGGTATCGTATCCATAATTTCAAGTGCCAGTTCAACTTCTCCATGACTTGCAACTTAAAGTTCTCGCTTCGTAGAAAAGACGATATGCTCGGGGACAAGTACATCTTGCTTCGTGTCTATTACATCACGGAGAAGCACTCCAGACACGACCACCCGATGGAGTTGGGCGAGGTGAAATTGAACTTGACGGAGTATTTGAACTTCAGAGAGCCTGTGACGGCCAAATATCTCCTTCAGGAATCTAAAGTGAACTCAATTCTAAACCTAACTATCAGCCTAGAAGAGCTCCCCGCAGACTTCGAATTCCACACGCAGTTGAGTATTGACAATTCTAAGCACACTCAGCCCAATACAAGCTCGAGCCTCGGTATTTCGAGCGCATCGGAAAAAGGAACGAAGTCGTTCAATGTGCCCCAGTTTCAGCGCCAGGCAGTGTTCGGTGGTCTAGACGGTGTTATCAATCCGCAAGCAAATAAAGAGACAGGTCGAAGTCTGCCTCAGCAAGCCGATTCCGTGTCGGGTGCACAAAGTGAAGACGAAGAAGCCGACGGGGAGAATACTTTGCAACCTGATAGACACATCACATCAGTAGGAACAAAACCAATTGAAGATGTCATTGTCGACCCAATCATCGGTAGTTTATACCGGAAGATTCTTGAGTCTTCGTGGGATCCTGACTTACATGTTCTTCTCAAACTCACGCCACAGAAAGTGGTAGACGATATTTTTGACCTGGAGAAAGATCCTTCGAAAATGGAGAGTAACCTACAACACTATCGAGACTTGCGACCAGCAGACAACGATGATTTGAAAAATGTGGATGGGCTTATGATAGAGTCTAAATTTAGGAATAACTTGAAGAGCTGGTCGGTCTCTTGGACGTGAAAAATCCGCGGTTTAACGACTTGGCTGACCGTCTCAAGAAAAACCCTTCTAGATGGCAGATGTCTTCCTTCGTCCATATCTTGTGTTTGATCCGCGAGAGTCGCTCTCTTGCTCTCAGAAGAGGAAGTGTGTTTGGCCATGACTTGGAAGTTCTTCCGTCCCTCGAAGCATTGTCAGACCCCTCCTGGATCTTTTGGAGCTCTTCAAGAAGATTGCCCAATCGATTATCTAGTGAAACCGGCGTCATGAATGCGTAATCGGGTGCCTGGCGGAGGGGAGTATCCTGCAGTGAGCTTCGTGTCACGCATCGTAAGTTCGATGAAACATACGGCAAAGCCTTGCAGTAGTTACAATGTGCATGCCCCTGGAGCTGGCAAGCTTGATTGATACAGCGTAAGCCTCTGGTGTCCCGAAAGCCTCTGAACTTTCCGTGGTTGATGAAGCGGAGTAGATTTATACCAGCTGCGTTGCAGCCACGATTTTCGTCTTGGATTTGGCTTATACCTGTGCCAGTTTGCAGGCCAGCTGGTACTGCGTTTTCTGTATTGGGCATTATAACCGAAAGATGTGAGGTCTTGAGGCGCCAGGAAATTATTGCAAAATATAAATAGAGCTAATTATACGATCAATAGCAGCAAGCACTGTGTTTGAGCCAACCAATATCAATGGGCATATGAAGTATGCAAAAAATAATGCAAATTCATACGAGAACCAAAGAAATCGCCGAGAAGCATTTGTGTTATACTGGAATTTTCCCATGCGTAATATAGTTTTTTTTTTGTGTTGTATTCCGCGAGCTCACATTTATCATCAAGCCTTGACAGAATAAACCGCACGTCTCGTCTGCTGAGTCAATACATGCAAACTCTCCATTCAAAATAACCACTATTTAAAAATAGAAAAAAAAAGAAAATTAGTATCTGTGACGTATGAAATTGTTCGCGTATTCAAAGCATCGACTGAACACATCATTAGGGCAAATCTATTACCTGCAACACCTGTTCTAACTAGCATAGTTCCTTCTGCCGTACCCTCCATTTCCTCCATTTCCTCCATTTCCACCAGCTCTCAGTGATCCGTTGAAGTTACGGTTATCACGGTTATCACGACTGTAGTCATTATTGTAGTTTCTCCTCTGGAAGCCTCCCGTGCCTCTCCTTTTCTGATTTCTGTTTCTTTGCTCCATATTCATCATGTTTTGCTCCTTTGCCTGGTCCATCACCAGGTCTGGCAATCTAAGGAATTTTATGTGAGCACCACGTACGTATATCTCGTTCATTTTCTGAAATTTCTCACCGTTGTTGAAGTTATATACCACATCGGTCAACGTCAAGTTCATCCACGAGTCACAGTTGTTTAATTTCCCGTAAACGGTCTCGCCGTTTTTCAACTCCACAAGAATTTCTTGTTTTTTGATGCTTGTTAGCATGTATAAAGGTAACTGTATAAGAGTTAGTATTCTCCACAAGCCACTTAGTCAAACAGTCTACGGGAACATACCATTTTGGGGCCAAGAAATGTATTGGAAAGTCTGGTGGGGATAATTCCTCACTACATGTAAGTTTGCACTTGAAGGCTGGATGGTGTACTGTGACGCGCACGACCTTTAGTAGCAGAAGCAACATTTCAAAACATCAATCTCGATTTATCATTCTCAAGTGGGGGAAAAGTCACTCAGATTTTTATTTCAGCTACATCTCTGTGATAGAATCAATGGTGGGTTACATGTTTTTGCTGTAAAACTATGAGCTTGTCGTGATTTGGTATCCCCAATCACATCAGTTGTCTTGAGGTGGTACGGATGCGCCTCTCAAGGTCAACGGATATGGCGCTTCTTCGCCGTCTTCATCGGCATTATCGCCTAATCTAAATCCCACATAATCGTCGGTCTCCAAGCCTTGTGCGGCTTCCTGCAAAGAGCCCAAGTCACCGGGGGTCATCAAACCGATTTTGCTCCGGGGCGAGCCTGGCACTGAGAGTGGCCTGGTCAATTTCAAGTTCAGGCTGTTCTGGAAGGGATTATTACCGTTTTTGAACATGTGTGGGTAAGCGCGCTTCAAGGACAATTGCCTGGCTTTAACATACTCGAGTCCCATTCTCTTCCAGTCCAACAAATCAGATAATCTCTCAGTTCTGTTCCTCTGGTTGATTCTCTGTCTCCTTGTCTTCTCTGTGAAATCAAACATGTAGTCAACGAGTTGATTGATAGACTCATCAACGGACTTTTGTCTGCGGTCGACAATGTAGATTCCATAGTCGCTAGTGTTCTCGATCAAATCCTCCATGTAGCCACCAAAGCCAGACAAGTTCGTCGTGATAGATGGAACACCCATGACGGTACATTCTGCTGGAGTATATCCCCAAGGCTCGTAGTACGAGGGGAACACTCCCAAGTGACATCCTCTCACAAATTCCTCGTAATCCAAGGACAAAATGGGGTTGTTTGCATTGAGGAACTCCGGGTGAAAAATGATTTTGACCCTGTCTTCCGGCTTGTTGAACAACTGCACACGACGAATCTGGTTTAAGATTGGATCGTTGGCATCATCTGTCATGTTGTGTGTAACAATTGGGGGCAAGCCTTCTCTTTTCAAAGCGAAAATTCTTCTTTTCAACAAAACTCTGTCTGCTGGCTTAATCAAAGCATCAATAGATGGGACTTCATCTCCGTTAGAGTTGGAAATGGCATGCGAGTTAGGGAACCTAGCACAGTGTTCGAACAAACGTTCCCCAATCTTTTTTTGGACTTCTGAAATGGTGTTTTCCAATTGCTTGACCACAGCCTGTCCTTTTAATGTTTCGACGGTATAAGAGTTGATTTTTCCTGGCATAATGATGAACGCGACGATGGTCATTTTTGAGTTAGCCTGCTTCAATCTGTGGTTCAATCTGGCCAACGACTCGATGAAAAAATCAGCACCTTTATTTCTGAACTCGTATCTTCCAGCTATGAAGAAGTACAAGGTATTGTCCAAGTCGAAGTCATAATTGCCGTAGAAATGGCCCTTCACGAACTCATTGATTTTCTCCTTGTTCATCGCATGCAAATTCTGGAATTCGTGCACGGCAGAGAATTTTACGACATTCAAACCATTGGGCAAAACCCCGTCTGGCTTTCTCTTCAACAAGTGCTCAGACTCGTACGCTGTAATATGCGAGACGGTAGTGAATACATCGGCCGAATGTGTGGCAGAGCGCTCAATACAATAACGGTGATAAATACCTCTCTTGCCTGCCTCGGCGTCCACGTCAAAATATTGCAAATTGTTGTAGAAGTCCGTGGACCCAGCACACAAGTACCGTCCGAGCAATGTGGCATGGGTGGTGAAGATGGTGGTGACGTCGATTTTCCGTTTGCGACAAAGCGGCAACGCGACTCCAGCCAACCACTCATGGCAGTGGCAAATCACTGCCCGCTCCCGGTCGTGGTAGACTAACTCGCCCAAAAACCATGCCACAAGATAGCCCAAAAGAATGGCGTCATTGGTCTCGGAATCGTGGTCTGGCGTTGGTATGCCCGCGGCGTTCCAAAGATCGGCCTTCCACTCATTCAACTTGTACCCTGCAGATTGGATATCAAACAAAAGCACGCGTGGAGCTCCTTCAATCAACCACCTGCCATAGAGCCACTTGATGCCCCGCTCACTCATAGAATCCAATGTCTTTTGAACAAGCGGGTCCGCCACAGGGATTTCTTCCACTTCAATTTGGGCACTTTCATGGTGGAGTGGGCCAATTAAAGTATACCGTTCTCTGTACTCGGCTACAGTGATGAGGGCCTTGGACTTGAGCACCGAATATATGCCTCCAACTTTATGGGCGACTTCAGTAGCAACCTCGAAAAGAAGATGGTTCTGGATGTCCCTTGTCATTATTTTTCCTTTGAGATCTTTCGAGTCTTTTTTTTCGTTTGTTTTGTGTCTTCTAGTAAAACTAGCTCGCGGTTATCTTACCAAAGCTGTGAAGGTTTTCGAAACGTACACCTGAAACCTAGGATTGAACTTTCTAGGATTACTCAACAGGCAGAAACAGCGAAACACTTCAGACTGTGTGAAGGTGATGAGCAGGGTCGATTTGAAGTTTCCAAGTTTTCGCCGATGTAAGCAAGTTGGTGTGTTTCAAAAGAATGTAATACGCAGCGGTAAAAAGTTGGGCATTCTTATCGATAAGTCGGTGCGAAGCTGGCTGGGGTAGTGGAGTGATAGTGGGGCGCCCAATGCATGTACGAGATTAGATGCCAAAGGAGGGGAAGCACCACAGTAAATGCCGGATCTTCCCGAAAAATAAAAGCTTAAAACAAAAAAACAAAAAACAAAAAACAAGCTCGGGAAAAGGCTGGAATATCTTATTTTCAAGCTGTTCTTGCAAAACGACAGTTTTTGCGTATCTGGAAATATGGCATCTCCCAGATTTTTGGACATGGTAATGGAATGAGTTGATGCGAGATCCCGTTCGTTCCGGTAGCTCGTATTATGGTAATTCGTGCTGGCCTATATACTACGGTGGGCCGACTGCGCGAACAGTGGTTCTATGCGTCAGTGACCATTTAGCCCCACTCCTCGGAATATCGGAAAATCTGGCGGTATATTTGGAGCTAGCTAGCAGAGGAATCATCTTTGAACGGAACAGAGCAAAATACGAGAACATTTTCGAGGCATTGTTAATTCAAGGGCCGTAGGGAGTGGCATGCACATCGCTACTTTATTTTTTATACCTCGCTTTACGTCGCAGGCTCTCGACAATTGGAAATAAAATATACTGCGGGGGTGCTCAGCCAGGTGGTCTCATACAGTATCAGGGATGCAACGTGAAGAATGGAGACATAATTCCTAGGCCGAGAGAGATAAAGAGAGGTCATGAAATTAAGCCAAAGGCAGAGTCAACTTTTTTTCGCTGCTTAGTTGGGATTATTAAATGGCCAACTGGATCTAGCTCCCGCGAGCTGAAAATTTGAGGTGGGGGAAGGCACTCGGTCAGGGCTCCTGACGACATACACGTGGAATCTTCAGTGTGTGGAGCGACACGAAGGACTCGAGTAGCTCGACCTCGCAAATACTTAGAGGAGAAGAACGATTATGAAATGCGAACAAAATTGCGATGAGAAATTGTTTATTGCTCCAAGCTAGAAATTTGAGTCAATTGACGTCGCCTCTTCTTTGTAAAACACTTTGATTAAAGGGAACAAAGGGTTATCATTATCTCCGTGTAGCAAATGCCCCGTTCTTATTAGACACATAAGTCGTGTTTTGGGAAGTGAATGTGAATTCTCCAGGCAAAGCAGATTTAATGTTTCCACCAGATCCGAATAAATTGCCTTTTGGATAGTCGGATTCCGAAGGTTTAGAAGGAAGTCTGAAGTCAAACACTTCCAGTCGCTTGAGATCTTCTTTGGAGCCCGATATCTTGGGAAACTGGAACTTGGGGTCACTCGAACCTGATCCACTACAAAACGAGAAAGACAAGTGGCCTTTTCCATCTTCGCTTTTGACATCAGGTCCATTTTTCAGAAGCTTTTGGAAAAGCAGCGTAGATTTATTTTCGGTGTTTTTGCCAAAGAGTGTTGTTTGTTCTTTCATATCTCCTTTAAGACCACAGTCTGTTTTGAACAAATTTTTGAAGTTAGGCGTTTGGCCAAACGAACTGGAGTTCGCGGTGTTGGCGCCAAATACTGAAGTACCGTGCGTGGTAGGATTGAAAAGCTTTCCAACTGCTGGATCAGAGTTGTGTTACTTACAGTAGTCTGTTTGAACACCACTGCAGGGTCATGAATATTCGAGGCAGTTTCAGGGGTGCTCCCAGAAGTGGCAAACGAATATTTTGGTGGATGTTTCAATGAAGCTGAAAAAATGTTTTCACTATTAGAAGATCGCGCTGTGCCATCAAATTTGTTGCTCGTGACAAAGACTTTTTTTGCGGCGAACATACTCTCTGTGTATCCACTATCAGTATTGACCGGATTGAAAGTTGTTCTTGGATCAAAGCCACGATACCTCAGGTATTTTCTATTTCTCATGGAGTCCGTTTCAATCTTGTTGAATAAAGCCTGACTAGGATGTGGATCATCCGTATCACTCGCTGTGTTGTCTTGGTTTCCGTCAATCATACCATTGAGTTGTCCCTTGAAGCTCTTTATGCCATCCTGTACCAGAATGTCTAGCCGAAAGTTTCGAAAATCATCAAGAGAACTATGAGACTTATTGTTCAGAGTCGTGTTTGGAAAAGTTGCGACGACGTTGTAAGAAGGATCAATCACCATGATCTCGGCCTTGTTCTCAATGCCTAGATCTTGAAAACTATTCACCTTTAAGTTACTGTATTTTGAGGGAACGGGTGACAGATACATATGACGCTTCAATAATCTTTTCTGGATGCGCAGTATGCCATTCCCAGCAATTTTAATATTGTTGAAACTTTCATTAAATTCAACGATTCTGGCTTGAATCACATTCATTTTTTGACCAGGCGTGTCAAAGTTTATCCAAATCAAATGAAGATCAATGTTTGACTGATGAGAGCCAATGTAGATGCCATTTAGCCGATTATTATTCAAGTCTTCTGTGTTTTGAGTCATAGCCCTGATCACTTCGTCAGCCCCAGGCACAAGTGTAGCTGTGACATTTATTTTTGGTTCTACTCTCACCAATGCATCACATCCAAAAGGAGCAAAAGATTTTGTAGTAGCCAGCCAGGTGGATCTGAGCATATCATAGGGTACTCGTCCATTGGGTGGTGGTGTGAGGTTATGTGTCAAAAGCACATAGTTTAAGGCTGACAAAGAAAGGAGCTGGCCGAGCAAATCATGGGATGTCGCCCGACGTAATAGTCTGTTTGCTTTGCGGAAAAACAAGCTTTTCTTTGTTTTGAACGGTATTTTGGACTCTGAGTCTTTGGCAAGTAAGCCCAAGTCATGCACTTCCCTTACATTCAAAAATTGTGGCGTGGGGATATTGAGCCCATATTCATTCGTGACAAAACCACATTCAAATGATGGGAATTCAATCATAATGTTTTGTATTGTTGATTTTGTCTTCCCGAACAGCGATTCCCTTGAATCACCATCCACCATCCATACATGCGATGTGTACTCATCTGTGAGGAACGCAATGGATCTTTGCCCAAATACCCCTGCCGATTCCCAATGAAGTCGAAACAAGGGTTGTAGAGCTACATTCTTAAGCAACCTAGTGAGATTAGTTACATCGATACTCCTCTTGTCTTCATTCTGATTTTGTGTCTCTTTAATGTGGACCCCAGGTTGTTTAGGTATATTCTCCATTGTGAAGGTTGCATTGGCGTGTCTATTCTCATACCTCTTTGCTTCATTATGTTTCGATCGTGTTTCGTGTACATCGTCTGGCGTTTCTTCGTGACAATTTACCAGTTTCTTCTCATCAACTTTACCGATGTAGTTGAGAGTTCTCAGCAGAATGTTGGAAACATAGACGTCTCCATTGCTGTATATCAACAAGTGCTCACCAAGCTTCAGGAAATCATTAATATTTAATATACTGATACTTGTTGTAGGAATCCAATTACATGTCAACGTATGGCCGCCGATAAAAATTGTGCCCTTTCCTGGTACTGAGTGAATTTTGCCTGAAAGGTTAATCATAGTCAGGGTACCCATAGGTTGGTAATCGCTCAAAAGTTCTTTCTTATGTGTAAAAGAGATTCCATAATTAGTAGCGCAGATAAAGTTTTGAAGATAATGTGTGTCTTTATCGCCACAGATGGTGTACCGAGTGTCGTCCAAGACAACATAGGCCTCCTTATTTTCTCTGCATGTAAATGATTGCAGATCCGAGGTAGTCCCATTGCGATCATCACGACCCACAGGAATCTTAATCTTTGGTTGTTCAGAATGTTCAGTATCATTATGGTTTACAATGACATCGACAGTAGGCTGTTCAGTATTAGATAAGACATTTTCGTCTTTTGGAGTCAATTTTTGAAACTTAGATAAGTTCTTAAAATACGTATCTTCTGCCATTCCTGAATTTTCAACGTCCCTACAAAGTTGGACGACGATTTCCAAAACATGACTCAAGTCTTTCCGGGAGCTCTGATTCAACGAGCTGTGAGAAGACAAGCAGGGAACCCCGGCAAAAAGAGCACGAGCGATGGTTTGGTTTCCTCTTCTAAATTGAGAAAAATGCCTGCTTAAGTGTGGAAAAAAGAAGCAAAATTCAGACATCGTCGAGGCCGCTAAGAATGCTTTGAAGTAAATCGAGGTCTGTAATTCAGATATCACGTCGTTCTTCATTCCGACCAAACTAATTGGGCCAGGAGAACAGAAGTTGGTGACGTTCATCAAAGTCTCCTTTGCTAAATCAGATATGTCTTTTGCGGGATCTTCCTTGCTAATTTCTAGCTCACCCAAGTTATTCATGTCTCTGGAAAATGCTCCCTGAATCTCTATACAGTGTGCTGAAACCCATGCCTGTCCTTTTGCAGGGGTGCTACTCACAATACAATCTTGGGTTGCCTCTGATCGTGACTCTGAGATTGAGCCCTTTTCTGGACTTGAAACTGAGGTCATCGCAATCATCAAGCTTCTTCCTCAGTGCATGGAATCAAACAGACCACCATTTGACTTGAGATCAAATGCGCATATCACGTGATGTAAACACGATACGTACGCTTTAGGGTTTCAATACCAATCATTATAACTTTCAAGCATAAAGCCCTACTTTCCCTATTTATTAGCACATAATAATGTCGTAGAAGGAGGCAAATACCAACAAATATTTCCTTAACATTTCCAAAATGAATTCATGGATTAAAAGCGAAACATAGATAGTGAAATATCGTTATACGATGTGTGTAATCTATCAGGTAGGTACAACTGTTTACAGCAGACGAAAGCCTTTTATTCAACTCATCTAGAAATTTTATATTAATGTTTGATGTGCTTATGCTAATCTTCCATTTCAGAATCCGAGTCAGCCCCCGATCCCAGAAATTGCGCTTGGTTTGACTTTCCATCAAAGCCAAGCCAGTCTCCTTGGTCTTCTTCTTCTTCTTCTTCTTCTTCTTCAATCACCTGTTCATCATCAGAGTTCTCTGCTTCATTCAGTGGTAAAAGTTTGTTCTCGTCAGCAGAATCGTTTCCATTTTCGTTACTCGGTGCCTCTTTAGGCGCCACAAGATATGCGTGCATGTACCCAGATCTCTTACTGAGCAAGACCACCTCCTTGGCCACACGAGCCAAAAACCTCTTGATAGTTCTCAAGTTTGGCTGAAATTCGAACTTGTGCTCGCTGATATATCTGCCATGGTGAGCAACAGTCTCCTTCACCCAAAGCAAATTAAATTCAATATGCTGACTTCCTTCTGTCCTGGTCATTTTCTCGGCCAAATACTTCAATAGTCTATTCACATAGACTGTAGGGATGTCGGCACACACCAACTTTATGTCCGACACAGGTATGTTTTCCACGACATTGTCAATCAAGTTGTCCTCGTTCAATCTGAACGCCATAACCAATGCAAATACCCAATTCTTCTCTCGGAGATTATCGGCTATGCTCTGTGGGGTTACGTCCATATCCAAGTCGAATGGATCGAATACAACAGATGAGTCAGTAGAGAAAATCAACAAGCCCTCAGTGGACGCAGCTGCAAAAGCAGAAGATGTGGGAGAAAATTTCACTGAAGTGACTCTCACTTGTGGTCTAAGACTACGCACACTTGGATCTCCACGGTGCGAGCCAGGTAAGCTCAAGTCGACTCTTGCCTCCTTATCAACTTCTTCACCCTGGGTATCAATCAAGTCGATGGAGATTCCTGCATCTGTAACTTTTTTGCTGTTCAACATCGTCAATGTTCCATCGAGAGACATGTTCTCAGATACAATGAATCTCTTGAGAAGGACCTCGTCCGCGATGTCGTAAAGACATATACTATTGTTGTTACCCCCTGCAATGAGGCTTAGTCCGTCGAAGGAATAGGATATAGTGGTGAAGTTCTTGGACCTGGCGCTGTTTTTCAGTGCAAATCTGTCCTCCAAGTGTCTTCCGGAAAACACATCTCTCCTGACATCGAGAATGTGCTCTTGCTTGGCTTCTTCGACATCATAAAACACTAGGTTGCCGTTAAGTGTACTGACTGCAACATGTTTGCTATCTGGACTCACGGCAAGAGCCAACACGTCATGTTCCACTTCAATTGGTTCGACTTGTTGCAGCCTACTAAAAATGTTCCAGATACGGATGGTTTTGTCCCAGGAACTGGAGGCCAACACTGAGCTTTCTGTTCCGAAGGCCAAGCACGAAATCGGGCCTTCATGTCCAGCCAAGGAATCCAAAAGGGACCCAGTTTGCACGGACCACACATAGATCTCAAATTCATCCTCCGAGCCAGCAACAACCACCTCACCCGAAGGATCGACGGCCATACTGTTGAACTGCACCCTTTTTGATGCTGTGAAGGTGCGGAAGTTACGGAAACGGATTAGGTCCCACGCTCTCACTGTGCCGTCCATGGAGGCCGAAAACATGACCTGGCCCTTTTTTGCAAACTCAACGGCACTGACAGCCCCTGTGTGCTCCGTGAATGTGTAAAGACAGAACCCGGAATGGATATCCCAGACCTTCAACTTTCCATCATCCGATGCCGTGACAGCACGGGATCCATCAGGAGAATAGCACACGGCATTCATAGCATCATAGTGACCCTGTTGCTTCAAGATGTACGATTCAGATTGCCATTCGTATACCAATAACTGACCAGCCTTAGACGAGCCAAATGCGAACCACTCTCCGGACTTATTGATGGTGACAGTATCGACTGTGTTTTGGCCCATGCTCAATTGCTGGATCATGTTGAATTCAGGAAGCTCGTACAATCGGAACTCTCCAGAAGTGAATCCCACGACCAAAATGTTGCTCTTTGCATGGAAGTCTGCACAGCTGACTTTGGTTCCCTCCATGTGGAAGTAGTGTTTGGAAACAATGCGCCACTGAGCGCCATCGCTCTTTTCTGCTTTGGGCGTGATATCTTCGGCGTCGCTGTCGCTTTCCATGCCTTCATCCTCATCTTCGCTTGACAGCTCATCCACGGCAATATATTCCCACTGAAACAATGCGCCGTCTTTACTAAGCGTGTAAATGATTTCTTGTGTCTCATTGAAAAACGCTCGCATGACGTAGTCGCGGTGGCCCGACATTGTCATAGCAGCCTCCTTGTCTTCGCTATGGAGAGAAAAGATTCTGGTGGTCATATCTTCGGCAGTAGAGATGACGAATCTCGAGTCCTGCGACCAGGTCACCGAGATCACGTCGCTGAAGTGGCCCGCATAGTTTCTGTAACGCACAAATGGTGCAAATTGCCTGTCCTCTGTGTAGTCAGGTGTTTTCCAAATTTGAACAAATCTGTCCAAGGCCACTGCAAAGAAATGACCGTCGTTGGAGAATTGTAGATCGTGTACCACGCCTTTAAAGTTGAAGTGGTGCAACACAACTCGGGACACAAAATTTACCAATACACCACGGCCGTCCTCGTCCACAGAGAGCATGAGAGTTGCCTGTTTATTCAAGGCAACCCTGGCAATGTTTTTCCGGTGTTGATAGCTGAATGTGAATGCCTTATTGCTGATCAAATCGAAGCAGCTGACTCTGTTTCCGACTGGACTCAAGATCTTGCTGCCATCTTCCGTGAACACCAAGTTTCCCTGACGGTAAACAGTTCCTACCAAGTTCGACAATCTAAAATCCGACTTCATGGCGCTGAAACTAGGTGAGAAAGATGAGCTTGGCTCCGGTGCATGAAGCGCATTTTTCACCGTGAGAGATGAGCGATGAGAACCACAGACAATCAACCATGCAGGATAGTACAAGTTTGGCACGGACTTTCACCTGATATGATAAGAGATATGTAGTATGAGTATACAATAAGTGCTAGGGTCACCAGTAAATACAAGACCGTCACTTCGTACTCCGAAATGTTTCATTTGACTTCGAACAAGCACGTCATCCCATAGGCCTGTCTATGGTGCACGGGTGCGCAGGTCCTAAGTTGTACATGAGCTCTGAGCGTGAACTATATCTATCGATTGAGCTGTCGTCGAATCGCCATGGGTCTCTCCAGCAATGTCATGAACATGAAGTTCATGCAGAAGGCACAAAACAGTAAAAAGAACGACTTGCACGAACTAGAGACCAAAAAAATTAGGGATCTGTCTGAGTGGCTGTTGCCTAGTGGCACTGTCAAGCCTAAGATCAAACCCGCCGTTACCGTCAGGACTGTTGGTTACGGTAGCATAGCATCTTTGACTGCCAAAGAAAATGACGCCATATCCAACGACAACCCAAAATCGCAAACTGCGCCTCCTTCCAACGAACCCGTATGTTCAATTCTACCCCCTTGGGTCTCGCATGCTACAATGCAAATATAGTCAATCTCAGCACTAACAAATCCCAGGAAAAGACCCGGAAAGACGACGCACAGACTCTTTTGAATGAAATCCTAGATAAGGCGCAGAAGGATCAGAAGAGACTGCAGAAGCAAAGCAAGCAACTGCGCAAAAAAGCCCGGAAGCTGCTGTCGTAATCAAGCCTGTTTCACTTCTTCTTCTTGTCTGATTCCAAGAAAAATCCCCCCTTGATTAGAACGTCCCTTGTTGCTGTGTTAATGTGCTTAAACCGGTCAGGCCCTAAGTGTGTGCCTCCGTACCACCTGCTGACGACCACCACCACATTCCAAACATCCATAATCTGAAAGGTTAGTATAACGCGATAGCCCTAATAATAGACAACTTGATTTGAAGTCTTCAAAATCACACAAAGTACCGAATTTCGGCAAACTTTCACATACGGTCATCAAGTGGAGCATGCGCAGTCCCGCGGCTGTTTCACCGTCATCATCACAGTCTTGGAAAGACGTTCCATTCGTACCCTTGATCCTCATTGACGTCATATTATGTGTCGCCTTTGCAATCTTGCGATCATTTTTCAAGTCATCAATATATTTATTCGCTTCTTCCACTGAATGAGCCTCTCTAGCGTATGCAATGAAGGAAGAATTCCGATCCACTATCGGGTCTGACTGTATCCATTCGGCAGTGTAATCACGCTCTTTGGTCAACCGCGGCTCAGGTGAACCTGGTGCTTCCTTTTCCCGTGCCAACTCTAATAGTTTTTTTCTCTTGTTCTCGATTTTTACTTGCTCCAACTTTGCAACGATCTCCTGGAGTTCCCGTGCGTGTTCCTCGTCGTACGCCTCTAGAAAGGTCTGTATCTCGCCAAGCAACTCGAAAATAATTACCATTTCTTCCATGAACACGCTGTCTATCAACTCGTTGATTTTGTTCTCTATGTATTTCAAATCGGGATATTTCCGTACGTTTTTAGTTAGGGCTTGTATCATGCTAGGTTTCTCAACAGGATAGGATTCGGGAAATACCAACTGGATAGAAATGTCGCTGAAATCAGGTACAGTGAGCAGAACGATTCCCGGGCCCAATTTCTCCGTACTTCCCGGGTAAATTGCCTCAATCGCATCCAATTCTTCGTTGAGCTCTGTGTAAGGCATAATTTTGAAAGTGATTATGAGAATGTAGCTATCCCGAGGTTTGTATCGCTATAATAACTTAGAGTGCTTATTTGTGAAAAAAAAGAAGCGCGAGCTTTGGCTTTGTCTTTGTCTATGTGTAGACGAAATATTTAGTTCAAGTTCTCGAAGTTTTCATATTACCTAAAAACCAAGGTCTGGAGCGATCTCACAATCCCATCGGGTGGTCTGGCAGACTGGCACATCTCGCAACCTCAGATTCGCGTAATTCTGCACTATCTTCAAGCTTGAGCCAATTGTTTAGTTCAAAATGCCCACTTTTGACGAATTCAAGACCGAGGGCAACCGTGCATTTGCTGCTGGAGAGTACAAACGTGCTGCCAAGATATATCGTGATGCCATTTCCCAACACGGAAATCATGCTGTGCTTTACTCTAATAGGGCTCAGTGCTTCCTAAATTTGAAAAACTGGGATAGAGCATATAAAGACGCAGAAGCTGGGCTTGCGTGTGAGCCACATGAGAAAATCCGGGTGAAATTACTATATCGAATGGGGGCTGCGGCGCAAAACTTGGAGCGTGTCCTGGAGGCTGTATACTGTTTCCAGCAGTTGTTGGACATAGATCCTACCAATACCGGTGCACAGGAAGAGCTCGAAAAATTGACCAGCGTGCCGAAGTTTAAAAAGCTAAAAGCAGGAGAATCCCAAGAAATTCCACTCGAGTTTGTTGATGAACTTCCCCAGCAGTTTGCAGATCTTGTATCGCCACCCTTACCGGAATTAGTACAGAGTAAAAAAATCGTTAATTCTGACCTAATTGAAAATGCGACGCAAGAACTTTTTGGCCAGAAAGAAAGGGAAGCACATACTTCAAAAACGAGTATATCCGAGGGGACCAGGAAGTTTACTGAGTTACCCTCCATGTATTTTCTCAAAGCATTAAAACTGGTTCCGCAGGATAAGAAGGTGCAATCTTATAGATACGTCTTGGGCTTGGAAGACTCTATTCTAGTGTCTCTTTTTCAATCACTGGGGGTTGACCACGACTATTTTGAATTCTTTATGGAAGCCTGTGCGTTTACAATCGCTGAAGATCCTAGTGTAACACGGTCTATTGTCGACAAACTTCAACTCATGTCAAAATTCAACAGATTTTCTCTTACGCTAACTATGTGTGACGAAAGTTTACTTGATAATCTTCTTTTAGTGGTGAGTACATTTTCCCCTACCAATCTCGACCTAATTAAGCATCTTCTCCTGTCTCGATGATCGGCGCCTTAAGACCCCAAAGAGAGGTCCTTACGTAATCCAGTGGGAACCAACTTGAATGGATCTGGTTGCATCATATCAATAAAAAATTGTGGATAATAGTCCTCGATGTTGAACCAGTTGTTCATAACACACAAAACAGGTACCACTATTAATGCGGTCAAAATTGCAGCGACAGAGAAAAATGTTAGTGTCGACCAGTAAATTGCCATTATTCGTCGCTTTTTCTCCTTCTTTGAATAAAATTGCAGTCTGAGTTGGCTCCCAGGTTTGAGCCACATCAACATCATCGAATGAAACGTGTTCGAAAGTGGAATTACTATCGCTGGGAGTTGGGCGTAAAATATCATGTGTGATACCATGAAGTCAGCTGCAAAGTATGACTGCTCAGACACTTTGCAGATGTATTCTCTGAACGGCTGCGATAATGTCCGCCATCCTAACCCTGCGCTCAACCATTTCCCTGACCACCATGCTCTGTTGGATCGACTGTCCAATACCTCGCGACTCATGAAAAGCGTGTTTGTGACTTGAAATGTCACTTTTTGAACCATGGTTACCAAGCAAAACCCAAGTACTGTCTGCTCAACATCGAAGTTTTGAAGGACGAAAAGAAGCAACACGGAGAATAAATGTGCTGCAATTGATAATGTGTGTATTATCGCAGCAACAAAAGAGGGATATTGTGACATGAATGAGCTTATGATGGACCCGAAGCATAGGGACGTGATAAACACAAAAATCATGATCACCATGTTAACTCCAATGGGTAGCATTGCCACAAATAGAACCCTTGCAAGGATGTATGATGGCGTCTCCAATGATGATTCATTCTGGGAATTTGAAAAAAAATAGGCCGTCAGGATAAAAAAAAGAACCATGCTTTGAGGAAATATTACTGTCGTAATGATATTGAACCGGGATGGTCTTACCTGGTTCATAAGACCCTCTTCTTCTTTTCCATAATTGACTTTTACTCCCGTATACCTGCTCCGACCAATTTTGGTGTAAGTAGCCCATGAGCTTTTGCAGACTTCACTATTCCCTGAATGAAGCCATTTAAAAAATTGCAAATAATCGGCAAAGAACTCGTTCCACACAAACTGGTTTGGATTGAAGATAAATGGGCTGATGATAAGTCCAAGAACAACAATCCAGAAAAAGGCAAAAACAGGTTTCCACATGCTTGTCGAAAAATATACGACCAACAAAAATAAAAATGCACCAAATGTAAGGGATTCATTCCCGAAACGAGTGTAAAGATCAGAAAACGCCTCTCTCCTGGTGGCAAATCCTCTCCCAGTGGCAATGTACTGGGCACCGCCAATTGTAATATCCCTCACCAAAGATTGAGAATAAATTTTGCACACGAAAATTTCAAACAATGGCGACATTGAAAACATATGCTTTCCAATTCTCGTTATGGATTTGTAGACCCCTCTTTCAGAAAGCTCATAGACCGTCAATGGTAGCATAGACATAAAAAAAACCAAGAAAATTGAGAGGATACACCTTTCAAGCCATCCTATTACCGGAATAAGATTTGCACAAAACTCCGGTTCCCTCGGATCCGTGATGGGACGAGACTCATGGTACTTACATACCATGGACTCGCTTGTCAAGGAAGCGAGGTTGATGCCTATCAAAAGAAAAATCTGAATGGAAAGGATGATCAAAAAGTTGTTGAGATGAAATCCGACATGAGCGTAGTAGAACGAGAGCATCCTGTCAAGTGGGAGTTGCGTTCCCAAGTAAAAATATTCCCGTGATAGATTCTGTTCGCCCATGCCGGTTCCAATTTTGGTAATGAAATTCAAGATAGATGTAAACCCAAGATCTCTTCCTTTCCCACATTGCATGTATTCACAATGCTTAATTCTTCCACCCCGCGCGACAGCTGTCATTCCCGCGTATATGTCCTCATTCAAATGAAGACCTCGTTGAGCTTTAGATACCCCGCCTCTGGTTGTCATGAAAATTCCATTGAGGAAATCTGGGTGTCCATAATGGAGCTTTCCGCCAATTTGAGCAAGCGTTCTTGCAAATAATGTGCCGAATGTCTGCTCTTTACCTGCCGCAATATCGCCCAAAATGCCTGTGTTTTCGGAAAATATGTATTCTCTTGTGCCGATGATGGCGACGGGATCCGGGATTTCCATTTTCTCGTACTCGCTAGAGTATGGATCAATGAGATTTTGCTCTTCAAATTCTGCCAAGATGTTGCGAATCTTCAAACACTCCTCAATATAGTTGTCCTGGTTTGCATCTACGAGTTGAATGTACTCCCCTCGTGTGAAAATTACAGAATGATTCTGGTTGTCGGATTTCCCGTCTCCCAAAATTGGGTATCCTGAAATACGGATACGGTACTTTGGGATGCGCCTGTCAAACGCATTTTTGGGGCATGAGCCATCAATTAGACACGAGTAAAAAGTGAGTGATCCATCAATTGGGCTCGCCTCTTCTTCAATGTATGCTATTTGAAGCTCTGGGTATGCCCTTAGCAATACTTCTGCACTCTCATGTTCTTCCTCAGTGAAATCCTTGAACCTTTGCATTGACACAGTGATGAAAAACTTTCGAAGTGTCAAGTTTTGAATTTCCTGTAGCCTCTCATTATCAATCCCTTTGTACTCGATGTCTTCTTCCGTCTCCAAGTCTAAAAGCATTTTTATTGACTTGGAGTAGTTCATAAAACCAAATACTGTTCGATAAAGTGTTTGAGACCTTAGAGAAGCCCATATTCTTGTTCGCATAGTAAATGTGGGAGTAGCTTCTCGAAAACCAATCAAGTCATATGCATTATCTTCTTTGTTGTCTCTTGCTGTGCTCACTTGACTTCCCTTGCATTCATATTCTTCTGCCATCAACTTTGTGTCGCGGACAAAATTTACCCATTCCAGTGAGTAAAGCTGTTTCAAATACTCAAGAAGAGTAACTTGTGCATACTTGTCTTCTTCTCTAATAATTTCCTTCAACAGAAGTATAATCTTCTCACTGTAATGCGGGATAAAAACTGTGAAACTTGGCATACTTTGAATCTCGCGGGCCTCTGGAATTGATGATGTTAACGACTGAGCGAAGAAAGATATTCTTCGTTGAGCTTCAGTGCTCTCCGAAAAAATTTTAAGTCTTAGTGACTCGTCTTCTTGAGAAACAAAAAAGCTAGGCTCATTTATGATCGTGGAAGTTCCCCTTTCCAGAATCTGGTGGTATATGAGCTTTTGAACTTGCTCGATTGAAATGTAATGCTCTCGGTACATGGAAACAACAATCGCATTCCAAATTTTGGAAACCATATAAGTTTCATCTGATGTCTTTATTCCAGTGGTGACGAGCAATTTTGAATATATTCTCTTCGGAAGTCTGGAATATATGTTGTTCCAAGGTGTCCAAATGCTAGACCCAAGATAGTAACATCTAGCAACTGAAAATACAGCGGTCCAAACAACATACCAAAGATACGTATCGAGAAAAAACAAGATAAACTCTAAGACAAAGATGAGTAGAAGGACGATCTTCGGCTGATACCGGCAAGCAATTTGCCCCAACCACATATCCCCGAGACAGTTTGTTTTCATTACACTCAATTCTCGGACGGGATGCCTCATGGGAAGAGTCAAAAAGAGGTATGACTCTAGAAATTTTGAGGAAAATACCATAACCCAAAGCCCAATAGATGCTGTTTTGTCTTCCCCATTTAGTATATGAAAATTCGAAGTAAAGCTCTCGGATGCAAGTTGTGCTCTGCCCTTTAATTTGCAACCAAAAGTCCTAATCGGAGGCACAATTGAGAGATATAAAACTGTGAATATCGAGAACACAAAATGACATGTTGCAATAGAAATTCCAGTTGAGTTACCGAAATCTTGATAATCGAGGGCATGGACAATAATTGTGGGGGCGGTGTTCAAGAATAGTAAAATTGAAAGACACCAGAAGCGCTTTGAAATTGGGTGTGAACCCTCCCAACGCCTAGGCAGAAATCGAAATTCCAAGATTAATGCAAAAAGACTGATTGACACCAGCAACGCCCCTGCTAAAGACATGATTGACAATCTCGTTTGCGTAGTGGGCCGATTGTTGTAAGATATCTCATAGCCGGGTGTGTATAGGGGGTATGAATGAATGATAGTATAATACCAGAAGACTGACAGGTGTATGATAATGACTCTGTTGAAATTGACCACGATATGCATCCATGTCCTGGTCTCACGGTATGTCTTACAAAAGGCCTTCAGCCAATCAACTTCCGCGAGTGCTTTGAACCGCTCTTCTTTCTGCAAGTCCATAATGGAGGTATGATCAGACAACATGATACGTTGCAAGCTAGTTCGGTGCCAGAAGGTTTGATTCATGTCATCATAGCCAACAATCAAGTCATGGTCTTTATCAACTTTTTCCAACTTTGCACTCTTCTCTTCATATAGTTGCTGTCTCAAGCACATGTAAAGTGGGGTGATGGCATGATCGAGAAATCCATGCGTATACTTTTGAAAGTCACCATAGTCTGTTAGAGTACTGTAATAGTCAATGCAGCACTTGAAAAGAAAACAAAGGCACTCGGGCATGAACCTGATATTATTTGCCTCACCCCAAATTAATAGGTATAAAGCCACATGAGTGACCTGCTCTTCGGGACTTAAACGAGCCATCTTCATCTGCCATTGCTTTTGAGCAAAGAGAAGGCTTTCAGTTACCTGAGAAGCTTTTCTCTTGTGTTTCTTCTCATACTTGCGTGGCAAATCGTCCACGTCCATTTCAGCAGCGAAGTACCATTTACGGAAGTTTGATCGGGGCCCACCAATGTAGTCAGCATGGAGTGTTCGAAGCGCCATATAAGGCCCAGATCTGGAAGCCCGTGACTCAAGCAAAGTCAAAAAGTATGACATCATATTTTTCATATTGTCGTGTTGGAAGCAAAAAGTCATTTGCAACCTTGAGAAGATCACCCCAATATCTTCCTCCAGGATTGGCACGGTCTCAGGTGGACCCCAATGAATAGATCCAATTTTCTTGGGTTCACTCCGACATTTTTCCTCGTCAGAGTCGTCTTGAGGCTCAGATTTTCGCGGCTCACTCAGATAGCTCAGATTGATGAAAAACGGAGTGTTTTCACCGTGTAACACTTCTGCCACAGAAAGTGCAGCCTGTGTTTCCACAGGTGCCAGATCTGAATGGCTGGTATGCAATGGAGCCGCTGATCTGGCCTGAATGTGTTTTGGTGACAGAAACATCTTTGTGCCTAAAAGAAACAAGGTCACAAAGTGTCGAAGTGTGGTTGCGAAAATACTGCAACCGCTTGCTGCCGGCTGCGAAACTTCGCAGCGGGAGAAAAAATAAGGTCCAGACTACTATGCTCTTCATCGTGCGTTTTGATGTATGATAGTTTATTTCTTTACTGAAGCTATTTTTCTAGTCTGTATCAGAGTCTTCGTCTGTGAGTGTCGATGGATCGCACCCATTATATGCCACGAGATTGGGCAGCCCCGTTTTTTCCGAAATCGAGTGCTCGTTAATCATATCGGTACTAGCCAACTCTAAAAGCCGATCTTTGACCTCCCAAACACGGACACCGGAACTGAGTAAGTTAGCAACTAATCCAGAAACTATAGGTGCGGCCATGGAGGTTCCTGAAAGCTTCAGTGATCTCCGGGCGTTTGCCACATCAATACTTGCAATTTCAACCCCTGTGGTGAAGATGTCCACACAGGATCCCCAATTTGAGAACTCTGCTATATTGCTGGAAGTGTCGTCCACTGCCCCAACTGTGATTGCCTTGGAGGCGCTGGCAGGCAGCATTTCACATGCATCTATATTTTGGTTCCCTGCGGCCACTACCACCACCAACCCTGTCTGTGTAGCCGAATCGATTACGCGATTGAGAAGCGAGTTGGCCATGGCTCCAAGACTGAGATTGGCAATTCCAGGTCTGCCTGATTTTTTGCGATGATTGACAGCAAACTCCATGGCAGCCATGATACTGCTGAGCGAGCCATGACCTGACTTGTCAAGGGTTTTCACGGCAATAAGATCCACCTTTTTAGCCACTCCGTACGTGGCCGATCCGACAATTCCAGCCACATGTGTACCGTGACCATTCAAGTCCGCGCCGCCTTCCATTGTGAAGTCTTTACCAAGTTGTGCGCGATTCCCAAACTCCTCATTCTCGATCTGAATTCCAGTGTCAACGATGTAAACGTTCACGTTTTCACCCTGTGCTTCTTCGTCATAGTAATAAGCTCTATTGGCAGTCCTTTCTCTATTCTCTTGTGATAGTTTTACAAGATGGGCCGGAGCATTATCTTGCTCGAGCAATGAAAATGCCTCGAATTCGACATCGTCTGCAATTTCCGCCACAAGCGGACACCTGCTGAGTCTTTCCAAAGCATTCTTGGAAAACGTTCCTGAAAATCCAACCAAATTACCAATCTTGTAGTACTTGTGAATAAATCTTTTAAACCTTTGTGCTACAGGGAAGGTGAAATCATATTTCATGAACTTCTCCAACGTTTGACTTTTTTTCAACAACACTAGATGATTGCCACTTATTGCGGCTACGGTAGCGATTAGAAAGCAACTGTACAAAAAAGTAATGGATAATCTCATTGGTTTGTAAGCAAGGAGACAAAAAAATTTCCTTTGGTGGAAAAGAAGTGAGACTTTTGAACACCTAGTTTTTATGCGTCTCTCGGGTTGAGGCCACAGAAGTGCTTTACGCACATGCAAACATGATAAGATTTATTTCTATATTAAATTCATTTCCCAGTAGCACTCATTCAATGTCACAAAACAGTAACAACAACAAAACTGATATGACATAGTAGAGCAGCATGGTTATTGTCTCTTCAAACTTACACCACTCTCTTCAGTCATTTACAAAGACTGAAGAAACTTGGGTCTTTCTTCCTCAGGCAAGCTAAGAATAAAGTCCTTGACTGCACTGGCTGCGATAGACTTGTCCTTGCTCAAAAGGTTGTGCAATTCCTGGCGCTTCTTCTCTGCACTCAATTCTTCAATCTTCTCTTGCAACTTCTCGTGGTTGCTTTCGATGAAGTTGCTAACAGCCTCATCATCGTCGTATTCAACAGTTGGCATCCAGCTCTTCAATCTCGCAACCTTCTCCAACTTGCTCTTGCAAATACCAGTTTCAGCAATTCTCTTCAACAAGTATTCTTCGTTCAAACGACGACGCAAACGCCAGAAGAAGAATCTTCTAGCATGTCTCCATTCAAGTTCCTTGCTGATTACACCCTTAGCCAACATACGACCGGATCTGTCATGCAAGTCAGCGAATTGGACTGAGATCTGGCGGTAAATCGGCAACAAGGCCGCTTCACGCGCGGCCAATTGAGCAGATACCTTTGCGTGCTCTTCTGAACTCAATTGAGAGGATAATTTCTCTTTCAATTCAGCGTATTGCGAGTCCAATCTCGACATGGCAGAGATCAATTTATCACGTCTGAACTTGATACCGACCATTCCCTCGGGTTCCAAGACACCGGCCCTAGAGTCGATATCAGCATACATTTCCATCATGTCAGGGTTGATGGTAGGGTCAACAACTACCCAAGAACCACCTCTCAATTCGCCATGTGGAGGAATGTATGTGAAGATTGGTTGCTTAAAGTCAACCAAGGCATCGACAATGAAGGAACCATATTTGAGAACCTCATTGTACATATCACGTTGACCACCTGAGAATCCCCTCCAGTTCGCAAGAATCATCAATGGCAATTGCTCACCATGGTTGAAGTCATTGATAGCCTGAGCAGTCTTGAAGGCGGAATTAGGGTACCAAACTTGACCAGCCTCTTGAATCAATTGCTCTGTTGAGTCGGGGTTAGCAGGATCAGCCGGGATCAAGTTCTCAACAGTTCTAGTCTCAACACCGATAACACCAATAGGTATTCCTCCGAGACGAGCTCTGCCAACAACTACACCTTTAGCCCAACCGGACAACGTTTCTTGGAAGGAGTCCTTGTCGAATAAACCAGATTCAAAGGAGCCGTCATCATTCTCACGGCCAGTGATCATCCATCTGACGTCTTGAGGCTCGTCCTTTGATGGGTAGAAGTCGATATCTCTGTCCCAAGAGTCAACTGAACTCAAAATTGGAATAGGGTTATCGCGTTTGGCAGGAATGTATGACATCCACTCCATGATCTTTTCAACACCCGCTAAGTCGTCAGAAGCAGTCATGTGAGAAACACCGTTGTTATACATGACTTGAGTGCCACCCAATTGCAAGTTGGAAGAGTAAACCTCTCTGCCCAAAACGTTGTTGATGGCAGGAGCACCAGTTAAGATGATAGGTTGGCCTTCAATTTGAATGGCTCTTTGACCCAATCTCACTAAGTACGCACCAATACCGACGGATCTGCATGTCACCAAGGTTATAGTAAAGATGTCTTTGTAAGCTCTGGAGGTCGCACCAGCGATTAAACCTGAGCCTTTAAGACATTCAACACCCAAGCCATTTTCGGCACCAATAATCGAGACAATCTTATGACGCTCCTGTCCATTTTCGACAACTCTCTCCGTTACCACAGACTTCGAGGCATTCACTTTTTCGAGCGCAACTTGATCTTCTGAAGTCAAGTACAAGTACTTAAATCCCTTATCTGGCTTTCCTTCCTCGTTCCAAGCCACCTTGAAATATGGGAGCAATTCTTCAGCAATACCAATTCTGGCACCGGAGTTAGCCGAAAGGTAAACTCTTGGAATACCCAATTTTCTAGCCAACTCGGTACACTTGTTGAAATATTCATCTTCGTCTGGGCCGAAAGATCCGATCTTATGAGTGATGTCATTTGCAACAATGATGAATTGACGACCACGAGGGTATTCAGGAGTTTTAGCAGTTACCTTGAAACCCACCATACCGATCTTATTCGAACCAGGCTCTCTCTCCACTGGTGTCAAGCCACCGTTTTCATCATTGATCAATTCATGGGACACAAACAAATCTTTTGGAATCTTGACATCCTTGGCATGTTTCTTCCACTGGGATGTAATGGCCTGGCGGAACAACTCAGGGAAATCGTAAACGTAGGTCGTACCCATATTGTGAGCCTTGTAGCGCTTAGGTTGCAAAGATTCCTTGGCGGGGTAAGGTGTGGCGATAGATCTCAAATGCATAGAACCTGGGGCACCGATAGATTTGAAAACCCATTCGCCTTTGGTATTCTTGATTTCCATGTACAACTCAGACTTGACCACATATCCAGATACGTTATTGATAATCGCACGCAATGGGAATGGCTGGCCAGTGGCTGGATCAATACATGAGATACGAATCTCAGCACCAGTAACTCTCAATCTCCACAACCTTCTGCCAAATCTCTCCAAAAATGACTCGAAAGCAGCCTCAACTTCCTCAGGAAGAACATTGAAAACAGTAGAGAAGTTAATGAAGATGTGGTTCAAGTCAGAATTCGAAGTGTCAATAATCTCCATAGCATCCAAAATGTCCGACATCAAGCGATTTGATTCTGCAATTAAGTACTCTTTGATGCTGATGTCATCGCTAATCACACCAGTTCTGATAATGCCTCTAGTAAAGAATCTTTTGTCAGAAGGTGAATTCTTTCCAATCGCCTCATAAACGTGAATGTTTCTGTTGTCGGTAAAAATTGGTTTAATGTCAAAGTTCTCCAATCTTGCTAACTCTAGCTGGAAGGCCAAAGCAGGTTCAATGTGTCTGATCACCTTGTTCTCGACATAGTCTGGCGCAGTGAAGGTGTAGTACTTAGGATAGACACCAACATTGTTAGCAACAACAAACGTGATACGACGAACAGCACCATTCTTCAACTCATCTCTCAAGTCGCCGATGATTTCCTGAATTCTGCTCAAAACCTCATCTTCGGATTCAACACCAGCGATGCCTGTAATAATAACATTCACCACGTTGGTATACTCTGGTTGCTTTCCACCAGCCTTGAAGCTGATTGCGTCAGCTGGTTGCAACTTCTCCAAGCCAGCGAGGAGCATGTCTTCCACGTCGTCAATGTGTCTGACTGGGACCAAGACACCGGTTCTGTTCTTCTTATCAGCATTGTCCGTCACGTAAGACAAATCAGAAACAGAAGCAGCTCTGTTCATCGAGTTGGTGCTGTCTTTCTTCGAGAAAGCAGATGCAGAAGCTTGAGAAACAGAGGCCAACTGGAAGTTCCAGCTGATAATTGGTAATTTCTCTTGTTCTTGGAAGTCGTAAGAAATATTTTCCAATGCATAAGCTCTGTAGGAACGACGGACATAAACTTCAGCAGCAGCCATAGCAACCCATTCATCGGAGTTTGTCAAAAACTGTGACAAAACATCAAAAACAGTATGCTTAGAATCCACAACCTCCCGAATGATGTCCAAGTTAGGAGAGCTGTATTTCGCATAAACTTCACCGTATGCGGTTTGCATAACAGAAGATCTCAAAATGTGCTCCAATTGATCAGATCTCTCCTTGATGGAAGGCAAGGAACACTGGATCAAGATCTCTCTTGCTTTCAATGCAACCTTAGCAGTACCTCTGGACTCCAAGTCAACAATGTTCTTCAAGGCTTCTCTTATAGGAGAAGCAATGGTAGCAGATTGCTGTAAGATTGGTTGGTATTGCTCAGCAATGGCCAAAATAAGGTTGTTCTTGGCGGAAACCTTGGAGTGAGACAAGGCGAGCAACAACACATTGTCCAAATCTGATTTATTAGCATCTCTGAGCTTTAAGATGACATCTTCCTCACGGTTTGTGGCACCTGAGAAGTTGCTCTCCACTTGGTAGTATTGCTCAAGCAAGTCTGCCATGAATTTATACTCATGTTCAACTAAACCGCTTGTGTACTTAGAGGCCACAGTAACCAAGGGTTCAATCACAGAGCCGAAAAGACCATCAGAGGATTCCTTCTCAGCCTTAGCAAGAAGTTTCAACACTTGCTTGGCTGGGAATTCTGCCCCTCTAGCTTGTGACTTTTCAATCAATGTAGACAAATTCTCATCCAACTGAGGTGGCAATCTCGAATGCAAAGCAGAAGCATACAAGTTCCATTGAGAATATGGCAAGTCTTTGTCCTTCAATACCTCAATGATGCTTTTAAGAGTCGAGTTCATGATAACCTGGTTGTCGAAACCGTTCAAAATGTTTACCAAGATAGAAGAAAATTGGTTGAACTTGTGAGCTGGCTTGCTTCCTTGAATGCTTGGTTCACCAAACTCAGGCAAAGTGCCCTCAAAAGGTAACGCATGCTTGACCTTCGAAGGGTCGTCTAAAGCCAAAATAGCCAAAATGTCACCAGCGTTCACGGTCGATCCAGGTTGTTTGATTGTTTGAACAATACCATTTTCTTGGGCGACCAAAGGCATGCACATCTTCATGACTTCAACTTCGGCATACGGCTGACCAGCTGCAACATGCTCGCCACTTTCAACCAAGTACTTAACCAACTTACCTGGGGATGGAGTTCTCAACTGAGTTGGGTCATTTTCGATCTCCAACAAGCAGGTCTTTCCATCAACAGACAATCTGGTGGCAGATGGCTCTTCCTTCCAGTAAATGGCATGAGACTTTCCGTCGATAGAACACAAAATACCACCGTCGGACAAAGAGCGAATGCCGACAACGGCTCTGGTACCATTCAAGAACAACGTATAAGTTTCGTTTGAAGACTTGGTGGCTGTGAACTTATACTTTTGACCCTCGTAGATAAACTCTATGGGGTACAACGTTCTCAACAAAGACTTGCTTGGGACCTGACCTCTCTCCAAAGAAGAGGTGTATTCAACCTTATCCTCAATTGACAAGATGTGGGCTTTGGTGGCAGCGCCACATAAGACTGCAAGAATTGGGTCTGGTCTTTCAGCTGTTAACTTCTTGGAAATCAACTCATCCAACCAACCGGTAGTAATGGTATTGTCTTCAAAGTCAGGGGTCTCCAACAACTTGATCAAGTACTCAACCGTAGTTCTGAAGTCGCCTCGGATAGATAACTCCTTCAATGCGACCACCATGTGCTTTCTTGATGCTTGACGGTTCTCACCAAAGGCAAAAATATGACCAAATTGAGAGTCCGAGAAAGAATGGATAGAAGATTGGTTGCTGACCGAAAAGTAACCCCAAACATTGGAAGAAGATCTGAAGTTCAACTCGTGCAAATTACCACCGGATGGTTTGAATCCTTCACCTGGGTCCTCAGAAGTGATACGACAAGCAGTACAGTGGCCCTTAGGGGTGGGGCGACGTTGAGAAGACAAAGAACGCTCCTCCTTGAACTCAAAGTCGATTTGGGTGGAAGTGTGGGGGTCAACGCCGTACATGGATCTGATGTCTCTGATTCTGTGCATGGGAATACCCATGGCAATCTGCAACTGAGCAGCTGGCAAGTTAACGCCGGTGACCATCTCAGTAGTTGGATGCTCCACCTGCAATCTTGGGTTCAACTCCAAGAAGTAGAATTTGTCCTCGGAGTGCGAGTACAAATACTCAACGGTACCAGCAGACACGTATCCCACCAACTTACCCAATCTAACAGCGGCCTTCTCCATTGCGTGGAAAGTGTCTTTGTTCGCAATGGTAACTGGGGCCTCTTCGATGATCTTCTGGTGTCTTCTTTGCACCGAACAGTCTCTGCCAAACAAGGAAATATTGGTACCGTACTGGTCGGCCAACAATTGCACTTCCAAATGTCTGGCGTCACCAGCCAACTTCATGATGAAAATTGGCGAGCCAGGGATCTCGTTCGCAGCTTGGTTGTACAAAGTAGCAAAGTCCTTCTCGTTGTCCACTTTTCTGATACCTTTACCTCCACCACCTTCGGATGCCTTGATCATGACAGGGAAGCCAATCTTCTTGGCCTTCTCCAATCCGTCCTCGGGGCCTGTGCAGCAACCCTGGGCGTAGACTCTGTCCGAGACAGAGACCAAGTTTGTCTCTTTATCGATCTCGACTTCGTCAACACCGGTACCAGACCATGGAATACATGGGACCTCAGCATGTTGAGCAACGATAGTCGAAGAAATCTTGTCACCTAAAGATCTCATGGCAGATCCCGGGGGACCGATAAAAATGATCTTTTTTGGCGAACTAGCCAACATTTCGGGCAAAATGGGGTTCTCCGAGGCGTGTCCCCAACCGGCCCACACGGCGTGCACGTCGGTTCTCTCAGCAATTTCAACAATCAATTCCACGTTGGCATAGTTGTTGTTGTTGGTTCCGCCAGGCACTTCGACACATTGGTCGGCCATACGGATGTATTCGGCATTCGCAGCCATGTCCTCTGGAGTGGCCATGACAGTAAACTGTATGGCTCTCTCATCGCCAAAACATTCGTAGGCCCATTTTCTCACGGATCTGATCTCCTTGACGGCAGCAATTCCGTTGTTGGCAATCAAGATTTTGGAGATGACGGTGTGGCCACCGCTCTTTCGGACGAAGTCCGTGACGGCAGAAGGCTCGGCGGTCTCGACGGAGTTCAAGCCCTTGAAGTGGTCATTCACACTTTTATGGAGCTCGGAATAGTTTTCCTCAGACATTGTGAAAATTGTTCTGTGAGCTCGGAATGGGTTCAAAAAGACTTGTCAGGTGTAAGCTGCGCAATGTAGTCTTCTAGTGCACCGGGTATATCCACCGTTGAATCTGTTACGGGCACTATGGGGGAGGAAACGAGTATGTACAAAGATAGCACGATTCACGATTCTGTTAAAGTTAGTATATGTGTTTTTAGGCGTGAAGCTCGAGACACGCATACGTCTCTGGAGCAACAGTGCCTGATGAAGAACCGAAAGCGATTTGCGTGCGCCCCATTTATTGAGAATGAGATTTTATGAGCTTTTGATGAGGCTCATTTTTTTGGACTTTCCCGACACCGAGGGCAAGACGCGCAAGTTCCGGGGGTTTTCGTCGGCCCTGGAAAAATTGTCGGGCGATGGAGCTGGCGGCTGATCGGAGAACAAAAGCCAGTTTTCAAGCCTTGATGCCCTATAGTATAATCTGGGCGGGGCGTTTTCTCATATTTTTCTTAATGCTTCTGCAAGCACTTTTTCTTTAGGGTCTCATCGAGTTGGGTGAGAAAGATGAGAAGAAGGGATCTAAGAAGGCATTTCCACAAAGTAGAAACGTGAACCACACATTAAATCTGGGGTATTACGTGGTTGTGGATTTTGGGATTGAGCTCTTCATCGGCTGTTGCGAGACTTCATGTTGTTCGTGTTGATACATACCTAAATGATATGGTTGGTGTAGATCAGAATTGACGAGCAAGAAAACCAAAGAAATTAGATGTTGTTGTTGTTGTTGTTGTTCTTGGTATATTTCTTCGGGTGTTCAAACCGCGTCTTTTGATCTTTCGAGATTTAATTGAGATGTCAAATTCGATTTCGCCAAAACACTGTAGGACACGGAGCAGAGAGCGGTCTACAAGTCTTATATTGAAGCAGCCCTAGGCAGGTGACGATGTGCCTGCATACACTCGCTATTGTGGGAGCCTCAAACTTTGGCCCCAACATTGGAAAAGTTGGCCCAAAAGTGTGGCGTGTCGCGACCAACTCCCTCTGCATGAGTCTTGACGTAACGATTTTTTCCTTCCTATCAAGGCGCTCCTTGAGCTGTGCTTGGAAATAGCACCCAAAAAAACTAAGCACACTTCAGGGGCTCACTATCAAACAGAATAAAGTGTGACCTGTAAAAATCTTGATTTATTTGTGTATGCCTTGCTGTGGTAGCTGCATTGAATTAAGATGCCGTGGACTATAGACGCTCTCCTTTACTTCTTTTTTTAATCCATAATAAGTCCGATGAGAACCGCGCACTCTCTGGGGCCCCTAGATATGCGCTCAGAAGGGCCACGCTGAAAGCTCAAAGCTAGAAACTTAAATATTATCGTCCGTGCCTGGGGCTTGCTATATGGTTTTGATCTCTTGTCTGCAATCTTGTCTCGCTGTGCTCTTCCGAGAAATGCGAATGTAAAAGCTTATGAAACTCCCCAATAATAACTGCTACCTAAATTTTCATGGCACCACACATCAAAACAACCTGGGCTTTAGCACGAACTCAACCTTTCTTCTTCGGAAAAAAGTTGTGAACAATGTTCTACGCTTGTGGTGTCTGGATCTCTCATACCCGTGACTATCTTATATATCTTATTCTCAACTTTTCGGAGTATATTCCTACTGTATTATAAACCTTCTAAGCTCATTATAGCAAAATTCTAGATCACGTCAGCATTAATCGAGGTCTGTCCAAACCTTACCCCGAAAAACCGTGGCTATGATAGAAATCTCTGAGTTGAAAAGCGTGAATCACACTAGCCTAATGAAACGATAACTGTAGGTTTTTACATTCATCACGTGGTGTGGCTGGTGATTAGTGGCGCTGACCTTCCAAGCCTTCTTTCAGCAGAGGAGTCTCTAGGCAAACTCGTTGAGTGCATTCCTCGGGTCTCAGGTTCATAGATTGATATATTCGCAAAACGCCAGCTTACATTATTTACATACACTCACTCACTTCCTCGACCCAATTTTCGAAGACTCGTTCTCAGACGTCCGATGAGTTTTGGATACCCAGCCTTCACCACTTACCGGTTGTTCACCAAAAAACCCGTCTAGCCAACCAATACAACCAATACTGCGTGGGCATCTGCATATTAAAATCTACGCGCGTCTGTTGGGAGTTTTTTGAGTGACGTCACCAGCCTAGACTTTCGCAGAGTCCCCGGGCATTCGACTTTTTGTTCTTCCCGGCAATCCCCATGAAATCGATCTTCCGGTACATAATCATTCCACATCAGTACATCCTTGCTTTAACTGACGCGTGAGTCCTCCTAACGGAAGTTGAGTTCCAGTAGTAGTCAAATGACATTACTTCCGCAGACATTTAATGATGAACATAAACCACATCTAGAACTTGGGGACAAACTTGGTGCACGTCATAATGGCGTTTCTCACTCTTGATTCATGGGTGAATATGTGACTTATTCAAACATACAGTCCCTTGGCTTCTATAAAGCGGCGATTCCTGATGCGTCTTGCGAGGACCGAGGTAACGAGTGACATGAACTCGTAGCTCGCTTAAACTTACTTTCTTGTGTGCTAAAGCGGTACAATTCTGCATGAGCGACTTTGAAGGCGGGGTATTTTTCTAAACCATACAGCTTTCAGTGTTTTTTTTTTTCTTGAGAACTATATGGTTAACGCCTCCAACCATACATAGTACGTGGTATGTTTCGCCAGGATTGGACTATTTTAGTCCCATAATCGTGAGTATAAATCTCTTGTGTTCAGTGAAAACCATCAAATTTGTCTTTTTTTTTCGGGTGTTGTTTTCAATTTTCCTGAAGTGAAATGAGTAAGATAAAACGCCGCATAGATTTCTTGCGTTTATTGCCTTTTCAGCTTTTTTAATACGTCCCTGCTGAAGCCGGACTGGTGTGCCATCTCACATTTACGTGGCCATGCAACTCATGAAGGCAGGGATTTTCCAAAGTTTCACTGAGTAAACCGAAGTTATTTGGTATATTTCAAGAAAGACTCTATCATTAATGTCAAGGCATAGCAATATTCTCCATAATGGGTTCATAGCAAGCAACATTAATACAAAATTGCAACCTGGTACTATATACCGTCCGTATGCGTCATCAGGGTCTGCCGGGATATCAATTTCTGAAGTGTAAGATTGGTATATACAAGTTCCGTTTCCGGTTATGTTCATGATCATTTAAAATTAAGTAACTAATAATCAGGACTAAAGGTTTTCTGATTTTCCTGTAATTACTTCGATTTCAGGCGGACATTGGAAAGTAGTTTCTGCCGGATGATATGCACCTGTGACCTGAAATGGTTCGGCGCGCTGGCAGCGCGAGACATGTAGGATTGAGTGCATATAAGAAGGTATTTCTGGGGTAAGACTTGGTTTTAAAACTGCAAATTGACTATGGATTCATGGGGTAACCCAGACAGGGTGGGGGTCCGGAAATATGCCAGTGCTGTACACTTGTACGAGCCGAGGCTCCTTAAATAAATGGAAATATCCGGCTTACATGCTCGTTTTGATGTATCATTCTCCATACCATGACTCTATCTAAATCTACAAGCACTTCCCAAACGTCTGACCAAGACCTGTCGATTCCGTCTTTTTTGGGAACAAGAGGTACAGCCCTTGGAAGACTTATAACTATAATTTGCGGTGTTGGATTCCTTTTATTTGGCTATGATCAAGGCGTGATGGGCTCGCTCCTCACTCTTAAACCATTTAATGAGACATACACGCAAATTGATACAACTCTTCATAAAGACGCGGCTACCCTTCAGGGAGCTGTAATTGCAATATACGAAATCGGATGTTTACTTGGAGCCTTGTCTACAATCTATTTCGGTGATGCGCTCGGCCGGTTGAAAGTAATCTTCATCGGTTCTATTATTATGATTGTTGGTGGAGCTCTCCAGGCTGGTTCCACGGATGTTGCCTTTTTAGCAGTGTCTCGTGTCATTTCAGGTGTTGGTAATGGATTCCTCACCTCCACAGTGCCATTGTATGCTGCCGAGTGCTCTAAAGCTCTGAGCAGAGGTAAAACTCTTTGTATACAAGGGTGTTTGATCACATTCGGAATCTGTGTGTCTTATTGGATTGACTTTGCATTCTATTTCACTGAAGATTTGGGTGAGATCTCTTTCAGATTTCCCATAGCCTTTCAGTGTGTTTTTCCCATTATTATCATATTTTTTATCTTCAGGTTACCTGAATCTCCAAGATGGCTCATGGCCAAACACAGAGACGACGAAGCCAGAACAGTTTTCGCAGCTCTATATGACCTTCCCCGTGACCACTCTCTTGTATCACAACAAATGGAAGAAATCAAGATCAGTCTCAGTATGGAGAAAAGCACAAGTCACAGTGCTTGGTTGATGCTCAAGCAGGGCAGGCTCAGACATTTTCAGAGAGTCAACTTGGCTGGCTGGGCTCAAGTTATGCAGCAAATTTGCGGGATCAACTTGATCACCTACTATGCTGGAACGATCTATGAGTCGTACATTGGGTTGAGCCCTTTCAACGCTAGAATCGTTGCCGCATGTAACGGAACGGAATATTTCTTAGCATCTCTCATTCCAATTTTTATAATTGAGAAAGTCGGGCGAAGACCTCTCTTTATTTGGGGTGCCGTTGGCCAGTTTTTGACAATGTTATTTTTGTACGTCAGTATGGAGATGTCGGAGCAAGGCCATGATGGCGGCTCATATGGAGCGGCAGTCTTGTTGTTTGTTTTCAACAGTATCTTTGCCGTTTCATATTTATCACTCACTTGGTTGTACCCACCCGAAATCTCGTCACTTGAAGTTAGAGCTCCCACTACAGCCGTTTCCACTGCTTGCAATTGGAGTTTCAATTTTATGGTTGTCATGATAACCCCAGTGTGTTTCAGTAACATTCGTCACTACACGTACCTCATCTTTGCTGCCATCAACTTCTTGATGGTACCTGTTGTGTTTCTTTTGTATCCTGAGACAAAGGGTCGGACTTTGGAGGAAATGGACATGATATTCGCAAAAACGCCAGTTGACAAACCATGGATGTCAGTGAGAATTGCCAAAGAAATGCCCTTCGCTCATAAAGATGATTCCGAAGATTTCGAACAGTACAAAGCTTCTATTATGCACGAGGAGATAGTTGAAGGTTCCTTGTTTGCTTCTGAGACGCCGCCAAAGTCGTACTATTAATTAATTTGCAGACAGCAACAAAGAATGCAAACGAACAAATTAGCGGTATTATTTCCTCCTATGTATCTTGAAAACAATTGCCTAGAGACAAAGCTCTTTATGTTTTCATTTCAACAATTTCAGTCCTTGATGCTAGTAAGTATACTCCCGATACGTCCGCACTAAAGGTACACGTTTGATCACATGAGCAGTCTGCAAAAATTCAGGAACTCTGAAAATGTGACGTTGTCTTTCGGCAAACGAAGTTAAAGTGTTCCAGCCAGTGCTTTTTTTGTCTGCATCGGTCCAGTTAGATTTCAAGTACACATCCGTGTGCTCATATAATGACAATTAACTAATGTCCGAACTGGGCTTATTAGATGGAGGGTAATGAGCAGAAGTCGTTCAAAAAACATCGTCATTCTTATGCGGATATAATTAAGTGTTTAGACTCACCTGAGAAGTAAATTACTCCATAGTCCAAACTCAATTTTCCTCCCAAATATCTTAAACAAATAAAAGTATACCACTCAGAAATTGATGAATGTTCGGTTTCAACGAGATGTAGCGCAGCCTGGTGCCGCGACGCTCAACTCGTTGAGTGCTATATTGGTGGCGAGGTGCACACAAGCACGATCGGGTAACCCAGCTCATGGGATGAATCATGATTCTAGTAATGGAATTTTTGCCGGATGTTTTCGGAAAGCACGAAACACAAGCCAAGCCCATCAAAAAAATGGTGTCATGAGGTGCTTTAATTCATGACGCCTTTTTGAACAGTAGTGCTCTTTTGAATCGGGAGCTCTTTGCCTCCGACTCATAGTGCACCTACTGCGCGAACAGGCCGGGAAAAAAATCAAGTGAAAAAATAGTCACCTTTGCAATCTGACTTGCAGTACACTTTGCATTACGTGAAAAAAGCATAGAAATGTCGTGGTTGTTTGGAGGAAAATCTAAGGACCAGACGCAAAACAACGTCGATCAAAGCTTAGGGTTTGACCCTGCGCTGGTGTCCGACGTCTCCACCATCATACTGGCACCAGGCGTATTAGACTCCAGCAAGTTGCACCCTTTGGCCGGTTTGGACAAGGGTATCGAATACTTGGATTTGGAGGACGACCAGTTGACTGATTTGGAAAATGGCTCCAGTATAATTGCTGCCAGAAACTGGAGAGACAACTTGTGTTACGGTACTGGTTCCTTGTATTTGCTCGGTTTGGGTGTTGGTGGCGCCTACGGAATGCAAGAGGGTTTGAGCAACTTGCCTGCCAACTCCACGGCCAAGTTGAAGCTCAACACCGTATTGAACAACATCACCAAAAGAGGACCTTTCATGGGTAACTCGTGCGGTGTACTTGCTTTGATTTACAACATCATTGACTCCACAATCGATAATTTCAGAGGCAAGCACGATGACGTGAACTCGCTTGCTGCTGGTGCCTTGACCGGTGCCTTATTTAGAAGCTCTGCGGGCGTTAAGCCAATGGCCTACTCGACGGCCATCATGACCGCTGGTGCCGGTGCCTGGTGTGGCTTGAAACGTTTCCTTTCTTAATTGCATGGCTGATTTTGGGTACCCTTTGTATTTTTATATCCCAACTGTATATACTCTCTACAACATCTGCCAGAGGATTTAAAAATACATGCTGATGGTGAATTGCTCTGGTAGATTTTCTGCTCTATCAAGCACATACTGTGCGCTGCTTTTTCTCCAGGGCTTCGGTAGCACCATTTTCTGCAGCCCGCTTCAATGGATTAGTCTCTTCTTGCCCAAACACGAGTTCTTCCGCCGTGTATTGCTTATCCTTTTGCCGGATACGGATAAAGACTTTGTCTCCCTCCTCGCCAATAGTGTTTGCAAGCTTCAAAAACTCGTCGTTTTTCTTGATTTTGCAGAACGCTTGGTAAAGTCTCGATTTTCCCGGTAGCTGGTTAAGCAAGATGTATTTTGTGTTGCTTGGGTGGTTGTCACAGGAGATGCAAAATTGGATAAACTCAGGAATAACGTCTCTCCATGGTAATGGACGGTCACAGAACACGGTTGGATTTGACTCGGCTGCCTCTGCCATCATGCCCCCAATTTCATAGTTTCCCATGAACTTTTGAAATTGTTTGAATTCCAGTTTGCACCTAAAGGCGCCATTAATTATTAAAGAGACATTATGCTTCTTGGTCACTTCATGAATCTCATTCACAAAGTTTCTGATGGGCGCATCCCGGTTTCTCATTTCCCTAGTTCTGCAGTGAACAGTCAAATTTGATATTCCCGTCTTGCAAATTCTTTCAACCAAATCCAATGTTGGCTGCGCGTCGGAAGAATTTAGAAGTCTGATTTTTGCACTGATAGGTTTCCCATTTGGATGACCTATTTCCTTCACCAAGTTCAGTAGGATCAGCACCAAAAGATCTGGTGTTGACAAAAGAGCTGCTCCCATACCTGAGTGTGTCGAAAACGGTTTTGGGCATCCACAGTTCAAATCTATACCATCGACATCTTTTATCACTTTCTCCGCTCCAGCCACCGCTAGTTGTGGGTCAGCGGAGCCAAGCTGAAAAATCAATTTTCCCTTTTCAAGACTTCTTTTTGTACGGAATACTAACGAGTTACGCAGGTTGTCTTTTCCCAGCTCGAAAAAGTCAATGGCACCGAGATCTTTATTCTCCACACGGATGCAAGACATGATTTTTTTATCAATGATCTCAGGTGACCACACGAGGTCAGCCCCATATTTGAGAGCCATTAACCTCATTGGTAACTCCCCACTGCGCACCATAGGAGCAAGACAAAGTTTATTTGCATATGTTACCATTTTCTTGGGCGAAGATGACTTCCAACTTGAACAAAGACTTGCTATAATCTTCATGTGTGATGTAAGAGTAAATCCACGCGGAACTTAATCCGAGATGCCATCTCACATCACGTGATGGTTATCATGTGCTCGTAACATAAGCAGGTCACGCTTTCGAATTTATCATTCATGCCTTTATTACTTGAAGAGTATAGCCTTCAGTACTTGACTCTAAAGTTCAGAAATCCTGTTACATCAAGTGTGGATGCATTGTTGTTGTCATTCGCGTAGTTTAGCTTCATAAATTCGCTACCGGAATTGGCGATAGTGATCTGGAACAGACAACCTCATCTTTTTGCGCATCCTCTTGACTCAGCGTCTACAGCAAGATTTTTCATATTTCTAGATATTTCTAAATGATGACATCTCCACATGCTTAAGACCAATGAAGAAAGCTCATTATCAATTTTTGTTTATTATCATTGGCCAATCTCAAACGAAATGACTCGGAATGAGCCTCACACGTGACCGTGTCTGCTAGTGGCGTGTGATGCATTTACGTAATTAAACCTTGGCGAAAAAAAGAAATGAGCGCAACCTTTTTATCTGCGTGATGACTGTTCGAGAAACAGGACGATCTGCAGATTAGCGAGGGGGCCGGTACATCTTGTTCACATAATCAATATCCAGCCATTGGCAGTCAATTGAGTTGATTCTGAAATGCTTTCCAGCTCAATTGCAATTAATTTAGCTTAAGCTGTTAATAAAAATGCTTAGCTCAAAAGTTCTAACAAGTATATACGAATTTATTCTGGAGAACATTTATGATCAGGAGTATGGAGTATCCTGCACAATCATCATCGGGCGCGCATTAACATTTGACTTATGCAGAGGTCACAGCCAATGCACCTGTAGTGATGAGACGCGAGACAACAAATCGTCTCCTTTCCAGATGCCTCGTCCTCCGAAAGGGCAAGTTCGTTCCCCAAGTGTTCATTTCAATGAAGGGCTGTTGCAGCAGGGCCTCGAAAGAGATTTCTGTTAAGATTGTCGTATGCTTCTTTTCAGTCTGGCCGTTGAAAAAAGATAGGATGCGTGCAGGAAAAAAAGAAATTCATAATTCTTACATAGTAAAAATATGCAACATTTTTGTGTTTTTTTTTTTTTTCTTTTTTTCCTCCCTCTTATATATGTGATCCATAGACCACCATTTCTTCCTTGGGTCTTCTTGCTGTTTCATCAATCGTTCCTAATTTCGAAGTTCCACATTACAATTCCCATCTCAAAACTCTTGTGCTTGCTTAAGTTAGCCCTCAATGACATTGTTATACCAGCCCATCTCAAGAACTTTTGGGCAGCGAGATGGCTGCCTTACGCCTGTGAATAATCAAGATGACAAACGTTCAAGCTTGAAGTCAATACAAAATTCGGCGATTTCAAACACTCTCTCGTCTGATTTCAGCTCCACCCATAAAATCATATCGCCACCATTATCGCCTTATCAAAGAGAAAGCTCTTCGCATGATGCGAATGACGATATAGATGCGGCTTCTGATACCGAACACTATCTTGCGAGCAACAATCCATTCAAGATTGAAAACTTCAAGAGTTATTCCATGACTGTAGATCCATGGACAAAACTAGACTCTCGGTACAAACAGAGACAGCTTGATTTCTTGAGCCAATATTCTTTTGAGGCGCCTCGTGTGGTGTACCTGCACGTTCTGCGACTTTCCGAGAGAAGAGTTGAGAGAAGAAAGAGAGTAGCGCAGCCTACTAGCTCAGACTCAGAATCAGACTCCATAGGGGTCAGAACTCGGAAACATGCCAAAGAGAGTCATGCTGAAGTCCTCACAAAAGAAGTTGACGCTGATGTGCATTCTTCGCCACCGCAAAAAAAGCGCAAAGTAAGAAAAGAGGCATCGTATGCCGGTTCGCCTTTGGCAGCTCAGCAAGCCGCGTTGATTGATGAGTCCATTCCAGATTATTCTCCTGACGCCCATGCAACTTTGCCCAAAGGCAATACCCGCGCTCTTAAAATTGAGTGGAAGGGCCAGCCCATGGACCTACGCAATGATCCAAACTTGGACAAGCTACATCCCGCAGAGGTCGTATTGGCATCTACGTTGAGATTACGTTGCAATGTTTTCCTTGATTCCAAGAGACGATTCTTTTACGAAAAGGTCAACCGTTTGCGCAACAACATGCCCTTCAGAAGAACGGACGCCCAGAAGGCTTGTAGAATTGATGTGAACAAGGCCAGCAGACTCTTTGCAGCTTTCGAAAAGGCCGGGTGGTTGGATGATAAACACTTCGAAAAGCACCTTTGAGTCGTGCTCACTTTCTGAAGACTTCAAACTTTCATTCAGTTCTATCTACGGTTTATTTTGTGCAGCCTGGTTTGGAAGGTCACTGTGATTTATTTGTTTAATTTTTCTTCGTTGTAATTTTGCACCTCCAGCAAAGTCAGACTTTCTGCTGGAGATCCATTACGCTATTTGGTTTATATTCTTTTATCTATTGGTTTTGTTTTGCATGTGTGTAGACACCTCTATGGTGGCGGTTGCTCGTTGAGTTTATTCCTTTGAAGTTTCGCCTGATCTTGTGGTGCATTCTGGTAGTTTTGTTGAAATTTACTTGAGGCTAGCCGTTTAGACTTTGATACGTATCTTGCCCCAAGAGCTTTCCTAGGATACTGTCATCAGATATGAAGAGTGTTCACTTCAACAAAAATTACAAGACACATCCGAAAGGAGGCTTCTTTTTGAAAAGTTCAAAATTTTATGATCGAGGTCACCTCCTTTAAGTATTTAAAAATTTACGCAAGCACTTTAATTGATGAGTAAGGTGGAAAATCAGAAAAGTTTGTAAAATTCAGGTCGCCCGTTTTTGTTTCTGTATTTAGCAAGAAAGTCCAAGAGATAACATGTTGAATCTGCCAAAGTAATCTCTGTTCTATATTCTTCCCTATTCCCCCTCTTATCTCCCTTTGTTACTCACCATGTCCGGTGCTGGATTATTCCCCAGTTGAGATCTCGTAATAAATGCACGGGTGCGGAATGCTACTACTGGCTCGCCTTCCCGATTAAGCACTAAATGACTAAATTTCTTGATATACTGTTACTTTCCAGGGTGTCACAATTTTTGAAAAGTTTCAGTTAGAACCTCACCCTAGCCTCAAAGTTTTTGAACTGCTCCGAACGTAAAAAACACTTTATCCGATATATCATTTCGCTACTAAACCACACAGATCCTCCGATCTTATCTTTCACCAGCATTTCAAGCGAAGTGAAACTCGAAAAATATTTGCCCCTTCTTTGGAAGTCAAAACGTCACGGGAAAAGAAATAGGGGCATTATTCAACCATATCAAGAATATCCCTAAAAGAAATGAACACATGAATAGAGGAACTACCTCGTGCCACTCGCTTTCCTCACTCTCATACGCAATGCCTCGAGGCCGTTCTTCACCAATGAATGGGCCAGTCTTCGCCCCAAAGCCTGGCTTCGACACAGCTTCTACGACCTTGGAAAACTCACCTTTTTTTAGAGAAACTGGAGCTTTGTATGACCCAATCAACAATTTACATGCTGAATTGCCCGTGCAAAAGCCAATGGTTGCAAATTCAAACTCAACATTGGTATCTGAACCCTCATTCAATCATCCATTTGAAAGCCCTGTATCTCCACAAAACTTCCCGACCCTTTCCCTTTTTCATGAACCTGATATAAAGGATGATATATTTCAAGATCAGGAACAACTGTGGTCCCCCGAAGTCAATTTTGAGACTCGGAGCTCCTCGACCACAGCCTCGCAACTTCTCCCCAACGAACCAATACGGCCAGCTTTTGAACATCTTGATAAAGCGAACAGTATAATGCCGTTTGGTTTGAAAGAGAAGTCTGTCTCGTGCTACACCAATTCAAACGAAGATGGAATAAGCTCCACTATAGGAGCAATGAGCAGTGAAATCCCAGATATCCCGGTTTTCCATACCTTCAGTACACCGCATCAGTATTGCAATATATCGGGCGACGAGAACAGTCAATGTGACTTCGAGATGTTCTTGGGGCGGAATTCTTTCAAACTTGAGGGCATGAAGGAAATAGTTCCTGATTGCAAAAACATTGACAAGGCTTTAGCAAACAACGGTGAAAACTCCAAGAAAAATGTAAAACTTGGAGAAAGCTCTCCCACTTTTCGAATGCAAACGTTTTCGGCTATAGACGAACATGCTCACTCAAGACATCATGCTTTCCAGAGAGTTGGATCTTATGGTTCTGGTTATAAAGCCAGTTCTAAGCTCTCTCTCGACAATTGTTTGCATGAATTTCATATGAAAGAGGGTAAATTTATGTTTGCAGATGAGACAGCTATGATACTGAAACTGCTGAAAACACCGAGAAAGCTTGTCACAAGCAGAATGTCACCATCTAAAGTCTCCAACACTCTCCAGCGCTCAAAGAATCCTAGAATGATCTCTAAACCAAGTCCGTGGGCCGGCCTGAGACGTAGAAGAGAAGTTAGTAAGGATATGAAATCTAGGCTTGGTTCATTTCAAGTGCAGCTAAAGAACGATCACAATCTGTCGAGCACCAGCGACGAATCTTTTTCTACAGAATCAGAATGAAAAAATCTGGTAAGCGAGAGCTGATCCTACTCATTCGTTTTTAATATGGTTTCAATTTGATATAGTGCAACAATCTCTGTTACACATGATGGTCGGCAGGACGCTCTCCTCCAAACCAAGTATTGCAGGAGGATAATAATGATACAATGCCACTCGAAATCTATTTTTCTCTATTCTTCTGAATATGTATTTACCATCATATACTGTACGAGTACAGGTGCTGTTATCCAAACAGCATGCAAAAGCCCTTCTCAACTTCATCCAGCTTACAAGTCTTTTTTTCTTGGAACATATTCTTGGTCCAAAATCACGTCATTTCTAAAAACTCTGGCGAAAGGGTATTGTCCCTCCTGATTGTAGGCCATGATAGTCAAGCCTACTGGAACCAAGCCGGCGAACACAATGTTGAACAAAGCGGATCTTGTGGTGAAGCGAAAATAGTGGCCAAGCTTCTCCTTGGCAGTATTGAATCTTTGGAACTCAGCGTCAGGTCTTAACGTGCCAGCCATGATTAGTTAACGGATTTGCTAGATAAAGATTGGCCTTAGATTTCGATGCTCTCTAATTGGCTCTCAGTGCGTGCGCGCGCCGAAAAAAGCTCAGCTACCAGCAGGCTTGCCAAGACGCTTGCCCCAGTGTATGATGATGAACTACAGAAGTTGGATATTTTGATACTATGCCATTGGCAATATCGTAGTCTTACATTCTATAATATCCTGGTGTATGAGTGCTAAGCGTACTTGAATATTAGTTGGTTCTTATTAGGGGGGAGTATGCAGAGGAGCGTCAGGCTGCTGAGGGCCGCGAGCCCGGAGAAGTTCCTGTGATGTTTTCAAGAAGCTTGATTGTTTTTTCGCGAATGTAGTCCTCGCGATTCGTAGGCCAAAATTGCACCTGACCCCCCTCTTTTAGCGCTGTGTCTTTGGTGAAAGTCTGTTTGAGCCGAAGTGCCTGCTCTATGAGGTCGTTCAGCTGGCTAAGCAAGTAGTAAATATTTTCATTCATGGGGGTGAGGTTTTCCTTCAATATACGCGCAGAGTCCGGGGAAAGCTCGGTATCCAGATGTGTCAGAATGAGCGAGTCGATGCTGTGCTTATAGCGGGTGAGTAGACTGACCAACTTCTTGGCCTTGGCCAACTGAAATTGCAAGAGCTTTCGTAGCTGTAGTTCCATGCTGATGTTTCTGATAAGGGACTTGATTCGGGCACTTGAATCTTCGGAAACACTGGCGAAATCTACAGTATCGAGGTGCTCATGGTGCTTGAGTCTGACCCAGCCATCTTCCACAAGATCCCGGGGCATGGTGAGAATATTTCGTAGCGTATAGAGCTCAAATTTGTCGAAATTCTTGTCTACATGAGACACTAGTAGCGTTTCTAGTTCTGCGGTCCCACTTCTGATTTCCGCGTATGGGAATACCTCACCGTTCCTTTCAGCAGCAGCGATTTGATCGGTCATAAAGCCGTCAGTGTCAATATCAGCATCGTCTTCCCCAATTCCGTTATGCATCCGTAGCTTTTTTAGTTGCGCCTCTCGGCGTTTTACGAGGAAGTTTTCCAACGCATCGGTGCAATTGTACATGATTTTATTAACCGCATTAATAACTTCGTCCACCAAGGTTAGCGGGGCAAAACCAAGGTGCTCCGTTAGTAGAGCCGTGACCCTATAGTCGCTAGAGTTCATACGCGATTTGTGGTGACTTGCCAATTGCAGAAACATTGTTTTTGTTTACGGATCATGACATGCCGGTCACGTGATACAGCCGTGCGAGATAGCTCGAACAAGCAACCAAATCGAGTGACTTCAGTTTTCTTTTTACCTCACGTGGGCTGAAAGGGCTTAATTTTGGAATCTTCTGCCATTAAATTCTGAGTGCCCGCTTGGAAATTTGCTGTCTGTGGTCAGAATACGTATTCCTCTCTTGCCTGGATTACCCCATGTCCAGGTTCCTGGAGATCCGCGCCGAGGGCGCGGGCCCAGTGCTCTACTTGCACGCCCTGGCAAGTGCGCTACTTGGAGACGCTCCGCGCAAACCTCTTAATTCCACCTTAAATTTTAGATTTTTTACTAGTGTGAACTGACAGAACTGATAAAGCAGCAGCAGTCATTCACACACGACTTTCGTCTTCTTTATCTGCATATCTCTGACGCTGAACCTTGACTCCGAAAACCAAGCTTGTTCCCGAGAAATAGCTTCCATCTATTGGGGACTCCGCAACACTCTTGTTCACCGAAACTTGACCAATCAGGGTCTCTAATCGCACAGTTGAACCCCCTGAAACAAACAAATTACGCCCATGAACGGAAGCCCGGGGAACGAGGCCGCCACTAAAGACAGCGATGAGGTGTCGTTGAAGTTTGAACCAAAATTCATGGACTCCTTGGATGCTCGTGTCATGCAATACAAGTATGCCTTAGTCAAGCTTGAACGCCTCATAGAAGCTGTGGACGACTCACTTAAGGCAGTCAATGATAGCCCCGACACTATCATTTTGATCCATTATCTTATTTACCTCGCGTCGAACTTATTTGCCATCCACGAACCAGGCTTTCTTCCCAAATTAAAGGCACTTGAGAACTTCAAACTAATCAAGTCTGCTTCTGTAGTGGTCTCTCAAGTAGTCACGCATATCCCATATGATATGAGGGACCTGGAGACTGTGCCTTTTGATGACTTACCTTCATCAGCCTCCTCGGTATCTTGCTTGAAAGCATTTCGTGCTCTATGTCTCACTTGCCAGGACGCTTATCAAAAGAGATACCTCAATGCGTCCAAGGAAATTGCAAATGATGAGTACCTACAAGATCTTGACTCCTTGTTTACCAAGTCATTTTTTGACGTTGAAAAAGATTTTGACTTGGTCTTAAGCAGTGGTTTATTCGAGAAATCGTGTCTAATGTTTCGAGTGAATACCCAAACAAGCTTTTGTGATGATTACTCCGAGGCTTCATTAATTGACATTGACTTGTGTTCGCTCTTCACTATCACCGAGGAGACGTCCAAGATGCTCAACAGGCAGAAACCGATGATCGAGAAGTACAAGACGATCAAACAGGCGCCCAAAAATCTCCAAGACAAGCAGCTCAAAGACACCATATACAATGCTTACGCCCTACACAGGGTATTTTTTTGGGCTCTAAGGGTTAATGAATTGTATTTCATCCTTCGAAAGTTTGGCCGTCAAATCTTCGTCTCCAACCATGATCATTTACACGATCAAAAGTTTGGTTCATTTGTGAGCAAATCGCATCACTACCGTGAAATGCTTAAAGATATCGATGAGAATTTCTTCAACACGAAGAAAAATGGGGTTTTGATAGCCACCATTACTCGATTTCTCCGGATGGACTCAAATCAAGAAATCACTCCGAAATCCATCTTCGAGTTTGTTGGTTTTGTGTTCCAAAGTGTTACATATATTGAAGGGTTATTGAGCGTGTTAAAAGAATTTGGAAACACTTGGATTTCCGCAGAATTGGCATTTAGAACCTCGCACAATTTACCAGTGGACTATCTTCTTAAAATCAATGACATTGTTGAAAGCGAGAAAGTTCAAGATTTGAAGGCCAAGAGGCAAAGAGCTCAAATTCTTGCCAAGCAAAAAGCTAAACAAAATGTTTCTTCAAACGTCAAAACGCCCACCAACCGGCAAGTTATACCTGTGATTAAAGCTCCTATTAAGCTGCCTGCAGCTTCTAGCTCGCCTGCAAGTTCAATTGATTCCAAAAAATCTGTATCTTCCCTGGAACTGGGTTCTAAATTGCGAACGGGTTCTTTGACTAGTAAACCCTCGGGAGCTCAAAGCCCTTTGTTTCTCCAAAGGCAGTCATCAGCAACATCTCTCCAAGCAAACTCATCAACAACAAGTTTAACGGAAAAGGCTTCAACGACTCCCACAGGGCGACGCCGTTCGAGTTCTCAGCCTATATCTTACAATGCAGCTGCGACAGCCTTAAAGGGTAATACTGGTCCAGTACCAGTCAAGCAAGAATACTTTACTCGCTCCCCTAGTGGTAGCATCAAGAGATCTGGTCTGATGACAAAAAAACCCTCGCAGACATTGATTGCATCACCTGCCAGCAACAAACGTCCTGTTATGGATGTTGTCGAAGAACACAAAGAGATTTCCCAACCCAAAGCTGAAGTTAAAAAATCGGCCAGTCAAAAGTTTCAGCAACACTTATTGGAGGCTTCCCGATCAGGCGCATTGTACAGCAAGGAAAAAGAGGTATTCAACAATGTGGTATTTGACCCGAACAATCCATCTGCCACAAATTTGCGGAGACAATCAAAGGTAGCTGTTCAGGAGAGCTTGCCATCAAAGGAAGTAAAGATTGCTCCCACAAAAGAGAATCTGGATGCACTTACGAAAGATACTCTGTCGACACCTGGAAAAGAGGTCTCGGTCGCCTCGAATCGGAAAGAGAATTCTGTCTCTTCTCTTAAAGAGAATCCTAATGCGCCACAAGCGCTTGTCGATCAGAAACCAACACGCGCTCAAATTACTAAAATCAATACCAGAAGAAACAGTGTGGTCATGCAATCCAACAACCCAAGCCGTGCAAGCGATATAAGCCGGAACTCCATGATATCCACTCTGTCTCAAACCTCATCTGCAATGGAGAGCGTTGTGATTAAGAAAGTACGATTCACAGGGGTACCTGAGTACACTCCAGCAGAAGACGCACCTGAAACTCAAACAAGTAGAATATTGAAGAGCTTTGCGGCGTTGAAAATTCCGGCTGTTAAAAGTACAACGGTGAAACGCAAGGATGAGGAGTTTAAGCAGGAGGAAAGTCAGCTTTTCAAACAATACATCACCCACGGTGACCCGAAGGCACTTCAGACTTATAACGGCATATACGCCCCAGGATCACAAATTTCGCTGAAGTTTGCGAGATTCAAAAACAGATTTTAGAGAATCTGTGTCTTTGGGGCATAAATTGCCGATAATAGGAAATCATAAGGATATCGATGACTGCAAAAGAGAGTCTCAGTGTCATCACCGCGTCAATTTGTGCAGGACACAGAATTTTTCCTCAAGGGCTCATCTTGAAGTCTAGCTGCGCGACTATAGAAGTGCTATTGCATTCTAAAGCTCCTAGAACAATGTCTGTCGAGGCTAAAGCGGTGGAAAAGTCTTTCCATGAGTCAGAATTCAAGGGAAGGAATCCTAGAAAGAGCACGAATGTTGTCAACGAGAAGGGACAGTCTGATTGTTTTCGGGTGGTGAGAACTTCGATGTATGTTTCATTAGCACCATGTCACATAGAGAATCCATTGAATGGTGTCAAGGCTCAGCACTTAGATCCATTGATCATGACATACTTCCCAAAAGCCCGAGGTGTTGTTTTGTCCTACTTCAACATCAATCTTGAAAGCAAGGGTACATCCGAAGATGCGCTGAGCGTGATCTTGGCAAAGGTGACAGATTCTTCTGCATTTTCCTTCATGTGGATCGCTGTGGATTTACTTATATGGTGTCCGCAAATTGGAGATCTATTAGAAGGCTTTGTTTACATGCAAACTGCTTCTCATATCGGCTTGTTGATACACGACACGTTCAATGCATCCATCAAGTTCAGAAATATCCCACAGGACTGGGAGTTTGTTCCAGTTCAAGCTGATGAATATGCTGAGTCTGAGGCTAGCCCTGAAAACAATTCAAGCAAATTCAAATCTTTTGGCTATTGGACAGATGCATCCGGTGCTAAGATAGAGGGTAAAGTTCCTTTCACTGTGAAGGCTATTCACACAAGCGGAAGAATGCTTTCAATTGAGGGCACTTTGTTGACCCCAGAGAGTGAGCTAGATGCTCAGCCTGTGTTGCGCGAGGGCTCCAGTTCAAAAGCAGATGTGACAGTTTCAGCCGGCAAGCACATCACTTTTGACGACGAGGAAACTCCGGAGGCAACTGAAGCTGCTGATAGCAAAACTGAAGCGGTCCCAAGCTACGAAGCTGGAAGCGGAGATAACGTGGACTCTTCAAGCTCGGAAGACAACGCCGAAGAGTCTGAGTAGAGAACTTGAGTTTTTGGCGGATATTGATTCCGGCAGGTTCGCGTCTGCATGTAAAAATTGTACAATATACATTGATGTCATTATTTTTCAGCCGTGATCGTATTTACATGTTAGATTAGCGTATATTCTTGTCATTTTTTATCATGCGCCATATGACATCCCTTTCCTCACGCGTGGGAGGAAGTTGTTTTGCACGTCTTCCAAATAAAAGTCTGGAAAGCCATTGTTTGCGAGGCCAGCCTCCCTCCAAGCCGTAAAACTGCAGCCTGTTTTTTGTTGTGGTGCCAGGACTTGCCATCATTGTCAAGGTCTGCACCTTATGTAATTTCTTGAAGTTCCAGTACGTGATCAACAATCCTTGGACAATTGACATGGCAACCACAGCACCAAACCCGTAGAATGAATCCTCGATATAATTTTTGAGGTTCATTCCGTAGAATGCTGGTATGAGCGTAGCCACCGTGAAGCCAAGAGTGTAGATGGTCACTTTTAATTCGAACAACATGAGCGAGTTTCTGTTGGCATCAAGAATGATGTTAGCGATTTCTTCGGTGGCTTTGATATCGCTAATCAACGATCCAGCCTGCTGTACAACCTCGTCACAATGTTGATAGTATGTCTCTAGGATCATCTCTATCTCTGAGTAGTCAAGGGCGGTGTCTGAGGGATTGTATTTGAGCCCTTTGGTGAGGTACATGCCATTCAAGTCCTCGTCATTGTCCAAGAGTTCTTCGAGCACGTCTCTGATTAAAGTGGCTCGCTGGAAAAAACCAGAAAGTTTTTTCAGTTTGATTAAGAGTTCCTGCAAGCTTTCACGATTGATATTGTCCTCCAACTCAGCTAGGATTTTCCCGCAGCTGGTCAAGTGCGTCTGTAGCTGCGCCTCGAGATAGCTGAGTACACTTATAAGGATACACTCCAACGCTTTGAACTCGTAGGGAAGGGAGCTGGGGGTTTTGAGCTTAAGCTCTAAGTCGTACATAAAAAGACCCAATTTGGATGCCACCGATGGGTTGGCCGTGTCGAAGATCTTGATGTTGTCGTTCTTGATGATGGCTTTTATATGAAGCAAGTTGACAATGATAGCATTTTCGGACCGAACCATGATTGTCGGCGCCACGTCGATGGAAGACGAGTCGACTTTCCTCAAATCTCGGGGAAACAAGTTGTTCTCATTCAAGAACTGAGCCTTGGGGATCTTCTGCGACACCGCAGTGACATTTCCTTCTGTGTCGAAAGTGGTGTATGAAACATACAGATCGTTTGGCGCTATGGGAGACGCCATTTTCAAAAGTGTGGTCTTTTTGATCTCGTTTTCCTCCGGGGGACTGAGCGGAGGTTCTCTAAGCAGGTGTGGTATTCGCAAGGCGGGCTTTGTTGAACCTGGGCCCGATAGAAGCCGTGATGGCAAGGCAAAAAAACCGATGTTTGATCTGATACGGGCGATGCCACGCATGTGTCTAGACCACGGTAGCATCTTTCCGCCCTGTGTACGGAAAATGGTTGTGGTGACTAGATGGCTCTATGCTAAATCCGGGCGAGTATATAGGATGCGCAACAGTATTTTTTCGCCTGGAGATTACGCGTGCGGCTTGCTCAGTCCATGGCTGAGGCCGGTGGAACTCACCCTAAAAAATGACAAACAGAATGACACGGCAAGTGACGTGGAGAAAGCTGCATGCATCGGCCGCTCTTCCTCTGTATGAACTTTTATTGTGCTGAGAAGTGAAAATATAGACGGTCTATGGGGGCCTGGCAAAGCCGCTTAGTCAAAGAACTTTCTGGACGCAGAGGGGCCAAGCAATTCCAATCTGACACCGGGCAAGGCCTCCTCAGACAACAACTTCAACCTCTCGTCCAAAGTGTTATCAACCTCGATCTTGCCGCTCTTGTTCACAACCACCACACCGCCAGCCAGGGCCGAGTCCAAGAAGTTCTTGTCGTCGATTTTCACGGTGACTTCGAACTTGGCCTTCTCGGCAAACGTCTTGGCAGCAGTCTCGGCAGCCTCTTTGGCCAGGTCCAAGTCTGCCTCTCTCACTATGAGCGTGACGGTGTCCTCCAAGATCGCGTACAATCCCTCTTCGATCAAGCCTTCCAAGATAGGCTTGTACTCTTCCTTATTTGATGTCAACTTAACCAAGCTTTTGCCGGCCTCCTCGAAAATGTCCTCCAAAATCCTTTCCTTTTCGGCCAAGACCTTCAACCGGGTCTTGTTTCCAATGGTGGATTTCGTGATCTGCTGTGCCAACGACGCTTTCTTCAATTTCTGCTCGTATGCGCTGTCGATGGCAGCGGTCTCGGACCGCACAATCGACGCCTTTTCGATCTCGTATTCCTCGTCGGCCTTCAATCTAATTTCTTTGGCCTTCTCCTGGGCCTCCTTCTCAATGAAGGCTTTCATCTTGCGGAGCTCGGCATTCACCTGATATGTTAGTATGGGTCTACGCCATGCCATTGATACGCTGCAGAACACACGTGACCCGGGCCAGAATGTGTTTCGTAGATGCGTGTTGATTTATTGCCCGACATACCTGATCATCAGTCAACGACATTTTTTGTGGTGTATCTATTGGCTATCTTTGACTGGCAGTCTTATCATTGTCGACCTGAGGGTGAGTATTGAGCCCACGACGTAGTGCGGGTGAGAAAACGGACTGCAGGAAAACGCCAATGATAGACCGAGCTGGGTATCGTAAGATGCGCCTTCTACTTCATACAAATACAATTCGCCCTTAGTTGATTTAGTTAAATTTCGATACGTGATTTCTCTAAAAAGTTTCAAAAATCCAAGAACCCGCCCACTGAAAAACGGAGCCCTGCTCCCTAAAGCTTCTCGAGGAAATTCTTTGCTAATTCCACACCCACAAACGTGGCTGCGTTGGCAGGGAACGACCTGGCCAAGGCTGGCCCCACACCAGGGAAAAAGCCCTTGATACCTGCCTTCGCATATATGTTTTTGGTAGCAGTGGCAATGGAGATGTTGACGTTGGAAGATTGCTGTGTAGACTTGATTGTATCAATGGGAAATACACCGAGCCACATCGACATACCAGCACATCCACCAGCAACTGAAATGGCACCCAATGACAAGTCCTTGTCTGGAGATGACAAGGCAGCCTTCACGTATTCGTAGGTAGCAAAGTAAAGCGCAGATCCCGGGCCGTCTCTGGCCAAGGTGGCCGCTGAACCTTTGAAAATAGATCTGAGTCCTCCCGTTCTATACATCTCGGCAATAACCGAGCCCATAGAGCTTTTTGCACCACTCTGAACCTGCATCATCACTTTCACTCTCTCAAACGGAGCAGCAACGGCTGTAGTAGGGATAGCAGAAATGAAACCGGCAGTGGATATTTGCCCCACAGTGAAATCCTCAACCTTTGTTCCACTGTAGCCGGAAACAAGCTTTTTACCCATGTCGTAACCCCAAAAGGACACGGCGAACATAGGTGTCACCCCCAAGAGTGGAGGCATAACGCCTCGATAGAAACCCAAGAGACCATCTTTAGCCAATGTTCCCTTGAGACATTCACTGGTTGTTTTGTAAACACCCGTCTGTAAACGGACTTTGACCAAATCGAAAGGATGCCCGGTTACCACGGCGCACACGCCTCCGAAACCTCCAGAGGCGAATGATTTGATGTTATCAACCAAAATACTGTCAGTCTCGTCCATGTTGAGAGGTATAATAAATATGTGATTTAAGAGAAAGTAAACGAGTCAATTGCTCAATTGAATTGCTCTAATTTGCAACAATAGTGTAGCTAAAGAGAAGAAAAAGTAGCAAGAGTATGTCGACGGTGAATGCCATGGGGGCCGTATAAGTACGTATTATTTTTCGCACGAAATCCGGGGAACGGGACTTTTCGCGACTCTTATCCTCGGTCGAGCGGCGGGCCGAAAAATGTTTCAAGATACATAGGGCGAACACCAAGAAAGAGTCCCACTGGACCCAGTAAACAATTTTCAAGCCATGTAATGTTTCTTTACTTGCGTGTGATAAAATTCTCAAAGCAGTGGGTAAGAATATACTTGTCCTTTGACCTCTTATACTTTGTTCTTGGTTCGCGGCCGATCCTGCGAGGCCTAGGTCTTCCCCACAATGTCAAATCAGGGCTGCTTTAAAACGAGATAGAGAATGGAACAAAAGCTTCTCCCACATCGAGTGATATGCAGAACTCGTAAAAGATTGGAGATTATCGAATCAAATCTCATCAAAAGCTCCTGATCCTTGGCATCGAGCGTTGGTGGGGGAGAGCATGCAGTGTGGGGTAATGTCGACGAATCGCGAAGTGGGGCGAATATAAGCAGACCATTACATCATCTTACTAAATTCTTTAAGATCCACTTCCGCACGCATGTCGTGTGTGAAAGCCTTTAGCCAAGGCTGGAATTTGTCGACGTAAACATCCTTCTGGATATATGTTTCAACCGAATTTAAGCGGTGGTGTAGGTCATCCCAGTCCTCGTCGAAATTGAAACTCTCGGACTTTAAACGTAAAATGCTGACGTAATTACTCAAAGCTGTCCCAAACTCTTCACTGCTTCTGAGAAAGGCATACGTAAGTTCGAGGAGCTCAAAGATTTGGTGCACAAATGATTTGCCACTGTGGCGACCGCATGCGTCTTCTCGAAGAAGTTTGCAATCGGAGACACTCTTAAGATACGCAATGTGAGTTGCGGTTAAGTCATCAATGGTAAGACTATTAGTGTTTTGATGAGCAAAAGTCGAAGTTTGCAACCCAGTCAAAAGTAAGGATTGATCTCGATTCCTCAAAAAACTGGAATCCAATATAGAAAGTTTTGAGGTTTCGCCTAAAACACCTTTCTTGAGAACATGGGCCTTTGACGTACAAGTTTGAAAGAGCTTACGTACAACGTGCTCATTGAAACTGTTTTCAACCAAATCGAAAGACACAAAATTGAGGATAGCGTCTATGAGCATTGCAAACCTATGGCGGATCAAGCATATAATCCGAAGAGATCTAGTGAGCCATTTTAGCCGCCGATCGCTCCATTCGCTTGTTGCACCTTGCGAAGCTTTTAGCTTCATTTTTATATGCCGCAAGTGTTGCTTATGAAACTCTTGGAACAGCAGAAAGTGTTCTCGGAGAAGAAATTGATAGTGCTTTAGGCCCCATAAAAAGTTGAACAACCTCAAGTACTGAGTGTTTTGATCTTGATAATTCAATAAAGCTTCTAATGGGGGTTCTGGTGCACTGTATGCCAACGTGAAGACATCCCAACCGATTGTTCCGTGACTCAAGTCCAAAATCCTGGCGTCTATTCTTTTCTGATATTTTGGGGAGAGACATTTGATGGAAGACAGGTCGATAGAATCGATTAAAAGCTCAGAGAGACGTGCCGATGTCAACGAGGAGGCCAGTTCGCTGAACATTTGGGCACCTTTGGCAGTGACCGCATTGACAAAATCACTAGATTCCATTAGCATGACACGCTTAATAACGAGCAAATGTGAATAAAACAGATACTTTGAATGGACCACCTGTGTAAAATACTCAAGAACCTCTTCGTACTGCCGATCAATCATGACTTGAAGTTTATTGGCGCTCATGGACATAAGGCCACCTTGGGTCGCGGAAATAAATTGAAAATAGCGCAGGGCAAATTCGTTCACCCAGTCAAGTTCTTTGCAATACTTTTCCAAAAACACTAGTGTTTTACCGATCTGGAACATTTTCGTGAAGATCTCGTCATCAACCTTCAAGAACACAGGGAGTTTTTTGGGGTCGTACTTAATAATGTCATTGATGTGATTTTCCTTTTTGTCAAAGGACACAAAAAACTCGTCGCTCTCATCAATAAGCTCACCTCTTACTATCCAGTGCTGGAGGTATTGATAGTAAGGCGTAGAAACATCGTCGAAGAGGTTGCGTGCAAGTTGCTCGATCCTTATGTCGCCAAACTGCGAGAATCTGTATACTTCGAGCAAAAACTCAAACCCATCAAGCTCGGCAAGACGGCTTTTCAAGTGACCCAAGAATCGTAGATTGTGAGTCTGGTCCTCGAGCGAGTCTAGAAGTGCAAGTAGAGTTTTGGGCGCTGTCCTGAATATACCCTCGATGGTATCGGCATAGAAGACTAAGTATCTTTGAAGGTAAGTGAGAAAAGCAGTAGTTATGGGTGAGTTTATGCTTCCCCGACAGGAGTCTAGAAACACGTGCAAGCTTTTCCCCAAAAGAGCGGGCTCTAAGATATCAGTCAAAAGCTGTGTGTAGCTCGTGTTCACCAGATCCGGTATTTCGATGCTTCCAAAATCCCGCAGGAACCTCAACAAGTTCGTGTCTTGGCCGGCAAGGGTATGTCGAAGCGACGCAAGAAGTGCCTGCTCATCTAGCGTCTTATAGTACGGGTCTATGAGCTCCGGCATGGTCGAATTTGAGGGCAGCACGCGTTGGTGTGGGCTGCTGGAAAACGGAGACAAAACGCGCCCAGGTGGGACAGGTTTGAAAGCCATGTGAGGGAATTTGTCGCTGTCAGGAGAAGATTCCGATGGGCAAAGCCGGGATAGGTGGATCAAGTTTCGCGTAAACGAGTCAGGCAGACTCGGGTGCATGAACGCGTCCACAATTCCTTGGAACTCTCGCCAATCATCAGCCCGGTTTTGCTGGAGGAAGAGCCTGTGGTACTGGTCTAGAATCTGCGGTAGTGGTTTTGCGGAGACAGCCGAAAATGGGCGCGTTATATGAGTAGTGAGGTCGTTGACTAGAGTGTGGACATGGGGCGATTCACGATCGGAAGGTGCAAGCGAGCCTACGAGCCTGTTCAAATATAGCCGGACAATATCCGGGTCTCCGGACGCCATATGAAGATATTCACTTGCTGGGGAGTGTAGAAGATAGAGACTCGTTGTGTGTTCTTGTTTGTTGATACTTGCACCATCGCGCGTTCGTGGGAGGTGCACACAAGCTGCGGCCCTCCAAACAAGTCTCTGCTGAACTTTGCCAAATAACAGAGCATGGCTCAGGGTAAAATACATGCATAGAATACGAATTCATATAGGGGCCATGCATACGGCGAGCTGGCAAAGAATGACGGAATGAATCTTGACCCGAAAGCTTTACAAAGAACAACCCAACCTTCGGGTCTGAGACGCGTCCAGTATACGCTGAACGTATCCGTATAAGTAAACTGACATTCTACAGAATATGTGCAACGCCTGATCTTGTATCACAAGCAGGTGGAATTGCTAGCATATCGCTAGTCTTGAGAATATCCATTTCTGGGCATCCTATGTAGAAAAAAAAAAAAAAGATATTTTTTGTTTTGAAAGTTTGCTTTCTCGGGCATCAGATTTTGACGCCGGAACTCACCTCATTAGGGGCAATAGATGGCTCAACAACATTCGAGTTCAAGTCCGCGTCTGTCAATGCCAACTGAGCGTCTGTCCAGATGTGGTCAACCGACGCAGGCTCCGCAGTACCAACGCCACACAAACCTCCAGCTCTCTGCCAATCAGAGGTTCTCAGTAAGTTCAATTCAGTGAAGACACTGTCCACAGCATTGATCAACTCGGTAGCAATAGTAGGACCGTGGCCTGGGGTTGCCGTGATTCTCAAGCGCTCCTCGCCAATTGGCACAGTGGGGAAGTTGATGGCTTGCACATAAATGTTGTGCTTTTCCAAAAGCAAGTCGGAAGCTTTCTTTGCGTCCCTGGCGTTACCCACCAACACAGGCACAATGTGCGAGGGGTTGGGAATCACGGGGATTCCAAGTTCATTCAAGTTGTTCTTCACGAACCTGGTGTTTTTCTGCTGGGCAATTCTGTCTTTCAAGGTGGCTCTCTGGTGTCTGATCGAGGCAGTTGCACCGGCCATGACGGCTGGTGGCAAAGACGTAGTGAAAATGAACCCCGGGGCATAGGATCTGAACCAATCGATCATGTTCCGCTTTCCCGTGATGTATCCACCAACAACACCATACGCCTTACCCAACGTGCCGGTAACCATGTCAATTCTGTTCATGACAGAATCCTTCCTGATGCTGTTCAAACCGGCCTGCAAGTGCTCCTCGAAGTTCAAGTGCTCCGCGACACCAGCACCATGAGGACCGTACATGCCAACGGCGTGCACCTCGTCCAAAAAGGTCAACGCTCCATATTTATCGGCCAAGTCACAGATAGCTTCCAATGGGGCAATTGAGCCGCACATCGAGTACACAGACTCGAACGCTATCAACTTGGGCACCGACTTGGGGTACTGCGCCAAGCGGCGCTCTAAATCCTCCAAGTTGTTGTGCTTGAAGATCTCTTTTTTGGCCCTCGAGTTGCGGATACCTTGGATCATAGACGCATGGTTCAACTCGTCCGAAAAAATGACCAAGTCCTTCATCTTTTGTCCTAAGATGGAGAGCACTGCATCATTGGCAACAAAACACGAGCTGAACACCAACGAGGCCTCATGCTTGTGCAAAGCAGCAAGCTCAGACTCCAACTTGATGGCGTGCATGTTGTGGCCCGCAATGTTCCGGGTTCCTCCAGCCCCAGCTCCATACTTGTCGAGGGTGTTCTTCATGGCCGAGATCACCTTGCTGTTTGTGCCCATGCCCAAATAGTCGTTCGCACACCAAACAGTGACCCGGTCTGCCTCTTCGGACAAGTGGGCCTTGGGAAACTCGCTGGCCAACCTGTTGATGTTGTTGAAGTACCGGTACGACTTGTCTTGTCTCTTCTTCACAAGCTCTTCGTCAAGAAAGCCCTCGTAGTCAAAGGCGTTCTTGTTCGAAACGTTATCCACAACATTCAACTTACCTTTGACCAAGTCCTTCTCAGAGTACGAGTAAAACTCAGACACTTTCTCCGAAGAGAAGGAGGTGGCGGAGGCACTGGATGCCTTAAGAGTGTTTGAGGATGACGAGTATTCTCTGGCCTTCAACGCAGTACCAGCAAAAGGACAAGCTTTGGCATGCTGGGACAAGGTGGAAAGGCGACTCATTTGGCGGAGAGCCTGGGTGGAAGTGGCGCTAACAAAAGGACATGCCTTGATGGAGGCACGAGCAAGAGATTCCATTTTTCAGCAAGACGTGTTTTTTACCAGCTCTTCAAAAAGCTTGTTTTTTAGTTTTTTTTTTTTTTCGGAGTCTGTAGTCTTCGCCTTTGGAACTGAAAGAGGGCTTTATTCTAAGAGTTTGGGGATGACAGAAGTATCAAATTTTCAAAAGTGCCGTTCAACCGGGAGCTGCGACGATCTTACGAATCACCTGGATGCATGAGCATGTCCCATACCGGATATAAAGTTTCGCATGGTTAAGCGTGTTCCAGCTACGACTTGGAATTAGACTTTGTTTGGAAAAATAAACTTCTTCTGTGTAGATACTCCATTCACATTCATACTGATTCCGGAATTTTCGAGGACAGGATAAATAACGTAGACGTGTAATATCACAAGGGTATTTTGAGCTTAGCCGGAAGATTTAACTCGAAGCGGAAACTTTTGAGGCCTTTAAATGCACCTGTGTCATGTGATTGGTGGCAGACAGGATTCATCTATTGTCACCTATCCCCGGACAGGAACTGCCTATTGTCACAGTTCTCAAGAGAGGAGCAGCTTCATTCCTCTAGCAGAAACAATATTATGGGCCCACTTTTGAGGTGGTCAACCAGGATGTAAAAATATTGTGTTGGCCTGGCAAATTCTTGTCTGCCTTTAATTGTCTTGCATAGCTTTATACACCCAGCGCACAGTCGCCATAAGTCTCACAACTCACCCACAGCTTGTCCTTTCAGCCGAGTTCTGGATTCCGATATACCTGGTCTGTTTTTTAAAAGAAAGCCAGCGTCTCGAAAAATGAGCTGAATTTAGGCGTTCTTCAACTTATCTTTCTTCAAACTCCACAAAGCCACCTAGAATTATGCATCCAGCATATCATGCGGCAAAAACAAAATCGCGCAATTTCCCAACCGAAAATATTCACTAAACTTCAAAGAAAAACAGGTCACATGAGAGCCTAATTCATAGTGAGGCTTAGACTTCAAAAACATTCATTAAAAATGAAACGACCTCGGTGAGGGTCGAACTCACGATCTTAAGATTAACAGTCTTACGCCTTAGCCAACTTGGCCACGAAGTCGTTCTTGCGAAAACCGTTTTGATCATTTATATCCAAACAGTATTGAAGACAGAACAAACACAACTTTCTCAAATCGGAGCTGGTTTTTGTTCCACATCCACCGTAAAGTTTTTCCAATGAAATTCAACTGTCTTGGTTCTCGCGCCATACGATGAAAACTACTACAGGAGACCTATCCTAGGAGTCGATGACGTAATATCCAATACGTAAACAGATACGTGCCATGAGGACTGTCCAGGCCGTGCCTAACGGAAGGGGACGGGCCGAGCTAAGACACTTGGTACGTATCTGGGAGCTGTTTGAAGGTTTTTTTATATATGTTATTTATATGGTTTTAATGAGATAAATCTACCAAAAGAGCAAAAAGAAAGAGGTAGGTTTTTTTTTCATAGTTTCTCGTTATTTATCTTTTAGTAGTGGGGTCTTAAATTCCTTCAGTGACACCCTACAATATGATGTTCCTTTCGAAAAAATGGACTCGCCTCTCTCTCTCTGGGCATTCTTACCCTTCCATAAATTTGTTCCTTTGAAAAATTCCTGACAACGGAGGAAGTAGATGGAAGACAGTCCTGGACATGTTGAAAGGAAGGTGATGGACCGAATTTCGACACTAGGGACGTATTTGGAAGCTGTCCAAAAGTCTTTTATACAACTGAATAGTTTTATATCCTTTTATTAGATAAATTCACCAAAACAAGAAAAAAGAAAGAGACGGGAAGAGTTTCAAGAGTAGGTACGTATCTGGTTGCTGTTTAGAGGTTTTCCATATTTTATCTTAGAGTTTTGTTCCTCCAATCTAATAGAGCTCAGATGAGCAAAAAAAAATTTAGCTTTTGTGAATGGATGATTACCACGAAAGACTAGACCTATGAATTGTTGAAGGAAGGCTAATCACGTAAATATGCATGCTTAGATGACCCTCCAGGGCGTGAGTTCCTTAGGAGGACGGCCTCCCTTTTTACACTAGGATCGTGGTTAGAACCAGGTGAAAAGATTCTATACCCATTGTTCTTATCTTCTAAAAACAGCCATGGGCTCGTTCATCTTCTGTGGAGCGGTAAAAACTTTCCTTTAGAAGACTAGATCATGAGCCACAGACCTTGTTCCCCATACCCCTGCAAATTACTAAATGGCGTAATTCAACACAAACACTAACAATTGATGAAAATTTACCCAGAAGAAGAAAGAGCAAATAAATTTATTCTTCAATTCTCTGTTAGCTCGTCTTGTACTTCTGGTCATTCGTAGAATTGCTGCGCGGTGACTTACTTCTAAACTAAATTCATCAATGAAAAAATGAAACTTGAATGGTTGGAACTGTAGCATTTTTTAAAAGCTTAATTTCAAGACAGTAGTCGCTTGATAGTCACAAATTTGGTCACGTGAACCAAAATGTTACCATTCTATCTGACCAAGTTGAGAAGAGGCTCTTATCACGAGTTTTCGAGGTGACAAATAGACAGATGTCCTGGAAACAACTTGTATCGAAAGCATCAGGTATGCAATTTTTTTGTGCGATACCAAATTGGTTAATAGAATCTAAAGATGTTTCGTCAAACGAGACACGTGCATTAATATGAGGTATCTAATCGATATGAATTCTGACAAGATTCCCCTTCGTAGCTGTTGATCTGATGTATATGAAATTGAAAACTTGATATTATCCATATTTACAGTGGCTGTGACCCAACAGAACAAAAGAAGAAACCAGTCAATAACAATCCGCAGAAAACGACCACAAGAGTCACATCTTCTCCTGCAAGGAATAATGATCAGCGACGGTATCACGCGGCGAATTAGTTGCAGGAAGCACCAATGATTTTGGGCTCAGTGATCAGTGAAATGCAAGTCTGCATTGACTAATTCAGACTTTAAGCGCACCACGAAAAAATACTAGAAGCACCTTAGCGCTGACCTGTAAAAGAGAGGGAGAATTAATAGCGCACCGAGCCCAGCCAGACTAAAAATGCCTCTAAATAACAAATAGCAAGATGCGAGCTAAGACAATAGACTATGGCCCTACACGGCGGTGACAGGAATCGATTATTATATTTATTGCGTAATAAAACCTTCCCAAAATGAAACCCGGAGGTAGAACTATGTATTCAATTTGTTATTAAGTTGAACGAATAATTTACTCTTCGTCATCCTCGTCGTCCTCAGCGATAGAGTAGAACTGCAATTGGTATTGGTTTCTCTTGACGGCAACGAATCTGATCCAGTCTCTGAGCTGGTTCTTCTTCAAGTATCTCTTAGTCAAGTACTTCAAGTACTTACCGGAGAACTTGGCGGTGGAGACAACAACAACGTTGGTGCCCTCCTCAGTGACGGAGATAGACTCACCCAAGTTACCGATGATACCGTCAACCTTGATGTGCTCGACCAAGTACTTGATGTAAGCCTCCTGGTCGAAAACAGCGTTCTCGACTGGGGCAGAAGTGTCAACAACGAACTTCTTAGCAGCTTGAGTGTCCTTGGTGGTCTAGATATCTTGTTAGCCTACCGCACTATTATCGGAATACACACAGAGGTGTAGGAGATAAAGACAGCATAGCTACCCTAGACGGGCTTTAAAAGTGCTAAATAAATGTCATCTGTGAGCCTTTAGACAATACTGGGTGCATTGCCTTGTGTGGCACAAACAACGAAGCGTAACTCCCCCTTCGTAACTTAATTAGACCCATAAACCCGTCCGAGGCACACGAACTGATCGATATCCTCACGAACTCAAGTGATACATACAATTGGAGCCATTTTTGATATGTGATGAAGAGGTATGAAGACAAGTAGAGAAAATTTTCAGACACCTATCAAGGACTCACCGCGACTTGGGTCGTGCGCTGCTCAGCGATGGATGCCATGCATTTCCTGTTCGGCATCCCGGAATTTCTCGCAGCCCCTACTGCCAAGGGCACAAGCCCTAGCTGCGCGCGGGTGCGTGATCACTGAGTGCCGAAGGCGGCACATGATTCATTATGTGAGTCGCCCGCGCTCAGAGCTGTCAAGCCGCCTGGGTGACTATTGAATCATCCTCGGGCGACACATTCTCGGAGTTGGGCTCATGCGGGTTGGGCTCGAGAAACCCAAAACGCATCTAATCCAGCCAATAGTATCTGTTCCTTTGTAATAAGGTGTGAACAGAAGATATTTAGAAACAGCCTTTAATTAAATCACCTTTTCCGTTTTTTCTTTTTGATTTGCTTTTTACTGAGCAGTCTCTGGATAAATTTGCACCCACAATTCAATTAGAAATGAGACATTCGATTGCAAGACTCTTGCAGACCACGAAATCACCAAGACTGGTTCTTTCTGTAAATACCAGTTCTGTTGCATCTGGTATGCCTAATGTTTTGGACAGGGCCATAAAAGAGGGACCAAGACATGACTGGACTAGAGACGAGATCCGTGCGATATATGACACCCCTCTTCAAAAATTGATGTTCATGGCACAGCTCCAGCATCACAAGTATCACGACCCAAGTGAGGTACAATTATGCACTTTACTTAATATCAAATCTGGTGGGTGTACAGAGGATTGCAAATACTGTTCCCAGTCCTCAAGATACGACACCGGCACCAAAGCCGAGAAAATGATCAAGTTGGAAGAGGTCAAAACAGCTGCCATTAAAGCTAAGGAAAACGGATCCACCAGGTTTTGCATGGGTGCTGCGTGGAGAGATATGCATGGCAGGAAGTCTGGGTTGAAGAAGATTACAGAGATGGTAAAATGGATCAACGATGAATTAAAAATGGAGACTTGCGTGACATTAGGAATGGTAACCGAGGAGCAAGCCATTGTTCTCAAGGAGTCCGGGTTAACGGCTTACAACCATAACATTGACACATCCAGAGAACATTATCCAAAAGTGATTTCAACAAGATCCTATGACGACCGCTTGCAAACAATTAAAAATGTGCAGAGCGCAGGGTTGAAGGCATGTACTGGAGGCATCTTAGGGCTCGGTGAAACTGATGATGATCACGTGGGTTTTCTTTATACTTTGGCCACCATGGACAAGCACCCTGAATCTTTGCCAATCAATAAGTTAGTTCCCATTAAGGGAACTCCTATGGCTGAAGAAATTGAGAATATCCCCAAGTCGCTGAGTAAGAGCTTGCGTTTCGAGGCTATTCTCAAAACCATTGCCGCGGCCCGCCTTATTATGCCTGAATCTATCATCCGTCTAGCGGCTGGAAGATACTCTATGAGGCAACATGAGCAATTCCTTTGTTTTATGGCAGGGTGCAATGCTATTTTCACCGGCGAACAAATGCTTACCACCGCGTGCAATGGCTGGGAGGAAGATATCGCCATGCTTAAGAAATGGGGCTTGAAACCCATGAAGAGTTTCAAAAAGCATGAACTCAGAGTCCAGTAAATATTAGCTACATGTTTCCTCGCCCAATACATATCATTCAACAAAGTGCTAACTATAAAACGTGAATGTCAGCATGAAGATGAATTGTTACTATATCTCATCTCATCTCATTTACGAGCCTGTTTGTCCTGCGCCTAAAGATAAAGTGCAGCATTTCGGATCTGATTTCGCTTTTCCTGCACCGATTACCTGAACAATTCTCGATTTCCGAGTGAAAGATGAGTCAACTATCATCATAGGAAACGCCCTGAAAATGAGATATGGGTTGCCCTTGAGGAATTTGCAGTTCACTCGCGGACTTTCTTCCAGAAAACCCAATCAACCAGTCACATCAAAAAGGATCTGGCCGTCTGCCATCATATTTCTGGCTTTTGTTTCTGTTGGTGCCGCGTCTTATCTCTATGGCAAAAAACAAGTGCACGACAACCCACCAAATGATTTGTTCCCCTTCACTTCGACCACAAAACTCTCTCACATCAACTCTCCAAAATACTGTACGGATTCTGAGCTAGAAAAAGCAATCGCTGAGATCAAACTTATCATTGGCGAGAAAAACGTTACCAACAGCGAGGCTGAGATCAACGGGCATTTCGATAATGGTTTCACCACGCACCCACCGAAACCACATCAAAGAGCTAGATGGATCATATATGGCACCTCGACAAATGATGTTTCTGAAGTCATGAAAATCCTTCATAAATACAGCGTCCCTGTTGTCCCGTACTCTGGTGGTTCTTCCCTTGAAGGTCATTTTTTTTCCACCAGGCCTGGAGTCATTTTGGACACCAGCAAAATGGATAGAATTTTGCGTGTGAATAGGAATGACTTGGACGTAGAGTTGGAGGCGGGTGTTAATTGGGTAAAATTGAACGAGGAATTGACCGATGAACTGTTACTTTTCGGATGTGACTGTGGCTCTAGTGGCTTAATCGGGGGCATGGTAAATACTAACGCGTCTGGCGTCAATGCGTCTAAATACGGTGCTATGATTCAAAACGTCATTTCTTTGACAGTTGTCCTTGCTGATGGTACCATCATAAAAACAAGACAAAGACCTAAGAAAACTAGTGCCGGGTACAATCTTACCGGCTTATTTATAGGTAGTGAGGGCACATTGGGCATTGTTACCGAGGCTACAGTGCGTTTGCATGTGAAGCCTCAGAATGAAACTGTGGTGGTGGGCCAATTTCCTACTATTTTCGACACTACTCAAACTGTTGCTGAATTGTTTCGCCGCGGTATTAGACCTGAGGCCATCGAATTACTTGATAAAGACATGATGCACTGCATCAACTATAGTGGGTACTGGACAAAGGAATGGCTAGAGGTTCCTACGATTTTTTTTAAGATTGGGGGTCTCAATCAGAAGGTTGTGGGAGAAACTTTGAAAGTAGTGAAGGAAGTGTCTTTAGCCAATAACTGCAAGGACTTTATTTCCGCAGAGAGCAAAGAAGAGGGCGACGAATTGTTCAGTGCTCGTAAGGATGCTTTCTATGCTATTCTCAATTATGGCAAAAATGAGATTCATGAGGACGTAAGACTATGGGTCACAGATATAGCAGTTCCCTTATCAAAGCTATCATCTGTTTTAGAGCAGGTCAGAGTTCTCATTGAAAAGTCGGGCTTTCAGTCAGTAATTTTAGGGCATGTCGGTGATGGAAATTTTCACGCTGATATCTTCTACACCTCCGAGACCAAGAAAGAGTGTGAAAAATTAGTGAATGAAATGATGCTCGTTGGATTAGCAAATGAAGGAACTTCTAGTGGCGAGCATGGAATTGGGAACGGAAAGAGAAAATATCTTGATTTAGAACTTGGAGTGGATGCTGTTGACACAATGCGGAAAGTTAAGATGGCCTTAGATCCAAAAAGAATTATGAATCCAGACAAGGTATTCAAAATTGACCCCAAGGATGATGGTGAATATTGAAGACTGGCTCCTTGTTTCCTGTTGGGAGATGAATAGAGACATCGATCAAATCAATAACTTTTCAATTTTAAAAGGATAATAAATGACGTTGAGATGTAAATACACAATTTTATCAGATAAAATTTGACCTAATTTTCAAAAGTGCATATACTATATTTATACATATGGCAGATTCTCTTACTTGATTTTCAAGGACTAATTCAGAAATAACTACGATGTTCAAATTTTTCAGGGACATAATACCAATCATTCCACAATACAAATCAACTTTACTTTTTAATTTTAGGATATGAGAATGTATGATGCAGTCAACTGAGCAAAGAAATTATGGTCCACGCTTGATGTTTGGAATGTTCTTCCAATCTAAGAACCGACACGTCGGTCTCAGCCAAGAAATTCACAAAAGGAGTGCATTTAATGTACCAAGCAAGGTTCAGAAGCCCCGTCCTAAGTTATAGTAAGTACAATACCAAAAGCACCAGCTGCACTGATTTATCAAGATGTTTGAGACATCCTCTCTTCGACAATCTGATCGTCAGTATGATTGGTTTGATGAAGTTGCATAACCAGAACAATATTTTTGGTTGGAAAAATTTGCCTCAACTACGGCAAGTGAATTTTTGATGGGTAATCCGCTTATCATTATTAGCGAGCGATTACTATACGTGGATAAAGCCCTGTACTTTGAGCATGAAGAGCAACCATCTTCAATGCTATCTCTTTGGAGTGTAGCAAAGCTATTGAGATCGCACACTCGCGGTTTTATGTGAAAATATTTGTGAAAACGAATTACTCATCACAAATTACAAAGTGGCTTTTAAACTTGGGCTGAGGTCCAAAAGTTGGGTCAAAAACTGCGCATATAAACTGCGGGGAAAATACTCACTATGGTTAGGAGTCCCAAGAATTCAACCTGTCAAAGTGTTAACGAGGCTTTTTTTGGTATTTTAAAAAGTTCATACGGTAACGAACAATAAGATAAGCAGTTGCGTAAAATCTCAAAGACATATATACTCCTTCCCAATAGATTATTGTTTTGATTTAAAGAGAATCATCATTAATGTATTTTTTTCTTGTCGAGTCAGGCGTACGACGACATTGCATCACTCCTGTCGCAAACATACCTGTTCATCTCCCGGAATTTCGGGCTAATTGCAGGAACGTGTGTGCGGTGAATCGTGCTTGTATGAGCCGAGCCTCAATGAAGAAAAATACGTATCAAATTCAGCAAGGGACTTGAATGGTATACCTTGTTGTGACTTCATAAAGCCACGGTTCATTCTCGGGCTATATTAAAAAAAACCGTGGCGGTTCTGCGGATTCTGCTCAGCAGAAACGCTTGGGGTTTCTCTTATCTCTATAGAGGAACGCGCACGGAAATCGCCTTATCTTATCACGTGGTGCGCCGCGGTGACCTCTCGGAGTAATTGCCGAAGGTGCGCTCCCTTCCGATCTCCGGCTTTTCCGTCACGAAATCAGAAAACAAGCTGGAGCGTGATCCTACGCATTCATACTGCCCAGGCCGGCCCTTCATTTCTAGAACGCTCTTTTGCAGTCTATCGACTATATTTCAGCTGACTGCTTATCAATTTCGGTACTTATTCGGAACATAGCCGCAATCTAATTCAGCGCTCCGAAAAGTTTTTTTCTCGTCCCCAGCTATCGCACAAGAACGCTCTTTCAGTACTTATCTGAACTTTTTCGCCATATCGGTGGCCGGTTGTCCCCTGCCTAACTCTTTTTTTTTTTGCAAGAACTTCTAGTTCAGATATCTGTCTGAAATTGCCTCGCTAATACGTGCAGCTTTCCTCTCGGTGTTATAATTAGCAGCGTATGATGGCCATTGATTGTTCTTCGGCAAACAACTTGCGAAATACGCTTGACAACTTGTCCATAAGTTCTTCACCTGAGCCCGTCCAAGATTGCGAGTCCTCAAGCATGCACCCACAGACGACAAGATCGCTTCTCTCCAAGTCATTGGCTGGCGAATGTCACAGGGAAAGCGCTGCTCCGGATCCCCAACAGTTTCGTATAGGTGAGGACGATGTGTATTCGTCTTACGGTCATCCAGAACCCTCGCTTCTCGCTACGTCTATTGGCAAAGATCATGATGGTAGGCTAATACCATCTAGTTCCACGATTTCGCTCTTATCGTTGAACAGTAACGTGAATGGAGGCTCACTTTTAACGCATCCAGAAACTTTCAATACCAGCGTGAAAGGTTCGGTCCCAGGGCTCACTCACGCTAACCCGGATCGTGTTAGCTCTTATACAAACTTGAGATCGAGAAACTCGATTACACATCTAGGCCAGCAGCGATTACAGCCTTATCATAAATTATCTTCCCCTATAGCACCCTCCCTGGGGGAATTCAGCATCATCTCGAGTCCGAAAACTATACCCTGGGGTAAAAACCAGATGACCACGCCGGACTCCCCGAATTTAAACCCTACCTCTTTTGGAGAATCGCCGTCTAGATTCTGGCTTAGTGCACAAACGCCTCCGAAATCGCTTACAATGCCCAAACACAAAAATCAATTCGTCGGCCCTCTGGGCTTTGCCGTGACACCATTCCAACAAAAGAATCAACAAAAGCATGCTTTCACAAACACAATCAATATCACCAGAGGCGGTGATTCACCAGTTCTCATTCCGGTTCAGACGCCGATCGAAGACATACCAATGACGCCACTATATCTCAACTCAGAAGGAAGCTACTTCGCAGATTCAAATGGCCCGAGGGATTACGGCGAGGCGAGAGCGGATTATTTTTCAGGCGCCAATGAGTCTCTTTTGGAAGAAAAGGAACAAGCGCTGTCTGATTCCGAGGATCATAATATGGATTAAGCCATATAATAGATAGATGCAAGATTCAAGAATTGTAGAATTGCTAGGTAGATCAGTTTCGTCTATGCAAATCAAAGTGAAAACATAAAACAGAACACGAAAAGGTTTGTCCCGAGCATCTGGACCTTCGTCAAGCGACAAAACGCACTGACCCAAGACACGATTTACAAGTGAAACATGTAAAAAAAAGAAGCTTTTTGCCAGCATTTGCCTCCAGTTGCGCCTGGTGTCATAATCTGCAATCAATAATTTCGATTCTCGTTCACTCCATTGCAAGGTACTATTTTATTTGGCGCGCCTTAGAGTAGATAAGCTCGCACTTGCAGTGACTTTCGTTTCCCCTTCTTCATCATGTCTACCTACGAATGTGTGTATGAACCCATCATAAGAGTCAAATAATTTTCTAGCACAAAAGCTAACCCTTGTAGCTGACCATAATTTAAACACAAGCGAAAGCATCAATTCTCAGAATGATGGTAGGAGACAATATCATTCGCTCTCTAGTGCCATCGATGCGTTTCTAACCACCACCGCAGCTTCCAATCGAGAGCGATTGAGTGGACGGGAAATTTTTGAAAATGCCTTAAGGATGATGGGAGATGAGGAGAACTCTGAGGTGATCCAGCAGTTTTTGCAGAACTTGGATAGCGAAGGCACAGAAATAAACACGTCTGTGGGGGTTGACGATGCGTTTTTAGATGCATTGGAGAGAGTCGACTTGGACAGTTTATCTGAGACAGCAGACTGTCCTATCTGCACTAACAAATTTGTGCATAACAAGTACCCTTTGATCGTGAAACTTCCGTGCTTTACTAATGGGAAGTCATCGAAACAACATATCTTCGATATGGATTGCATTGCACCATGGTTGAAAGTCAACTCCACATGTCCGATGTGTCGTTGTGATATGCATGATGCAAAAAAGGCCCGAAGAGAGCATTTGGAAGCTGAGCTAAGACGTGCCCGTGAGCAAGAAGAGGAAGACGAAGAAGACGATGACAGAGGCCTTTATGGTTGATATTCAAGCATGCAATCCATTTTTTAATCATTACTATATACATGTCTAAAAATACATTACTTGCCCTCCTTCATGGACTCTTTGAAAGCGTCTGAGCTCAAGAGTTCCTGTACTTTCTTACCCACTGGGTCCTCCATGTTGTCCTGGTAAGCCCGAGGCAATTCCATCTCCTCGGCAGTCAACTTGCTCATGGTCTCGGCGTAATCAAGAGACTCGTGTGTGAAAACCAGGGCTTTGCGATGAACACTCTCTAAGGCATACTTGCTTGTGTAAGATAACCACAAATCGACAATCTCTGGATTGGCGTCAAAGGCCACTAATCTACGTTTAAAAGTGGTTCTGAAGAAATTCTCCTTCGACTTAGCTTGGGCGAAGGGCGATCTGATCACAGTGTAAAGTTTCTTTTCTGTCTTTACTTTTTCGATATCCGACGCGGGGATGCCCAAGTAAAAGGCTGCTCTTGCAGTGAATTCAGCCATTCTGAGAACCTCGGTCTCGTCATATCCGCTGAAATTAATTTCGGCGACCTTGTGGCCGTGGGTGGGTTCTAATTTCAATGGCTTATACTTCAACAACTCAACGTTGAGGGGAACAGGCCTTTTCGTGAATGGGTCCACCTCATTTGGTTTGATCAATTTGGGCTCGAAGTCAATGTCTTTGTTAAGTAGACTCTCGGTGAAACGTTGGTCTTCCAACTCCTTCACCTTTCTCTTTTCCACCAATTCTTGCGGCGAGGAAAAGCTTTTAGCAGCCGGATTTTTGACACTTAAAAGACGTGAGCTTGTAACAAGTTTTCGCGAGGACACACGAGCGCTTCTTGCGTAGCTGGCGAGCATTTTATGGTGTAGATTGTAAACCTTCGTTGGCCAATTGACAACACATGTGACGGAGAAAATTTTAACCTGCAGTGCTATATGTGGTCACGTGAGAGACTTCAAGCGACCCAGCTGAACTTTACAAATTCTAGACACAAGACGCCGTCTTTGTGTGTTCATTGGGTGGCCAAAGACAGAAGATCATATTACAATTTTGGTCGTCTAATATAGTTCCAAAGATTTTTTCGACTGCTCTTCCTCCGGGCTGGGTGCTCTGATATCTTGTTCCTGTGCGCGAGGTACATGTGAAGTGCTCTTCTCGCATCCGCAAGCTTATCACCGTGCCCGTACTAGATTGAAGATGGGTAAGGCAAGTAAAGACAAGAGAGATCTCTACTACAGAAGAGCAAAAGAAGAGGGTTATCGTGCGAGATCTGCATTCAAATTACTCCAGATCAATGAGGAGTTTGACATATTTTCAGGTGTGAAACGAGTAGTGGACCTATGCGCAGCTCCAGGCTCATGGTCACAGGTCTTGAGTCAAGAGTTGAACAAAACCCCAGGTGAGGATAATGCCAAGATCGTGGCAGTAGACTTACAGCCGATGGTTCCAATAGAGGGCGTCACGTGTCTCCAGGCTGACATTACCCACCCAAAGACACTCCAGAAAATTCTTGATTTGTTTGGAGGCGAGAGTGCGGATTTCGTATGTAGCGATGGGGCACCCGATGTCACAGGTCTCCATGACTTGGACGAATATATCCAGGCACAACTCGTCTTGTGTGCCTTGCAACTCACTTGTTGTATCCTAAGGCCAGGCGGAACTTTTGTGGCCAAGATTTTCCGTGGTAGAGACATCGATCTATTGTACAGCCAATTTGGATATCTCTTCGATAGAGTCGTTTGCGCTAAACCCCGCTCATCTCGAGGAACCTCGCTCGAAGCTTTTATTGTGTGCACAGGTTACAGGCCCAGGCCGGGCTGGAATCCGAAACTTGATGCTACCAAGTCAACCGAGGAGTTTTTTGAAGACGCAGATATCGCAAAGAGCTACATAATGAAGAACATGGAGCTCCCGTTAGATGAAGAGAGGTCAATCGCGAAATTTGTCTCTTGTGGAGACTTGAAAGATGGAGACTCAGACGCCACGTATACACTCAATTCAAGTGTGGAACAGCGGAATTTGCAACCAGTGCAACTGCCCACGGCGCCGCCCTATAAAAAGGCTTTGGCCATGAAAAGGAACGGCGAGTTAGTCATTAAGTAATATTGTTGTATTTGTACATTACAAAAAATTAGTGAGCAACATTGAAATCGACAACAGACTTTAAGCAGAAGTCTCTTCACCCTTGACTAAAGCATCTGGCTTCAAGGTAGGGAACAACAACACCTCTCTGATGGTGTTGGAGTTCGTCAAGAACATGGCCAATCTATCGATACCACAACCCCATCCAGCGGTTGGTGGCAAACCATATTCCAAAGCGTTGCAGAAAGTCTCATCCACCATTTGGGCCTCGTCGTCACCCTGGGCCTTCTGTCTGGCCTGCTCCTCAAACCTAGCTCTTTGGTCAAATGGATCGTTCAACTCGGTGTAGGCGTTACAGATCTCCTTAGTGGCAACGAACACCTCAAATCTCTCACACAAACCTGGAATATTTCTGTCCTTCTTGGCCAATGGAGACATCATTTGAGGGTGGCCAAAGATAAAGGTTGGGTTGATGGAGGCGTCCTCGAGCTCGCCAACCAACTTGTCCAACATTCTGGCGTTGGTCAATGGTGGAGTGCAGTCGAGCTTGTTGTCGATCAAGATTTGCTTCAAGAACTTACCGGTTTCCTCTGTGTGCAACTCGTCTCCTGGTGGGAACTTGACGTTGTAGACCTTCTCCAACTCCTCAATCATATTGACTCTCTTCCATGGTCTGGTGAAGTCCAAGGTCAAGGCCTTGCCATCTGGGCCGTCTGGGTGATAGGTGAGCTTGTAGTCACCGGTGATCTCCTTGACCATCTCTGAGAACATCAACTCGGTCATGTCCATCAAGTCGTACACGTCGGCGTAGGCCTGGTAGAACTCACACGTGGTGAACTCGGGATTGTGAGTCATGTCAATGCCCTCGTTTCTGAATTGACGGCCAATCTCGTACACTCTGTCCATACCACCAACGACCAATTCCTTCAAGAACAACTCAGGGGCGATTCTCATGTACATTTGCATGTCCAAGTCATTGTGGTGGGTGATGAAAGGCTTGGCCGTGGCACCGCCAGCAATCACGTTCAAAATAGGCGTCTCAACCTCGACGAAGTCCCTCGTGTCCAAAAATCTACGAATGTAAGAGATAATGGCAGATCTGACTCTGAAACGCTCTCTGACGTCGTCATTGACAATCAAGTCCAAGTAACGCTTTCTGTATCTGTTCTCCTGGTCCTTGAAGCCAAAGTGCTCGGTAGGCAACATGTGCAAACAAGGAGTCAACAACTGGATCGATGCAGCAAAGACAGAGAGTTCTCCCTCACCTCCCTTGGCTGGTGCGGTTCTTCCTGGGTACCCAGTAACACCGATAATGTCACCTCTTCTCAAGTTGTCATGCTCCTTTTCATAAACCTCCAAAGATTCGGCGTCCTGGGCTTGGGCCATCACTTGCATCTGAACACCGTCACCCTTCAAGACGTAAAATCTCAACTTAGAACCAGCCTCTCTCTTAGTCATGATTCTACCAGTGATTTTCACTTCCTGGTCCTTTAGGGTCTCGCCTCTGGCCAACCTTTCGTACTTCTTGACAAACTCAGGCACGGTCAAAGTACGAGAGAACTTGTGTGGGTAAGGGTTGAAGGCCTCGGAATCTTTCTCGTTGGCCTTTCTAAACTCCTCGATCTGGCGAGATCTGATGTCGTAGTATTGGTTAGGATTCAAGTCGGCCATGATGTCCTTTTTCTTGGGCTGTTTGTTGACATTGTTCTTGGCCTTCTCGGCCTTCTTGGCCTCGATCTGTCTGGTCTTTTGTCTCTTTTTCAACTCAGACTTCGACACTTGTTCTCCAGTGACGTCATCCAAGTAAGTCTTGGCGACTTGCTCCGCAACTTCGTTGACAGGGTCTGACATTTTCGGTGCTTTTGGTGGGGGATAGCGGTGGATTATCGAAAAATTTTCGCAGTTCTAATACTCACAACCTGCCCTGCGTATGGCCAAAGGTCTGCAACGTCCTACAAACGAGTTTTGCCATTTTCAAAGAGAATTCATTAAAATTGATATAGATCGAAATTTCCCAATGAGTTTGGCAGCAATAGATTTTTGATCTGCATGGGGGCCCTTTTCTTATCTCATGGATTGTTTTTTTTCAATTGAGAATAGAGGCATTATACTTTTGATCTCACAGTGGATTTAAATTAGAGAAGCAGGAGGGGTGCGGCCCATCCGTTCCTCTTGTTGAAAACTGCAAATGTCTTAGTTACTAGAGACAACCCGATTTGAATAAGAAAAACAAAACCTTCGTGTTTCCAGAGATACCATTTTAAAAACAAAACCTAGGGTTGCCGTTTTTTCCCGTTCCGAGACTAGCAGTGAACATAGACTGGATCTCGATCACTGCCTTCACATTCGCAATGCAAGGCTAGCCTTTCAGGTAGAAACTTCTTCAGGGACAAGAAATTACAATTAAGCATCATTCACTTTAGAATGCTGTTAGTTGAAGCACCAGACTTTCAACCATCGGATTCTGAGGCTTGGAAATCTGAAACTAGCTTCTCCGTCCAAGCACAATTAAGTCTGCTTCTCCGGACTATACGTGAGATGTACAGGCCTGTCACGAGAAGTTTTCTCGTGTGAAAATTTTGCCTAACAGTACGCTTGACCACCTAAACATCATGGCATCTAAACAAGCAGACAGGGCATTCGAGGCACCAACAGCCACGTCCATTGACATAGAGGGCAGCGTGTTGTTGTCTCTCATTAGACACACATCGGAAAACTACCCACAGCTCTATTCCGGATCTCTTTTGGGGTTTGAGGATGACAGTGGTGCCGTTGACGTTACCCACGCGTACCCTTTCCCATATCCAGACCAATATGAGGGAGGCTCTTTGCGCTCAAGAGGTGGTGCCAAGTACCAACAAGAAATCTTGGATGCGTTGGTTTCTTTGGGCCATGGTGTCGAGTTCCAGGGCTGGTTCCAGTCCACAATCTCCGGTAACTTCATCACCTCGCAGTTGGTGGAGGCTTTGGCCCAGCAGCAACAGGTCAACAAAAACGCTTTCATCTTGATCCACAACATGGCCTCGATTGGCAAAGAGGTGGAGGTCAAGGCCTTGAGGTTATCCGAGAACTTTCTTGCCACGTACCTGAAGGGCAAGTGGAAGACCAGAGACTTGGAGAACAACAAGTTGTCTTTCTTCAATATCTTCGACGAGATCACCATCAACATCCACAACCAACATTTGGTCAACATGTACTTGGCCCAAAGCGACGAGACGTCCACGTTGGGTGAGTCCGAGAACTTGACTTTCAACTCGAACTCCAACATGACCACCCAGTTGTTGGAGAACTTGTGCAGCCAAATCGACTCCTACAACTTCGATCAAACAAACTTCAACTACTACCAGAGGCAATTACAAAAGGAGCACACCAAGATTCTCCAGTGGAAGCAGAACAGAAAGGCTGAGAACGACGAGAGAGCCAAGATCGGCGAGCCCGAGTTGGACCCTGAGGAGTGGCAAACCATTTTCAAGGGACCAAATGGTCCTTCGAGATTAAACAACACTTTGTACTCGAGATCCATCGACGAGTTTGCGGACGACATTTTGAAGCAGTGCGACGAGGAGTTGCTCAAGAGCTTTGCTATCGAAAGAAAGCTCACTGCTCAAAACTAGACTGGGGGACGAGGCCATTGATATTGTATTCATAGGTTGATTAATAATTACGTGATATATCATATGTTAATTTTTTTTTGTTTTGCTTCCCTATTATCCTATGCATATTGGTTCAACTGCGATTGCGAGTCCTCAGGAGGTTCAGTAATTCCGCGTCAGCTATAGGCCAAAGCGGTTTAGGCATAGGCCCTGGCTAGATGAACCGACCGAGGAATCCAAGAGCAGAAAACTAGTATCATTTTGGGTAAGGCTAAAAAAAGCATCGAGTCATTATTCCGAGTCATATTTCGACTGGCAGAAGCAGGTGTTCATTGAAGGAACTCCGATAGTGGATTCTGATTTGTGAGTACACACAGTACAGAAACGCCGCGCCTGCACTCTCTTGAAATGGGCAGATCTACGATCGAACTTAAAATACAATCCAGCTAACCTAGCTTCAAGTTCTTTTTTTGCATACTACGATTCATTTCAAATGGGCAAACCTAAAGTATGTACCTGAATAGCGTTTTCAGCCAAGATCTATACTAACCATCGACAGTACATTCTTTTGGTAAGACACGGCGAGTCAGAGGGCAATTGCAATAAGCTAGTCAATCGTTACACCCCTAACCACAAAATCTGCCTTACAGAACAAGGTCACAGTCAGGCCTCTCAGGCAGGTTCTGTACTCAAAGAGTTTCTCACCCAACTCGAGGAAGAGAGAGATGGCGGGGCTAACCCCAGGAGCGTTATGTTCTACACATCGCCATATTTAAGAGCACGACAGACATGCGAGAACATCATAAAGGGCATTAAGGACGTGCCAGGTGTTGACTACCGCGTCAGAGAAGAGACCAGAATGAGGGAACAGGATTTTGGAAACTTCCAAAGCACACCGGAGGAGACGGAGCAGATTTGGGAACAGAGAGCTCACTATGGCCATTTCTTCTTTAGGATACCTCACGGTGAGAGTGCTGCAGATGTCTATGATAGAATAGCGTCTTTCAACGAGTCGCTCTACCGACAGTTTCAAAATGACTCTTTCCCAAATGTGCTTGTTTTGGTCACACATGGTATCTGGGCACGGGTGTTTCTAATGAAATGGTTTAGATGGAGCTACGAAGAATTCGAGTCTCTACGAAACATACCGCACTGTCAGTTCTTGGTGATGAAGCAGGTGGCCAACAAGGCTTACAAACTAAAGACACCGTTGAGAAAATGGGACGATTTACCCGACTCGGATGTAGACGACGAGGTTGCCAAGGAGTTTACACAAGAGGTGACTTTTAACACGAAAGGAAACATGAATAACCCGGAAGACCTCGATATTGCCAGCATTTTGCGAGCTCAGAGGGACGCTATAAAAGAGAACAGAAAGAAAGATCAAGAGTTGAAGAATATTTATCGGCAGTCGATGTGCAAGTATCTGGACTGCCACAAGATAGTAGGGGACAACAGTGTTTTCAACAGCCGAGAAAACGTGCCTTTGTATCTGAAGTCCAGTGACGAAAAGTCGCTGATTGAGCTGTAGAGGTGACGCAGGAGAATCAAAACATTTGTTTACATCTATATTCGTCAAAAAATCATATAGTTTAGAATTTGCTTTTCAGTCCTTCTAAATTCCTTCAATGGAAGCAATTACTAGCCATCTATCCTCGCGTGATCGTGTGGCGCACTGTAAGCGCATAATGTCGCACAGCAAGAACGTTGTGTGCCTACGCCCAGGGGAGCAGCCTTATCCACTGCACATGACGGAGCATGTAGTGAGTTATTGATTTTGAGAACTGTGGCCTGAAAGACACAAAATTTTCATCAGCAAACAGGCCTGTACTGCAAGAGATGAATAACTTGCCTTTTCAAGTGAGGGGTCAACAAAAGAGTGCGTCATTGTTGCGTAGATCTTCCCCGGAGAAAGCCATATGCTGTGGTGCATGATTGTCCATGTATATGCATTCTTCTGGCTCGCCGCGAGCCGGTCCCCCGGTATTCCTCGGGGAAGAATCGCCCACGCATACGCCATACATGCTGGAGCAAAAAAATATATAATGCCCGCGCAGTCCTACCCCGGAGCTTGTATGCCAGCTAGTTAGGGAACATTGTCTAATTTTCCATCTTTTTCTTATCCATCACAACAAAAACAATCAACAAAAAATGGCTCGTCAATTCTTCGTCGGAGGTAACTTCAAAATGAACGGATCTAAGGAGTCCCTTTCCGCCATTGTCGACAACTTGAACAAGGCTGACTTGCCTCAAAACGTCGAGGTGGTTATTGCTCCTCCAGCCCCATACCTTTCTCTTGTTGTTGAGGCCAACAAGCAAAAAACCGTCGAGGTTTCTGCCCAGAATGTTTTCGCCAAGGCCTCTGGCGCCTATACGGGTGAAATTTCTCCTCAGCAATTGAAGGACTTGGGTGCCAACTGGACCTTGACCGGCCACTCTGAGAGAAGAACCATTATCAAGGAGTCTGACGAGTTCATTGCCGAAAAGACCAAGTTTGCTTTGGAGTCTGGAGTCAGTGTCATTTTGTGTATTGGTGAGACCTTGGAGGAGAAGAAGGCTGGTGTCACGCTTGACGTCTGTGCCAGACAATTGGATGCTGTGTCGAAGATTGTTTCCGACTGGTCCAACATCGTTCTTGCCTACGAGCCAGTCTGGGCGATCGGCACCGGTTTGGCTGCCACCCCACAGGACGCTCAGGACATTCACAAGGAGATCAGAGCTCATTTGGCCAAGACCATTGGTGCTGAACAGGCTGAGGCAGTCAGAATCTTGTACGGTGGTTCCGTCAACGGCAAGAACGCCACTGAATTCAAGGACAAGGCTGACGTCGACGGCTTCTTGGTGGGAGGTGCTTCTTTGAAGCCGGAGTTTGTCGACATCATCAAGTCTAGATTGTAAGTGTATCGCATGACTCTTTACATACGATAAATACGAGTATATTCCAATTCTAAGAAAGATGTAAGGATAGAGAGTTTTTCTGCACAATTAAGTTGCATTCCGCTTCCGACACGCCCTTGCTCTTGCTTATGTGGGCCTGTATTTTATACAACTGCTCGAAGTACTCATCCTCACGCCCGCTGAGGAAATATCGGTCGATTGGCATATCTGTCTCAAACAAGATATGATCTTCGGGGATCAACGTCGTTAACTCGCTTAGGCTTGCAACCCTGTCGCCTTCACCATTGATGAAGTTTGAAAATGAGAAATAAAGATTTCGCCTCTGTTTGGAAAATTCCTTTACCCATCTCATTGCTTGATCCGGCGACCCCGTGTAAGAATGTAGCGTGACAGATGGAATTTCGAGAAACGAGGAGTGCACTATATCGAAAAATGGACCGTGCGCTTTAACACAATGAAGAGAAACAGGCTTTTCAAGTCTGTTGGCTAGTTCAAGTTGTCGGACGAATACCGCTCTCTGGTGTTCCATCAGCACCTTTGCAGCCGTGAGCTTCACCCCGGTTTTAAAATCTTGATTACCGTAAAATCCATTACTGGGTATGCGAAAAAGCTTATCAAGGCCAATTTCACCAATTGCGTAAGCTTTTCTCATAGAATGGCATATTTGGGTCAATTCCATGATTTTCTGTATGTGGTCTTCAAGATAGATTGGATCAGGGAGTAAATCGAGCAAATCTTCGGGTAGACTGCTGAGCACCAGGCTATAATGCTCGATTTTACTGAGACTAGGATCAATAGAAAATAAGTGGGAATACCACGGATGAATTCCAAAATGAGGAACCAAAATATTGCTCTCGTCTAAATTTATCAACGCGGCAAGAAATTCTAGATCAAGGCGGTTAGTCGACATGACATTAAAGAAGCCTTCTGATGAGATCCTGCGATCCTGGTTCAATTTTTGCATCAACTGCTCTGAATCCCGGAGATGTGCATCGACACCAAGATGACAGTGGCAATCCATGTAATACATGTCGGTGAATAGTAACCGAAGAATAAGACTATAAGTTAGATTCACATGAGATGTTTTGAGGCAGTGTTTTTCATGCGCGCAGCAATCAGTGCGGGCTCGGATTGAAAATAGCCACGCGTGTTGCTGCTGCCACAAACCTTAATTACCAAGAATTGCTAGAATCATACTTGCTTGCTTCTCGAATTGGAATTGGGCGCTCTCCGGTTCTTTACTAATAATTATTATAAAGTGCCCCAAGTCTCTCATTCATTTGGAGGCATCCACCTTGGCCTGTCTTTGTGCTTGCTTCTTTCATTGCTAAATAGCCAAAGGAGAATACGAAACAGTCAAATTTTATCACAAATTGTACTTTGAAAACTTTCCAAGGACTTATAGTGCACCAGAATAAAATCAAGAAAACCTCCGATTTTCATTTTCATTGTCTCCGGTAGTGGCGGCCATATCGAAAATAACAATATACAGTGTTGAGCCTGTCCTACATAGTCACGCGGCTCAGTGCAATCGAAGAATACTAATTGCTTCTACGAGACACTGCAACACAATTAATCCAGTTGAGCACCAACCTCAAAATGACGGTCATTGTTGGATCTTTGTAAGTATTACTCGTGAGTTTTAATCCGACACCCTGCAACATTACTAACTCGTCCAGTTTTTTGCCATACACGGTCAAGTTTGAAGTAAACTCCATAAACGAGGACTTAGTCAAACCAGAGCCCGAATTAGAACACTTCAATGCTGAATCCTCTCCACCGAACTCCCTGAAATCCAATCTTCTGGAGACGGGCGATTCGATTCTCCCTTCTTTAAGTGGGGTAAACTCTTTCTCGCCTCACAATAGTAGCGGCTCGTCGCCTTTCGCTGGGAGAAAGGAACAAGACCACGGTTCAACCACAGATCTTTTCGCAAAACAGAAGAAACCTTCGTCTGGCTCTTCCTCTTCTGCAGGTACTCCTAATGATATTCAGCGGCCTCAATTGGTCCAGCCACGCTCGAGGTTTAGCACGCCGTTGGTATCCAGTTCTGTCATTGAAAAGAGAAAATCTATGGAAGGAATGCCTGGAGTAAAGTTCACTCATAGTGGCTCTTTCTCTGGCAACAGTGGCTCTGCCTCAGGGAAGAGCGGCTCGAACTCTGGAAATAGTGACTCCAATTTCGCATCTCTTGAAATTGCCGGGCCTTTGGCAAAGCTGGGAGCGGCAAAATCCCTATTGAATGTGGCACACATGAACCACAGCAGTAGCTCGATTACACCTGCTAAAGAAGATGAGTCTGATTTCTCCAAGATTTCTAAGTCCAGACCTATGTCAAACGCGCGTGAACCATTTAATTTGGCTACGGGTCTCATCGATGACGAGGACGGGGTACCTGGCAAGTTGGCTCCGTTTGGTGGATTTTCCAGAAGTGATTTAAAAGATGTTATTTTGGGAAATGAAAATATATTTCTGACTGCGCCTTGGACGGTCGTGAAGTCAGACAGAGGCAATGGTTCGCTTTTTAATGCTATCAACCTAGCTGTGGGAAAAGAGGTTATAGACCATTGTAAATGGGTTGGAGCTATGGCTCTGCCAAGCGATCTCATTCCTCAGAACGTTTTGGAAGACATAGCTGATCACTTGCGCGAAAACTATGACTGTGAATCTGTGCTGATTGATGATATGACCTTCCAGGGCCACTACAAGTCTTTTTGTAAGCAAGTTTTGTGGCCAACTCTTCATTACCAAATTCCCGATGACCCTAAATCCAAGGCATTTGAGGAGCATTCTTATCACTTCTACAAACTAGCAAATCAGCTAGTCGCTGACAGAATTGTTGAGACGTACAGAGAGGAGAAAAACCACCTTAACCCAGATAACCCTGAAAACATGATTTGGATCCATGACTACCACTTGCTTCTAGTGCCTGCCATGGTCAGAGAACAATGCCCCGAAGCAAAAATAGGATTCTTCCTCCATGTCTCATTTCCTTCCTCGGAGGTATTCAGATGTTTAGCTCAAAGGAAGCCGTTGCTAGAGGGGCTCTTGGGTGCAGACTGTATTTGTTTTCTGAATGAGGAATACGTGAGACACTTTTTGCAAACTTGCAGCAGGATTCTTCTCACAGATCTGAATGAGCTTGGGCTTATATTTCGTGGAAAGGTTACCCGAGTACAGGCCATTCCCGTGGGAGTAGACGCAACAAACTTAGAAAGTACTCTCAAATCTGAAGAAGTTTGTAACTGGAGAAAGATGATTCGTGATCGCTGGCTGACTCAATCGCTAATCGTGTCGCGCGATAAGCTAGACAAGCTCCGGGGGATCAAACAGAAACTCCTAGCCTATGAAAGATACTTGCTTAACGATCGCAAGCGCATCGAGAACACTGTGCTATTACAAATCTTCAAGGGAGAGACAAAAGACGATGACTACGAAGCTGAAGTGCTGCAAATAATATCACGCATCAATTCAATGGCAGATAATCTATCTGCGACGCAGCCCGTGATTGTACTTCACCATGATATTGACTTTGATCAGTACTTAGCCCTCCAAGCCGAGGCAGACCTATTCATTGTATCTTCAATGAGAGAGGGGCTCAATCTCACTTGCCATGAGTTCATTATCGCAACCTCACAAAAGAAAGCTTCCTTAGTTCTTTCGGAGTTTACAGGCTCCTCTCCTCTTCTCGATTGTAATGGAAAGGGGGCGTTTCTTATCAACCCTTGGGACATATCAACATTTGGCAAGACCATTGGTACTGCGTTGGAGATTTCTGACAAGGAACGAGAGGAGAGATGGCGCAATTGTCATGGAGTTGTCCTCAAACACGATTCTCTCGATTGGGCAAAGTTGTGTTTAAAGGCCATAAAAGAAGGCTGGATAAGGAACAAGGAAAAGACCTTCGCACACCACAAGCCATTTTCAAGAGAAGTCTTTCGCAACTTTCTTGATGACGCCAAACAGAAAAACTTGATTGTAATAAATGTTGATGACTTTGGTGCTGCTGCCGTGAATGGAAGCCATGGGCATAAAAGCACAATTGAATTATCAAGAATCGGCACAAATCTCGCTGAGCTTTTGAGTAACCGAAGAAACTATGTCTTTTTCGCCAGTATCATGAGGAGGTCGGAGCTTGATTTGATCTTTAAAAATGTTCCATATGTGGGGTTAATTGCTGAGTTTGGTGGATTCATCCAATTTCCTGACACAACAAGCTGGGTTTCAATTACCAATAAAGATAAGGCGGTGACTGGCATGAACCAAGTTGCACGCATGTTCCAAACTAAGTCACAAGGATTGTCGGGTTCGAAAGTTGTGATCAACGATTGTACCATTAGGCTAGCTGCACAAACTGCCATGACCCAAGACCCGAAAAGAAGCTTGGACGTCATGGGTGAATGTGTACAGATGGTCAATGACTCCTTCGGTGAAGCGGAAGGCTTGCATGCTACAATTGTTAATGATAGTGTCGTGGTGCAACAAAAAGATACATCTTTACAGGCTTTCAAGTTCCTATATTCCTTCTATACGGGCGCTTTACCGGCTATTGAATTGACCCAAAAGTTCATGATGAAAAGAGCTGAGTCTAGTGGTGATATTTTTGATGTTCTGTCCGAATCCCGTTCACCTGAGGTCCACCTCCCAAACATCGATGAGAAGATAAAGAATATATTTTATGCTGGTGGGCTCAATCCCTTGGATGAAAATATTTATGACTTCATCACTTCACTCGAGAAACAAGGATCTTTGCGTCTTGGTCTTACAGTTGCTGTTTGGGATGGAATAAAAGAAACGCGGACCTCAGCCAAATACGTCGCAACTGGTCAAAACGAACTTTTGGCCATCATATCTGATAGAAATCAGTAAAGTCAATCAACATTTAGAATTGTGGGTCTTTGTAACTAGCGCCAGCAAGTTTATTTAGTTCATCAAAAGCTCCAAAGAATTCACCAGCCTGAGCGTCAGAAACTTTGTCCATCCTATCCCAATAATAGTTTAAAAATTCATCTTCGCTGACTGTGTTTGCCCCGCTTGGTCTGCTAACGAGCCAAAGTGTCTCCTTTGATTTTTTATGGGTCTCTCTGTCATCTTCCATTCTCGCAAGGATCTGCTTTCTTGAAAGTAAATTTTCATTTATCTTTTTCAGAGGGTCTGGTCTAGAGGGACGGATAAGAAACATGTCATCCTCCGTCACCTCACCGTCTTTGAATGGCTCATGCTTCAAAAGCCTGAGTCTTTCATAATGACTTTGCTGTCTTTTTTTCAAAAGGATTTGCCAAGCCTGCAAAACAGGATCTTGATACTCCATCTTCATATCCTCCAAGGTTATTTCTGGATATGGTATGTTCATGTTTACATTTTCTAGCTCTTCATCCGTGAGCGAAGACTCAACATCATTGAATTTCAGTTCAAAATCAGAGTAATTAACATTCAACGCCTCAGAAATATTCTTTAAGTTATCATGTATGTTGAACAAATTGGCGTTACTATTGGATGGGAGCACTTTAATGAGGATCTTTGGCAACAGATTTTTAAGGTTGTGCACGTATGGGTAGTTGTAGTTCGTGTGTGCTTGTTGAGAAGCATGAAATGACTCGTGTATCAAGATGTCTATGAACTGAAAAATTGTGGACTTGGTGTTCAATTCGACCTTCTGATCTTCAAGTATGTCAATGATCGCATAGTATAGATAGTCTTCACTTTCTGCATTTTTGAGTGCATAATGGGCTGCTTTCAAAAGTGACTGAGCTTGAGGAACAAGACTTTTTAAGATCTGAACGAACTGAGAGCTCGTCTCGAAGGAATCCATGATTGCTGAGTGGATGGACGAAGAGTGTCAAGCGGTATAAAAGACATGGGCAGGGTAAAACACCCGTACACCATTAACTAATGTAGTGGAGAGCGAGTTTGGAGGTCTTTTGTTTATTCATGACTTATGGGTTATATAAAGCGGCATTTGACATTCGTCAGTTGATGAATTAATCAATGGTATGAAGTAAGTATGTTTGCACGATGTGGCATACCAACTGTAATAAACTCACGTGACCTTACACTCGCAGGTGTGTGCTATCAAGAATGACCTAAAAAGGAGAAAAGTATCGGTTCGCTCATTTCTGGTTCTCATTTTTCGTTCAAATTTTTGTGTAGCATGAATAAATCTTCTAAGTTCGAATCGAATAGCGAATGTCGTCACCTGGTTATCGTGAATCGGTGAGTACATATTACACCTGCCCGAGGCACATCCGTGCCTCCTCACAGAGACATAAAATTTTTTCGTTAGGCTGACGCTTCACGGCTTCTTTCGTTAAACGTTTCAAGATGGGTAAATCTTCTAAAGGAAAGGGCGGAAAGAACAGAAGAAAGGGAAAGAACTTTAACGGTGGTCAAAAAAGAGAATTAATCCTTAGGGAAGAAGGCCAAGAATATGCCCAAATCACCAAGATGTTAGGTAACGGAAGACTCGAAGTCAGCTGTTTCGACGGAATTAAGAGAATGGGCCACATCAGAGGTAAATTGAGAAAGAAGGTCTGGATGGGCCAAGGTGACATTATTTTGGTTTGTTTAAGAGATTTTCAAGACGACCAGTGTGATGTTGTTCACAAGTTCAACTCTGACGAGGCCAGAACTTTGAAATCTATGGGTGAGTTGCCAGAATCGGCCAAGATTAACGAGACTGACACATTCGGCGCTGACGATGACGAGGAAGTCAACTTCGAGTTCGGTGACGATGACGATGACGATGACGATGATGACGATGAGTTGGACATCGACGATATCTAAGCGCGTCCCCGCTGGCGCTCATTAATTTATATCAATGTGTTTATAATCTCTAAATGTAAAGTATACTTGGCTGCGTCCGGGTCTCCCACACTACTGACTATACGTAACTATAGCAAGCAAAGAAGTCTTTGACTTACAATTGTGACATGAGATGCAAAGATAAGTATATTACAGTAGAAACTATAAAATGTAGTAAATGAATGCAAAAAGCTTAGTTGACCAAAGCGGAGGCGGTGGCAGACTCGTACTTCCAGTTTGGTGGCAAGACAGCAACGGTTCTGTAGTATCTGGCCAATCTGTGGATTCTAGACTCGATCAAAATCAATCTGAACTTGGAGTCCTTGTCCTTTCTGTTTCTCTCCAAGTGCTTTCTGACAGAGACAGCCTTCTTGATCAAGAAGTACAAGTCCTCTGGGATCTCTGGAGCCAAACCGTTGGATTTCAAGATTCTCAAGATCTTGTTACCGGTGACAACCTTAGCTTGGGAAACACCGTGAGCATCTCTCAAGAGAACACCGATCTGAGAAGGAGTCAAACCCTTTCTGGCGTACTTGATGATGTGCTCAACAACGTCACCAGAGGTCAACTTGAACCAAGATGGAGCGTTTCTAGAGTATGGGAGAGCGGAGGAAGAAATACCTTTTCCCTGATATGTTAGTAAGCCTGCAGCGGCAAAAATTATGGCAGCCGAATTTTGGCTCAACGACATCATCCGTGGTTGGCGCGATGCGCCAGTGCCTTTCAGGGAATGAGTTCTGTGATCTGAGCCAGTGAGACGAATCTGTCTCCACACGTGAGGAGCATCACCTCTCACGTGACAAGGCCGAATGAGTATCGTTGATTGGTCTACAAATAGCGGAATCGACCAGCAAAAGAGACATGCTTTTGGCAAACATCGGTTTATTCCAGGAGACGGAAATAACACAAGTTCACCACGGAGTGGTATCATGTACCAAGAGCTTTTCTTGAGAGTCGCCCCGAAAGGTTCCCTCTACTCTTAGCAAGACCCAGACTTCCAAAGCAGCCCACCGAATCGACCCAAGTCACTATTCAACCAAACCATGCTGTTCGTTGAACAAGAAGCAAGTCACATACAGAAGAGTGCATACGACCCATGGTTGCTGATTTTTTTTTGGTTGTATTATAAAACAGGGAGAGATGAGCGGACTGACACGGCTATATATGGCTAAAAAATTTTCAAAGCGCGCGTGTGCCTCGCACGACTGCGAGCTGGGCAACGACTCGCATTAGAATATGGTCTCAGTTTTACTCAGCAGTAGCTGATCTACCTAGAGCGCGATTATAGCCTGGGTCCGCAGGCCGAGGAACTAATGGAATCTTGTCTCAATGTCTTCGAAATCCTCTTCGTCATCAATTTCGATTAATCTGAAAATTAGTAAAGTGTCGGGAAGTCTTGTGGCTATGCATGCAGACGCGTTGTGGTTTCATGGTGTTTGTGATAAATAGTATCATCATGAAAGATTATGACCGTTCGCAACATATCACCCTGGAAACACGAGGCATGGCTCTGCCACAAGAAAATGGATATACGTACTGAGATACTCCAGCTTTTTCTCTCATCAATTCTACGGCTCCCGCGTAGAGCATTTTGCTCTCTTGCCCGCACGTAGGGGGTCTCCAGTAGACCAAAACAAGAGGACTTTTCAATCTTCCATCCAGTAGTTTCATAGGATAGGAAAGCACCACATACCTGGGTGTGTTATCTGGGAGTTCTTCAATAAGATCTTCAATAGAAGTCACGGGCCCTTTGGACTCTGCCACTACCTGGTATGACTGCTTGTCAATGACGTCTGCATGTTAGTTGTTTCGTTCCAAGCTTTAGATGTGTAATCGATCACTTACATATCACTGCTTGCATGGATGTTGCTCTCGCACTAGCAAAACGAAACTTCTGAAGATCAGATAGTGTCTGGGAGCTGAATGTGTACAACGAGGGGGCCTAAGATTAGTATGCTGCTTTTTCCCTGGAGGGCATGTATTTTTTCTTTAAATCTCGATACTCATACCATGATCGTGATGCTGTTTGGAACGATAAGAAACTCTGGTAAAGGCTGTGGCCCTAGAGTGGCGGAGCGGCCCGGCGCGCGAAAGTCGTCCAGGCCCTATCCAGAGATCTTCGCAGCTATTCTGAGCTGAAGAAATGTTATCTACAAGGCGCTTTTTCAAACGCGGATATCTAACTGCGTCTGGATATATAGGAATATTTGAAAGACAAGCTCTAATCGAGTAGCACAAGATCACACTTTCTTTGTAATGTATTTAGAACGCGAGACGTCGCACGACCTGAGCAGCCACCCTAATGTCGCGGTACTGATATCGGACCCGCGATCATTATGAAACCAAAACAGGCTGAAACATAAACATCATTCGAAACGATCATTTTCGCACGGAGTGGAAAGTATCAAGAGTTGATCGCATTTGAAGCAACAACACAGCAGAAAAAAAAACACAAAGAAATCAATAAGAAAAGGCAGAACCTATTCATATCCGTCAAAGCAAGCCATCAAAAGCAGATCACCGGCCGCAAACTTGAGACACGGGTCTTTCAATAAAACTTCACAAAGTCACCCACATTCGCTCACCAAAAATACCATTATCATTGTCTATTCCTCGTCTGTAACCAAACTCCTGACGTCAGCACACACAGACTATGCCGAGAATATCTCTGGGCATTCCCATGATAGAATTTTTGAAAAGTATGTATATCTTGTTGAGGTTTGTCTTCTCCTCGGGTTGTCATACTAACTTGCGCAGATCGTATATACCTAGGTGCATATGACTATGCCCCAGAAGACACATCCGATTTGGTGTATTTCACTGTGGAAGATTCCTTGCCCTACAACGCGTTCCACTTAGATTTTGGCCCGTTACATATAGGAACTCTATACCGCTTCGCCGTAGTGCTTCATAATATCTTGAACGAGGTTGGAAACCTGGGAAAAGCCGTGGTCTTCTACAGCTCCACATCCCCAAAAGAGCGAGCAAACGCTGCTTGTCTACTTGCGTGCTACATGGTGCTTGTTCAATCATGGGCTCCTCATCAAGTCTTACAACCAATCTCACAAGTCGAGTTTCCCTTTGCGCCATTTAGAGACGCGGGTTATTCTTCCGCCGACTTTGAAATCACGATCCAGGACATAGTTTATGCTTTGTGGCGGGCGAAAGAACGCGGAATGATTGACTTGACCACGTTCAATTTGGAGGAATACGAACAATATGAGCGCGTGGACCAGGGGGATTTCAACAACATATCCAAAGACTTTATTGCATTTGCGTCCCCGCAGCAAAGTTCCAGAAGACCAGGCAGTTTAAATGAACCTTTCAAAAAAGTCTTGAACTATTTTATGAGCAATGATGTGCAGCTTGTTGTGCGTCTTAACTCGCACTTATACAATGCTGAGGAATTCACCAAAAGGAACATTCAGCACATCGACATGATTTTTGAAGATGGCACCTGTCCCACTTTAGAATATGTGCACAAGTTTATTGGTGCCGCGGAGTGTGTCATAAATAAAGGAGGCAAAATTGCCGTTCATTGCAAGGCTGGTTTAGGAAGAACAGGTTGCCTTATTGGGGCACACCTCATTTACACTCATGGTTTCACTGCGAGTGAATGTATCGCATATATGAGAATGATTCGTCCAGGAATGGTGGTTGGACCGCAGCAACATTGGTTGTATTTACACCAGAATGACTTTAGGGATTGGAGACATACGATGTGCCTTGACAACAGACCAGATCCATTTATTGGTGGCCTTTTCTCCATGGTGCCGTACGAAGATTTCAAAGCTAGGATGAAACAAGAAGCTAAGCAACGGCGACTTCGAGATCAACAAATGAACTCATCCTATGCGAGCAACTTTGATTCATCTTTCAACACTCCGACGAGAAGAAGAAAAATCAGCGGTGCCTTGGCCTCCAAAATACAGAGTGTGGTTCCGATAGAGTCTCCAGGTCAGCCGAGAAAATATAAGGAAGCAGACACCTCTATTGTCCACGATGTATTGAACAACTCAGATGATGATGGCGAGGCGATGCAAGGTGTTGAAAACACTTTTGATATGGTGGAAGAAGAGATCAATCCCGGCGATGCCCAAATCACCCATAGTTCGCCCAAACGAGACATAAACGACTGGAAGGTATTGAGGTCTCTCTCCACAAACAGCACGGGTCAACCCTTGTCAATGACCAAAACTACCACTACGACGACCACAAGAACAGTAAGCACAACCTTGAGCTCTTCGCCAACCACGCCCAAGATACCCAAGTCGCGGTCTGGTACGAAAGTCCTCCCGGGCATTCTTCCGGGCAAGAATGCTTCCAGAATCCACTCTGGTGGAATAAGAAAGGTGAGTGGTAAAAAGTTTTGAGACTGAACCATAGCACGCATCTCCGCGACCTATTTGTCATCATTTTATTTTCATTCCTTAATTGTATTACGTACATGATATATTTGGTACTACTGTACTCACACTGCTTCCTCTTCGTAGACAGGTTGCTCGATCATAAAGTCAGCATCGTCAGTAAACTTGAATCCTATTATATCATAATCGTTTAACACCGTCAGTTCGATTGCCAGATCATCTAAAATGGGGATCCACTCATTAGAATAGGGCGCGTCCTTCGTTCTTGGGTACGCTAGCTCAATGTCCTCCGGTGCAACTTGAACCTTGTCTTCCGTGTCGATCAGCTCAACGAGACGAAGTCCACCAGACGAATTTATTGCATGCACCAAAGAACTGATGAAGTGATCCACAGTTAGGTTTTTCTTCTGATTGAGAATGAGAGAAATGACATAGGTTGACCTTGCTCGCTTGAATTTAACGATTGTTATTTCCGCTTTAGGAGGCTTAAAGTTAGTTTGTGAAATACTGCGGATATTGAGACAGCTTTTTTGTCCTTTCTATCACATACCATGTTCCAAACTCGTTATTGATGTTGGCGCATTCGACTTTCTAGGGGCGCGGTGCGCCGACTTGAGCAGGCTAGATACTTAGTGCGAGCAAGAGTAGTGCGCCATGTTCGAGGTAGTCCCTAATTAATTGGTGCGCCATCAAAAAAAGCAGTTCATTCTAAAATTTATCTCTCAATGGCCGGGTAATACGTTGCATATTGTGCTATCAAAATTGATCGTTTGAAGGCGGAAGGGTGTCTTTTGGTACTACACTTAAGCGATGGCAGCCATGTAAGCGGCTCTTTTTGACATCCAGGTTCCCCACAAGATTGACGCTATTTTTTTTTTCTCTCAAAGAAATTCCGAATATCATCATGAGAAAGCTCTTGTGAGCTGAGTCACACAAAACTCAGTCCGGAAAATATTACGTCAAGGCACCATCTTTCAATTCGAATGACGTGTCGCGCAGCTCCATACCAACGGAATTTCGAATGATCATCAGCTATATAAACTATCACCAGAATATTGTATCAGAATATCATTTACAGGAAAGAGGGATAAAGCAAAAATGATTCAAGCCCTCAAATTTAAAAACACTAAAAGTACGAAAGAGGTAATTCCATCGCCGTTTTCCCATATACACCTGCTCTTTCAATGATATTCTCGCCTTGCTGGTGTGTGAGCGCGCAGTTATTCATAGCAGCTGTTCAGAATCTGCAGTCAGCAGCTACTCTAACTGGAAAACAAACCAATGTAGGTATGCGATGCTTTCCTACGGTCTCCACAGATCAGTCTTTTATCTCAAGAAGCATATCAATTATTGTTCCTAAAAAGTTCGGAACAACAATTTCGGAGAATGCTATCAAATTTTGCAAGCTTTGCGACGAACGAAGCCAGCCGGCGCAGTCCCCGTTCCGGATTTCCAAATTTCGTCGCGATATTATACTGCAAGTTCAGCTGCAGAATTCCGTTGAAAATTCCGTTGAAAATTCCGTTGCGATGCTCAATGACTTACCCCGGCAATAAATAGCTGCGATAGTCTCGTTAGGCGAGATCTGGGACATAAATCAAACATGATATTTTCAGGCTCTGAAGCTCTTCACGTGCTTCCTTCTGAAAGGGTTGCAATTCTGGTCAATGACTTAAAGGTTACTGTGGGTCCAAAAGATGCAGAGAGTGGCACGATCTCAATTCTCGACTCAATTTCCTTTGATCTACCACATAGCAACTTGATGGCAATAATGGGGGGCTCAGGCTCCGGGAAAACAACACTTCTCAATGTTTTGGCTCAGAGGACAAACGTAAATTCTGCATCGTTGAAATTTTCGGGCTCGGTGACATATTCGTTCCCGCAAACCCGTGAAAAAAACAGAATTTCCACTGCCTACATGGTCCAAGAGGACTTCTTCATGCCTGGGCTCACCCTTGGAGAGGTGTTGAAATATCAAGCAGAGCTAAGGCTTGGAAATGTTACAAAAGAAGCTAGGTCTGAGCTCATTGACACTTTGCTAGAACTCTTAGAACTAGACCGCAGACGAAATGAAATTGTGAAATCGTTTACGGGGCAGGTCAATCTTTCTGGTGGTGAGCAGAGAAGACTTTCACTAGCTATCCAGTTGTTGAGTCGACCACAAGTTCTCTTCTTAGATGAACCCACTACGGGTCTCGATACGTCCTCGGCATTGACCCTTGTATCTGTCTTGAAGAAACTAGCGTCTCCAGAGATTGGTATAACTATTATTCTCCTGATCCACCAGCCTCGTGCGGAAGTCATGTCGCTTTTTGACAAACTTTGTGTGTTGACTCGTGGGGGTAGGCTCGTATACTTCGGGTCCTTGGCAGCATCTACTGGTTTCTTTACGGGGTTGGAAAGCACAGGCATGATTCTGAAAGTTGATTCCGCTCGGGACTCGTTCAGTGTTTTCAATAAAATAATGGCCGTTCTGGTCAAAGATACTACTTCTATAGAGAAGGAAATTGAATCCTCTAGAATCACAGATGCGCTCGTGCAACATTGGAGAGCACAACATCCTTCCAACTGCATCTTGTCACCATCAGAGCAGAAACAAAGGTTTCATGAAAATCTTAAAGTGTTTAAGCCGGCTGAGCCCTTGCCATTATACAAAGAAATATCTGTTCTTGCGAGAAGATCCACTTTAATTTCAATCCGGGACAAAGTTTCTCTTCTCACTCTTCATGGGGGTGGCGCCATTTTGGCTGTTATTGTTGGCTGGTTATTTTTCAAGCCTGATCCAAATATTTCGGGTATTCGCTCAATAACCTCATCCCTCTACTCACTGTTGGAAGTAATTGGGATTTCTCCGTTGACCATGGAAGTGTCAAGACTCTGGGCTGCGGATGGGATTCAGTTTATCAAAGAGTACAAAGAACGGTGTGTTTCCATAAAAGGGTATGTTATTTCAAGAAGATTGAGCAAATTTTTTGTTGAAGATGTTCCCCTAGCTTTGATATTCTCGGTCATTACATACTTCATGTGGGGTCTCAGGCTTGGTGATACGTACAAAGATTCGGGGGATGGAAAGTATTTTGGAATCTATTTCACAATCATTCTTATCGTGGTTATTTGTGGAATGTCCTTGGGCTTGTTATGTTTCGCCCTAACGTCCTCTTTCTCATTGTGTCTCATGCTCGTTAATGTGGTTTATCAGCTACAAAACTCAGGTTGTGGATATTTTGTCAATGCGGCAACAATGCCTGTTTATGTTCGTTGGGTTAAGTATATTGCTTTCTTCTGGTACGCATTTGGGGGGCTCACCTCAAACCAGTACACTAATTGGGAGGGAAATTGTCCGTATACTTCTGGCAGCAGCGAGTGTGTGGAATACACTGGGGATTACCAGCTTGAAGTGCTCGGGTTCCCACAGAATTGGGCAGGTGCCGCCATTGGGTACTTGATAGCTTGGTTGTTTGGATTCAACATTTTGACAATGATTGCATTCTATTTCAAGAGCTATGATGTGGAGATTGCAAAGAAAAAGAAAAATCGTATTGGAGGTGAATCTGCTGAACCCCACTCCCTTGATCTGCTTTTGTCGGCATCTCTGTCAAACGAAAAAGATGCCGATATGCCTTCTGGACCTTCCATCCAAACAAAAAACATTACTTTGAGTGTGAAAGTAAAAAGTTCTCAAAAAATGTTAGCTGCCAAGACTCCCAGGGTGTTGCTTGACAACGTTACAGCAGACTTCAGATCTAATTCTGTTAATGTTATCATGGGTCCTTCAGGCGGTGGAAAAACGACGTTCTTAAACTTCATGGCCTCTCGACTTGGCAACTCATCATTTTCTAGCAGTGGTCAGATATTCTTGAATCATTGTCAAGAGGTGAAACCATCCATGTTATCAAAGTTATCAGCATACGTCACTCAGACAGATAATCTCTTGATTCCTCAACTTACAGTCAGAGAAACATTGTACTACCAAGCATGCTTGCGTTTGCCTGTCTCGTATCACAAGAACATTCCTATGTATCTCAATGAACTAATGAGACTGACAGGATTGGTTGATTGTGCAGATACACCTATTGGCTCTGAATCGACTAAAGGTATTTCTGGAGGAGAGAAAAGAAGAGTATCGATCGCTATTCAGCTCCTTGGTAAACCTCGAATTCTATTCTTGGATGAACCTACCTCAGGACTCGATTCAGCCACTTCTGCATCTATTTTGGTGCTTTTGAAGCAATTGGCACAATCCGGGACAACTATCATAACAACTCTACACCAGCCAAGTAAGGAAATGTTCTCGCAATTTGATACTTTAACGCTTCTTGCTCGTGGAGGGCACGTCGTTTACGATGGAACAACAAATAGTCTTCCCAGTTATTTGGCGTCAATTGGCCATCAATGTCCCCAACACAATAACATAGCCGACCACATTCTTGACTTGCTTTCATTGAAGTGGGGTGAGTCTGCTGATCAATTACAAGCTCGTGTTGAGTACTTAATTCAGCAATGGGATGATAAAGTTCTGCTTGATGAGGATCAAAAAATTGGTCTGGAGATAAATTTCAAAACTATCAAAAGGCCTGAAATACCTTGGTATGTTTTGTTCAAGGCTGTGGTAAGTAGACAATTTGTCGTCTCTTTCCGTGCCGTTGATATCTTGGTGGCTCGTCTTTGGACTGTGGTGGCATTGGCTTTGATCTACGCTGTGTTTTTCTCACCTCTCAGAAACACACAAGAAGGCATCAGTAACAGGCTTGGGTTAACGCAAAGTATTGCAAACTTATACTTCTGTGGTTTGGTAAACAACCTTTCCATCTACCCATCCCAGAGAGACTTGTTTCATCAGGAGTATAAAGATAATACCTATGGAGTGGCTATATTCCACAGTGCATACTTTTTGGTGGAGCTTCCTTTCGAGATAATTCCAAGTGCATTTTTCTCTGCGTTGGTTGTTTTTGTCATTGGTTTACCTAGGACACCAGAGATGTATTTCGCCATCTTTTTCTGCTCAGCATTATCGATTAATTGTGGTGAGGCCGCGGGTATCTTCTTCAACAGCATCTTCAATCACATGGGCTTGGTGACCAACCTTCTCACAAACATATTTGTTGTCGGTCTATTTATGGCGGGTACTATGTCTTTACAAATGCCGGAGTTTTTTAAAGCCTGGAACTACATAAATCCCGCTAAATATCTCGTGCAGATATGTACAAACTTGGGGTTCAAAGACCAGATCTTCGAATGCGCAGACCTAACCTGCTCTTTGAATTCTGGAGAGGCAGTTCTCGAGGAATACGGGCTCGAGGCTGATCTTCTGTCGCTGTTTGGGGCATTTGTTGCGTGCTTAGTGGTCTACAGAATTATATCTGTGTCAACAGCGTACTTCAGAGTTCGGTACTTCTGAAGTTTTTATATAGACACTACTTGCAAGTTATGAAACGGAAATATATCAGACTTCAATATTCAAATCCCATCGTGCTCTTACCATAAAAAGGACCCCTACATTTGATATCGAGTTTCTGCCTAATACGAAAATCGCATTGTGGGCCATGCATCCAAACTGCACGGTGAGAAGAGTGAGGTGATGCGCATGTCTTTTCTGACGATCATTGTCACAACTTTCACATTCATTTCTGCATCATCATGAGTATATGTGTTCCAGTCAATAATGGTCTGATACTACGATCTTTATTTCGTGACGTTATACGCGGCTTAAGGAAAATCAGCGATCAGGCACCCATACTCATAGCCAGAACAGACTACTCTACAGAGCTCAAAAACGAAATTGAAAAGGCATCCATCGACAAATTGCAGTATCGAGATTATTTACTCTCTGAAATCAGACATACTGCTCTACAAAAGTTTTCTGCTGAACCAAAAGACGTCAAGGATCATGTCTTTTACAGCCAGCTCTGGCAAGGTCACCACCTTGCAACGACATTGAGAGCAATTCAAAGCGATCCCAATAATGCAGCATTATGGGTAGACCTCATAGACATTGTTGTTACAGAAAGAACAGCACAGCTACGAAGGAGTAATTGGATTCTCGATTATAAATCACATAAAGAAGTGATCGACGAGCATCATTTGAAAGAAATGCACCCACTACAAGCGAAACGTGTCTTGTCCAAAAAGAAGAAGATGACTTCAATAATTAGTCCTAGTACTGATAAAGGTTATAAGTTACTTCTTAAAAATAGAGAGGATAATGCGGCATGGGTTGTGCGGAACTACTTGAAAAGGTTGCAGTTGCAGGGTAAAATACCAAATCCGTTCAAATTGCCTCATGTTTCTGACAGTATACGTCAGCAAGCACTCCAGCTTCCCAGAGTGTCTGATCTTATTCCAGGGTCAACAAAATCAGCTGTGTTGAAAGCAGCTTATGACATGGATCACATCAACACCATAATCAAACCTGAAATAGAGTACCTGTTGAACAAGAGACACTATCTTGAAAAGTACCAAAGAATTGTCAACAAAGATGGGCCAGTGAAAGTTAAAATAATAAGCACACTGGCGGGTATAATGCAAGCTCATTTCTTAAGGGCGCCAGTCAAGGACGAAAAGCGCATGAAGCAGCTAGCTATCGACGTGAAAAAACTGACTAGAGTCATACGCAAGCAGTTCATCTGGAAACTCGACTCTTCTCAAGCAGAGGGGATCTGTGAGCGAAAGTTTGGCGATGGATATGCTGTTAGAGGCTCAAAGGGGTTTTCCATTGATGAGATCATGTATCCCAAAAGGTATTATGAAGAGATTGTGCTGGAAGAAGCTGAGTGGGAATTCTTGATCAAAGTTGAAGAATTGAAGATGGTCTATGGATCAAGCGCACTTAACGATGCAAAGTTTTCCAACAAGTTGAGAGAAGTTCGTCAGCAAATAATCCAAGGTTGGCACGAGCCTTTGGACACGGCCTCTAGGGAAATCGACGATGAAGTCAAACTGTATTTTACCAAGTACAAGATCACTGAGAACAGTTCTATCTGGGAAAGGAGGGCTGCATTGCAAGCACGCATGAACCTTAATTTCGAGAAAACATCAAAAAAGCTCGGCAATTTGATTGGTCTTTTGGAAAGAGATAAAGTTTGTGCACATTCTGACTTATTTCACCGAAGCCATCATACCAGTTTCAACTATGGCGAGATTCCTGAGAAAGATAGAATTGGAACAGGAAAATCATTGGGTGATTACCTCAAAGAAGCAGGCCTTTCAGGTTACAAAATGGGCTATGAATTCAAAAAGCGACTCAATATAGCCTAAGTGTGCAGTGCGTCTATATCTGAAGTCTCTGCTCACTGCCAATGAAGAGTTATAGAATGCGGCTATCTACATATGTCAAAAATAGTGAAGAATCGTCAAAGTTGGGTTTTCCCTTCGTAAAAAATCATTATGTTCTATTGAAGAGGAGCACGTGGGGGATGCGTCTTCGTCTAGCGATATGCTCATACAACATAACCACCGTAGCATCGGTCATTGGTAATGTATCCCTCGACACCTTTTGCAGCAGACTCTGTTTCTTCATCTTCTAAACCAAAGCCTGGTGCAATGAACTCCGGGTTGTGATTCTCGATGATCTCGAAATCCTCGATGAGTTTGACTAACTCTGTAGTCTCGTTGTCGCCATCGGCAACAGATAAACCATTCATCATGGCGATGACATCACCCAAAGTTTTCCCTTGTTCTTTCAATTCTCTATGTTTGGCCAAAACTTCTTCCAAGCATGTAATATTGTTTTCGTACCATACGCCGGCTGTTTCTGCGAATGGGGGTACTTCCATTATGCCCTTCCGGGATATCAATGATTCCAGCGAGAGCTGATTGCGGTAGAAAAGCGAAGCCTGGTAGTGATCCTTGCAGCAATATTGGGAAGAGTATGTGTTAGGAAGAATTATGGATGGTTTTCTGTTGTAGATACGAAATTTCGTCGCCATCTCATGGGCCCCATCGACGCTTGAAGCCCTGCGGACCTGCCGTTTTGGTAGTTGGCCACAGACGAGGTACCCACATTGATGTTCTATATTTTTTTCCTCTACAAGCTCATCATAGAGCTGTGGAGTCAAAAACCTGCTCAAAAATTTAAGAAGTGACACGTCGACAGAGTAGTCCAAGAGGAGCTCTGCTATCTTAAGTTGTAGCAGCGACGCCTCGGCAGGCGAGAGCAAGTCATGGCTTGAAACAGCACCCAAATGTTTGATGAAGTCTTCGACGGTCAAGGTTTGCATTTTCTGGTAGCTGTGTATGAATAGTTGTAGATGCCATATATACTCAAGATTGTTCGGTGTGAAGTATACTGCCCAGTGATCCTTTTTTTATGGTGGGGCCAATTTATCGGGCCCAACTGATAATACTGTTCGCTTAACCCAGTACTGCACTTAGCATGAGTTGAGTAGAGCGAAACTGTGGGCCACCTTCTTCTGCACTGGCTCCATGTATTAGCTAAGTATTCTTATCCCTCTCAGCATTGCAGGAGTAAAAAAAATCATCCACGTATCTGCATTAGTGAAATTGACATAAAGCTTATATTTCTTGAAAGAAATAATCGCGGACTTGTGATATGGCCAAGATAAGGCGTCGCGAGAACCCTTCTGCTACGCTTGGCGCTCTACAACCCACCCCATCCACCAGTGTCTCATCCGCCGGTACTAACAGTGGTCGGCCTCGATCCTCAACAACAGCTTTACTTAATTATATTAATGACGTGCCAAAAGAGGAAGCACAAAGGAAGAAATCGAGGCAGAAACTCGTGTCCTTATACCGGCTTCTTGTGCTCGAGCTAAATTTACCTGGAAGCGTGTCTACGAAATCAAGCTCAGCCGAAAATAAAGGGGAGTCTAAGAATTCACAGGAACAATTGGCCAATATGGTAAAGGTACCTTTCTATTTGGAGAAGTTCATATGTTTCGGCCTTCTTGTGTGCTCGAACGCGTTCCTCACGTTGTTCACTCTAGTACCACTCAAAATAGCTATAGTCACTTTCACAGCCTTCAAAGAATTTCTATACTCACCACAGCGGGATATGACGATCTTAATAAGAAAACTACATTTTGTGAAACGTGATTTGATAACGTTGCTTCTTATCATCTCTTCAGTCGCACTTTTGTCAACCCGTTTGCTTGAAGTCTCTAGGCTATACCACGATATCCGAGGACAGGCGCACATAAAATTGTATGTGATGTTTGGAGTCTTGGAAGTCACCGATAAACTTTTGTCCAGTATTGCCCTGGAAATCTTTACTGTTCTTGTGGGGCTCCCTTTGACCAACATGACTCCAAATAGATTCGGCAAGCTTGTCTTTTTTTCAGTCATTGCTTTGGTCTTTTTTGCGTGTCACTCATATGTGCTAATATATCAGTCAGTTGCCCTTCATGTGGCTGCAAATTCCTACTCCAATGCTTTATTAGCTCTATTGCTTTCCAATCAATTCAGTGAACTCAAGGGCGCTGTCTTCAAAAAGTTTGAGCGTGAAGGATTATTCCAGATCACAATGTCTGATCTCACTGAGCGCTTTCAATTATCAATCATGCTTTTTGTCATTGCCTTGCGAAATTTGTCTCAGTTGAGCAGCACTCAGTTGAGTTTGGTTCCAGATAGTTGGAAGTCTTGGAACAAGTGGTTCGGAGCTATTTTTGGTCCTTCAGTGGTAGTCCTCGGTAGCGAGATACTCGTGGATTGGATCAAACATTGTTACATCAGCAAATTTAATCTCATCAGGCCCAGAACATATGAGAATTTTCTTTATGTTCTTAGCACAGATTTCAAAGAAGTTTTCACTTCTAACTCGAAGACTTGTACGCTGCATGAAGTGTCAGACTATATCATATTGACTCGAAGAATTGGTCTTCCAATTATACCTCTTACAATATGCTTCTTGAGAATGGCGCTTAAAGACTTGAGACAGTTTTTCTTGCCGTCCTGTCTGCAAATCCTGAGCATAGTTTCAAGTGTCGTTCTAATAGTGCTAGCCTTTGTTGTTTTGCTAGTCGCCAGACTTCTCTTGGGTCTATGGCTTTTAAAGTGGGCTCGTTTCATAAAACACAATCACGAAGCCTTCCAACAAAACTTACAACTCAAAGCTGATATTTCTTCATCATCACAATCTTCTGGCGATTCGAAGGAAGATAGAACACTTCGCCGACATCAGAATTCCGTTGAAACAGAATATGAGCAATCTCATCCCAGTGAAACTGAGGACGCTCCATGCCCACCTGTGTCACAATTATTGCTGAATTGTCCACCATTATTAAAGAACTCAAGCATTCATTTATCTCTTCAGGATACAGCAGGTGGGAACTACTGCGACGACAGTCAACTAACGTCTCCTTTGGAGCTGGAAATTGAGTATTCCTTTATTCCCGGAATTCCGAACACGGAATCTTCGTCCATTAATCCGACAATGAGATCTTCTTTGTATGACTTTGGAGAGAAAGTTCCTCCTACACTTGAGGAAAAAAGAAACAAGCAACTTTTGGAAAGGAACTTGAGATCGATGGGTGGGACAGAAGATATACGTCTTGACTCACTCCACAAAGTACACAGATACGAGATGTCTAGCAAAAAAATTTGGTAGATCTTTGATACCTGAGCAACTCGAAATTTTTATGTACACGGTATCAACTCCGAACCTATTTACAAGCGTGCCCTGCACCATTAGTGGTTCTTGAGTAGCTTCTGCTTCATAATCGAGCTGATGTAATTCACCGTCTGCGGTCTTGGTCTCTTGACATTTGCTGCAAAGGCCAAACAACCCGTGAGGAGAGCTAAAGCCCCAGCCTGATGTGCAGCGGCAAGGGGAATCGGAACCAAATAGATCAATGTGGATATTCCTAATGTGACCTGAAGCGTTACTAAACCCATTACGGCATGGAATGTACGTTTGGCACGGGCCGGTATAACAGCCTTATTCTTGTTCACGTACATGTGACCGGCAAAAATGGCGAAAAATGTGGAGGTGGCGAGAATCCTGTGAACCAATTGCACGGTAGTTGGGTTTTCGAAAAGATTTCTCCACCACAAATCTGAGTGATCATCGTTTCTGGAAAACACGGGAGACATAAGTTCTCCATGAGATGGAAGCCATTCATCTCCCATGTGGGGGAAGGTGTTGTAAATCAAACCTGCGTCAAGGCCTGCGACCATTCCACCGCTCATAGCTGTTAAGTAAGTCAAAACAATAAGACCCAAGCCCATACTTCTTGTTTTATTAAGAGCATTACTGTTCAACATTGCAAGTGCATCGGTAACTTTTTTAGGGTCGGCTTTCATGCCCTTCACCCAGCGGTTTTCATTGAGAATCTCAAAGGCAGTCCACAACACACCCAAGTACATAAGGAAAGCAGCACCTAAGTGGGTTGTAAGTCTGTACTGCGAGACAGTTGGCTTGGATTTTCTTTCGCTGAGCTGTTCCTCGTCCAAACCTGACTTCACCATCCACCAACCAATGGCACCTTGCAATCCTAACAACCCGGTCAACCCCACTACCCTCTTTGACACGAGGGCACTAAACCTACCAGTTTTCCAAAAGTATACTGCGGGCACGATAAAAAACATACCTATGCACCTTCCTAAGAATCTATGGCCCCACTCCATGCTGAAAATGAACTTAAACTCATCCAAAGTAATGTGAGAGTTGAGTTGCTTAAACTCGGGGGATTCCTGGTATTTTTGAAATTCTTCTTGCCATTCAACTTCGTTGAGTGGGGGGATTGTACCTGTTACAGGCTTCCATTCGGTTATGGATAGGCCCGACTCAGTCAATCTAGTCAACCCACCAACAACGACAATACCAAATATCAATCCAGAGGTACACACTAACCAGTAGCCAGCAGCTTTGCTAGAGATCACAGGGTATCCATTTTTTACTAGCTTGCTCGCGGACTCCTTGACACCAATTTTCGTGGAGATAGGGTTGGTATGCAAGTAAGAAGAGTAGGGCCTAGAGACGCGGAGACTCAGGACTATTCTCGTCAAGGGTGTTGTTTTCTCTCTGACAATATTGAGCCGTGAGCCTGAAGCCTTTGTCATAATTTTAAGAACACTCATGTTCCTGGTGAAATAAAAGCCGGACCGGCAAAACATGGCTGCTCACTTAGTGGTCTGTCAAAATCGGAATGCGTTCATCTAATCTCAGCTGATGGGGTGGTGGCGGCTCGGTCACGTGCCTCTCGAGACGGTCGCGCTGCAAATCATATGGCTTGGTATTGTCAGTCACATGATGCGCTATGGAATAAATTTCGCATTCATTCAGCTGCTGGCACATACATTTTTTGGGTGCAAATAAAAAAGATTCTGGAAGGCAGCGCGGTGAAATGTGCTGTTTTCCAAAAGCAAACATTTCTCCTGATTTAGTACAAAAGATCTCGTATTCCGAAACTGCCGAGAATGCTACTAGATGGCACTGCCTTGATAGCAAACGCTATCTACATTTATTTGATAGCGGTATTCAGTTCGGTGGTTCTAGCGGTCACCGCTTTAATTATACGTGGGTTTGTGAGAAGAGGAAGGGGACATGGAGATATTTCCGGGAAAAAGCTTGAGCTTGCTGTAGCTTCGAAACTGAAATTTCGAGCAAATGCGGAGTTTCCTTGTGCTAATAGCACCCTAAAAGAGTCGAAAAACTTGTTGAGACGCTGGAAAAGTCGCAATGGACATACTACCATAGCCCAAGTGAAGCCACAATCTATCGAGATTAATGAAGTGGAGTCATCGGCAACAGCAAATGATTGTGCACCAATTTCAAATGACCAGAGTCTGGAAGCTTCGATGCCGGTACGGCCTCGCATCATATATCCGTTGGAAGACTTGAAAAGCATGAACGTGAATATCGCACAGTTGACTTTCGAGCCCAACAAGATAAGACTCTCCAATTTGTTGATCCCCAATATTACATTGCCTCGCTCGCGTATAATAGACAAATACGCAATGGACCAAGAATTGAAGTTAGTTCAGATCCTTTTGAATGACCCGCTTTTATCCAATAGATGCATGGGCCTTTTTAGGGTAGTCAGCGCAACCTCTTTCAGCGAACCTTACACAAATGCTCAACATTTCCATGGAGGGCTTTGCGACCTATTGGAAACAATCATAGATACTTTGGTCATCTACAGCACATCGGATACTATTCCATCTCTTCAGCTTGCCCTTCTTGATTTGGCTTTCGTATTTCTCTGGGAACATTGGAATTGGGATCAAGGCTTCCGATTAGCAGTTGCTGCGAAATTGGCTCAAGAAACTATCGTGTCGGCTGGGGCAACAGCGGGGACCGTCACAATCCAAGAAGTTGTACCAAATGACAGTATGCATTTCAAGACAGAGAAGATGTCCCAATACGCTGAATATGAGTTTGCAAAGCACGTTGAGCCTGTTGTTTTACTGGAGTTTAGTCTTTTCAGGCTTTTCTGTAATCTATATTTGGGAACTCCTGTGATGGCCAAACCCATAAGAAACCGTTGCATGTTCAAGCTAAGCGGCATTTTTTACTGTTGCGCCAGTCAGACAAAATGCCATCTGCATGTTGAGTTAGCAAAGTTACTTGGGCAAGCATTACATTCTACTGAGCGAGACAGTATCAAAGCATTTTTTTACGAGGTCTTATTGAAGGTCTTGCAGCCGCATGTGTATTGTTGCATTCACCCAGACGACATATTTTCCAACGGCTCTATAATCCAAAAGCTCATCTTCCAGGGTCTTTGGACTGATCAGCCGCCTTCTGTGAGAGATAAAGCAGCTGATGTTGTGGAAATGTTGAGTGAACGATTCCATGAGATCGTTTCCTGGAACAAATCAATGAAATTTACCCATTTAAATGATGAACATGGAGCAAGACAACATGGAGGGGCGCCAGGATCATGGCTGACTTTTGATTAAAACACCCTGGTATTTCATGGAGACTAAGGTGCTTAGTTCGAATATCGGTATACCAATCGTAGTGTGACCTGAGCAAGAGCATGCTATTTCATATTAATTTCTCGAGCTTTGCGCAACGTACTGTAGGAAGCGTCTGTCACCGATCTACGATAGCAACGAGAGAGAGACCAAATACCAAAGCACGGCTATTGCGTTTGATTGAGCTTTAAAGTTTGTATTTTTCTATTTAAATTCACTGCTTCATTAATAATGAGATGGCACTGTCTCTCTTTATAGATTGTTTTCCACCATGTGCTCTTGAATAGCGAGCTCATACATTCTGTGTTGACACACAGGAATTTCAGTGCGTTGGAACCTGATAATATTCAACCTCGCGAAAAGAAATTCCGCAATTCCCGTATCTACCTTTGAATTATACCTTCCTCTTCTGCCAATCTCCTAACTAAACTTCTCTAAGGCACATTCACATTTCTCCACGTTTTCAGAGTATCATGTCTGCTCTTGAAATTGCTGCGGCAACGACGCTTGGCTTACAATTGCTCGATGCAAAGTATCATGTTTCGGATGATCTACTTTTCATTCAAAAGATCGCCAGAGTGATTATTCCATACTCCTACAACGTTTACAAAAAAAGGGCCAGTTTTTGGTATGCTTTCGAGAAATCTGCTAACAAATACCCAAGCAAGGAAGCTGTTTCGTTCCCTCGTCCAAAACGTTCTGTACCATTGAAAAAGGATTCCAGCGGGTTTCCGATATACGACGAACAGTTTTCAATCGAGTCTTACACTTATAAGGAATTGTATGATATGGTTTTGAGGCTCAGTCACATCTTGAGGAACGACTATGGTGTCACATCAGAACACACGATCGGTATCGACTGTATGAACAAGCCTTTGTTCATAGTCATGTGGATGGCATTGTGGAATATTGGGGCTCTTCCCGCGTTCTTGAACTACAATATCAAAGGTAAGCCATTGATTCATTGCATAAAAACTGCCGGTATAAGCCAGGTATTTGTTGATCCAGATTGTGCAGATGCTATCAAAGAATCAGAACATAGTCTTCATGAGCAACTTCCAGAAGTGAAAGTTAATTATATGAACGAGACCCAATTATTCACTGTGATAAGCACTCATTCAAGCCCTAGATATAGGGCCCCTAATGTTACTAGAAGACCAAATGATACAGACTCTTCCTGCTGTGCTCTCATTTATACTTCAGGCACCACAGGCTTACCAAAGCCAGCTATTTTATCTTGGAAAAAGGCTTTCATGGCAGGCGCATTTTTTGGTACTGTGATGAAGATTGATAAGAACTCCGTTGTCATGACTGCAATGCCTTTGTATCACTCGACCGCAGCAATGTTAGGCGTTTGCCCGGCACTTGCGTCTGGTGCATGTGTCAGTGTATGTCAAAAGTTTTCAGCTTCCACGTTCTGGACACAGGCCAAATTAGTGAAAGCCACGCACGTACAATATGTGGGCGAAGTGTGTCGATACTTGTTGAATGCAAATGATCATCCTGACCAAAGAAATCACAATGTAAAGATTGCTTATGGAAATGGTTTGCGTCGTGATATCTGGAAAGATTTCAAATCGCGCTTCAACATCGAGGGAGTTGGAGAATTCTATGCCTCTACTGAATCTCCTATCGCCACAACCAGTCTTCAGTTTGGAGATTATGGTGTAGGTGCTTGCAGAAAATACGGTTCTTTGATTAATACAATTTTGAGCTTTGCTCAAGCAATTGTCAAAATGAACCCAGACGATGAAAGCGAAATATGGAGAGATCCATCAACTGGGTTTTGTGTGCGAGCAAACACAAACGATTCCGGTGAACTTTTGATGAAGATTGTCAATCCAAATAATATAGAAGGGACGTTTCAGGGATACTATGGAAACCTGAAAGCCACGAGTTCAAAAATCATTCGAAATGTTTTTAAAAAAGGTGATGCATGGTTTAGGTCTGGAGACTTATTGAGAATGGATGAAGACGGCTTGATGTACTTCGTGGACAGATTAGGCGATACTTTCCGCTGGAAGTCGGAAAATGTATCGGCTACAGAAGTCGAGAATGAGCTTATGGGCTCAGGTGCCATCAAGCAATCTGTCGTTGTTGGTGTCCAAGTGCCTAAGCATGAGGGAAGAGCTGGATTTGCGGTTGTCGACCCGAAAGATGGTCTAAGTGATCAGGAGGTACTTGATAAAATTTACCAACACGTAAGCCGAAACTTGCCAAAGTACGCAATTCCGCAATTCGTCAAAGTTGGGTCGCAATATATTCAAGCATCTCACAACCACAAAGTGCCGAAAAATCAGTTCAAAAGCCAGAAGCTACCCAACGGAGAGAACGGAAATGAGTTGATTTACTGGTTGAACAAAACTAGATATGAAGAGTTGACAGAGAGTTCTTGGACTCGGATCATGAGCGGTGCGTCCAAGTTGTAAGCGCGCTTTTGATCGATTTATCTTAATAGATCATGATTGGCTTTGTGAACCACAATACCTTTAATAATACAAAAGTCATGATTTTTCGCGGAAACATGTTCGCCTGTTATCTTATGGACAAATATCAAATCTGTCTATGTATCTAGTTTTTGTCGGAGATGGCAACAACACCTGGCAATTCCTTACCCTCCAACAATTCCAAAGAGGCACCACCACCGGTCGAGACGTGAGACAACTTCTCAACAACGCCGAACTTCTTAGCAACAGTGGCAGTGTCACCACCACCAATGATGACAGTGTTGCCAGCCTCAGCAGACTTGACGGCAGCGTCCAACAAGGACTTGGTACCTTGAGAGAACTTCTCGAACTCAAAGACACCTGGGGGACCGTTCCAAACAATAGTCTTAGCTTTGGCAACAGCTTCGTCGAAAAGCTTTCTGGACTTTGGACCAGCGTCGAGACCCATCCAGCCATCAGGGATACCCTCCTCTTGGGTAGCAACACCGGTGTTGGCGTCCTTGTTGAAGTCGTCGGCAGTGACAAAGTCAACAGGCAAGACGATCTCCACGTTGTTCTTTTTGGCCTTAGCAACCAAGTGTTCAACATTCTTGGCACCAGCCTCGTCGAAGAGGGAAGTGCCAATTGGCATGTTCTCCAAGACCTTCTTGAAAGTGAAAGACATACCACCACCGACAATCAAGATGTCGACCTTGTCCAACAAATTGTCGATCAATTGAATCTTGTCAGACACCTTGGCGCCACCCAAGATGGCCAAGAAAGGTCTGATTGGGTTCTCCAAAGCCTTGGCGAAGTACTCCAATTCCTTAGCCATCAAAAACCCGGCAGCCTTTTGAGGCAAGTCGAGACCAACCATAGAAGAGTGGGCTCTGTGGGCGGTTCCGAAAGCATCGTTGACGTACACGTCGGCCAATGCAGTCAAGCCCTGTCTGAACTTCTGGACGTCCTCGGCAGAGGCCTTCTCCTTGTTTCCATCAACCTTTCTTGAGCCCTCCTCTTCAATGTGGTAGCGCAAATTCTCCAACAAAAACACCTCGCCGGCGGAAGCACCATTGACGGCGTTCTCGACATCAGTGCCGACACAGTCGTTCAAGAAAGTGACCTTTTGGTCAGACAACAACGACTGCAACTCCTTGGCGACTGGGGCCAAAGAGTATTTCTCGACTCTCTCACCATTAGGTCTGCCTAAGTGAGAAGCCAAAACGACGGCCTTTGGCTTTTGCTCCAAAACGTACTTGATGGTAGGCAAAGCAGCAACGATTCTTTGGTTGTTGGTGATGGTGGTGCCGTCAAGAGGGACGTTGAAGTCGACTCTGATGAAGACTCTCTTGTTGGCGAGCTCCAAATCCTTAACAGACAATTTGTTAGACAAAGACATTGTGTATTCAAGTAGGCGTATCAATTGTTTACCTGGTTGTGAAAATAGATAAAAACGAATTCTGCTTTTTGAAACGCAGGCGGGGTGCGCACGTTGCGGGTTTATATATGTCTGACAGGCTCTCGCTCGCTCGGAGTTCTGACTCGGCGGATTACCATCCTCCGTCGCACCATTAGAAACCACACCATTTTGCCAACAATTAGCAATTCGATTGCTGGGGCTAAAATAGAG